TGCCTTGCAATAATGTCTTGTCATCTTACGATGTTGTCGAGTCCGACCTTCTTTATCTATATGCATCTTATCTCTAGTCCCCTCTCTCGAACATACCATTGTCCTCCCAATTGCTACTCCTCGACGATTCCTCCGAAGATCTCTACGTCGAACGCTAAATCCTTTCGCTTTACCATAGGAATCGTAAAATTTCTCTGCATCTTCTAATGTTTGGAACTCCATGGAAGGAATTTGTTGTTCATATTCAGTAGCTTCTTCATCATCCATAAATTCTTCTTCAGCACCCTCGGTTTCATTATCATCCCCAACCACTTCATCATCCGTATTATCTGTATCATCTGAATTATCCATAGCTTCTTCTTGAGCATCCTTAGGTTCCTCATCGCAGTTAACCTCATCATCATCTCTGTCATCTGTATCATCTCTGTTATCCATCCTGAAACGATCGCAATACGAACTTAATGTAAAAAACATACACAATTAGCTCTCGTCAGGTCGACCTGAATGAACTGTACGGTCGACCTTATTACTCAATAACAAACATGAGGTCGACCAGAATTTACTGAAAGGTCGACCTAATCATATAATTACAAAAGCACGGTCGACCGGATGGTAAGGGTGGTCGACCGGATGGTAGGAAATATTTAACCACATACAGGCATTAACAAGCACATACGAGACATACCTTAGCAAAGAGGTCGACCACTTATTGTTACGGTCTACCGGAATAAAAATAAACCGCCACCAACACCCGATCACAATAAGAGCGATGATATTACAACTTCCCTCCAACAAATTGCATAAATCGAAGTACGATTAAAGTCTTCAGACTCCCATCTATTTATAGATAATGTAGACGAATTCCTTATCCAATTGGTGAAAGATATATAAAATCATAATTCGACAAGGACAAGTACACAAAATCCTAATTGTACAAGGACATGATTCATTAAGGTCGACCTCTTTGCACAAATGGTCGACCGTGTTGGGTAAATGTGAAACAGGTCGACCTCTTTACTGAAATGGTCGACCATTGTTTATAAATGTGAAACAGGTCGACCTCTTAACAAGAATGGTCGACCGTATTTTATTAAGGCCAAACTGACGAGATTCCATCCATGTTCTACATGGTTTTTGACTTTGCTACGGTATCATAGGTCGACCTTTTGCGTCACGAGGTCGACCTGTGCTCTGCCTTTGGGTATGCCCGCTTTGAGTATGTGGTCGACCACTTGTTCTAGACGATTGAAATCGTAAATTCAGTCACATCCATAATTGTATAACAAATCTAATAAACGATAAACATTCAAAATCCAAAATGAAACGATCTCGCAAATACAAATTCAATGTATGGTCCAAATAATGCAACATTGTAACTTAACGACTTCATTTCTTTGCTTTTTTGTTTGAACTCTGTCTCTCTTTGCCTCGTTCCATGCATTCATCTACTACATGCTTGAAAAGATTTTCTCGTGCAAGGTTTTCAAAATGTGTAGCCAGATACCATAGAATCTCCTTTCGCCGGTAATTTGTGTTCTTCTCCTATCTGCATTATGCCATGTAAGATTTCGTTACAACTAAAAAAAGTGTAAATTAAACAAGTTATTTGTTTGACGATATACTCACCACTCTATCAAGATCCTTGGATCCATAGCGCATCCACTGCATGACGTGCACACCACACTCAGTACTATTCCTTTGCCGTTGAACGCAAAGCTCATCAAAATTGAAATCTCCAAAATTTGGTACTCCTACATTGCTCATGCGCTCCGGTTTGAAAATATCACCCAAATTGGATAACTACACACAAATAATGAATATTTTTAGTTTCTAGCATCATACGTGACGCTTAACAGTCAGAAAATTATAGAAAACACTTACCAATTTCTTGCATAGTGCTGATTTACGCCTACGATTCGCCTCACTAGTTGAAGGTAGACTGTCAAGCAAAAATGCAGTTTTTTGCTGGACATTGACGAGATACAGAAACCAATGACGTGCTTCATCGTCAAGAACTGGCATAAATATCTAGCAACGAAACACTCACTATATGTTATAAACAGCGAATACAAACAAATGCACTTTCGAAATTTAATGATATAGTGACATTGACTAGACTAACCTTCTGGCATGCACCGACATTCGGCATAAAGACCACGCCATCATTCATCAACTTGTTACGAATTTGTCTGGTCTTCATGTTAGCGCGTACCATTTTCTGCAGCATGTTTTAGTTGAGATGAATTTACATGGTACAATATAAATAACTAGGTTATGACAAATAATTTGACATTACGGCTCTTACCGAAAACATATTTGGCAAATACCACACATTTGGCTCTTTCACATCATGTTTTTCAGACATTGTTAGTGCCCTTGCACACAAATCCACTACCTACCATCCAACAATCAAACACAAAATCATGGTAAATCATAACATAAATAGTGCACAATTCATACGAAAGTCGTAGTAGTATAGTACTTACTGATGAGCAAACCCAGCTATTCTCGCTAATGACCGAACTCAAATAATGTCGTTGCACGTTTTCAGAAAAAAAGTCCACAACGGTCAAACTGCAAAAATCAAAATAACAGAAATGTCAATTGTGATTTGCAACGTACAGGTCGACCTGTTCACAGTCACGGTCGACCTTATTGGAAAAGCGGTCGACCTCATAACTGATCCGGTCGACCACACGTACTAAAAAACGTCTTACTTGTCCCAATTCTTGTCCCCAGCCTTCTCTTTAGTAACAACATAATACAAGTCTTCAACTGGATTTTGAAAATTTTTGGTGAATCCTTCTAGACCCTCCACTTTCATGACCTACAAATCATAGTTAAAATTAAAGTAACATATGAACACAAACACACATTATAGATGAATATGTAACGTAAACTTACCCCGTGCTTTTCGAAAGGACTCTTAGATTCTTCTTCATCGCTATCATCACTAAATAATCCTTTTATTACAAATTGATCCTTCTGTGGAGTGGTGTAGGAGTCACTTTCATATCGAGGTCTCTTGTACTTAGGAGAGGAACCCTTGCTGCCATTCGTTGTTTCACTCTGTCAAACATATAAACAAAACAAATTAGCACTAATGATAGTAATACTAATATCTTCAATCACATATGAATATACTTGGATACCTTTAAAATGTGCTCTTTCAATAAATCGTCTATGCTCTGGTAGCAATTTTCAGAGTCATCATGGTCTTCTTCCTCTTTACCAAAGTCAAAATTAGGTCCTTTACCATTTCTTCCGCCATTCTCCATTCGTTCTGCACTTATATATTTGATAGCACCTTCTAGCCTCTCAAACCCGTCATGCATCATCCCAGTCATATCTGTCAGTCGAACTGACAATTGCTCCACTCTATCACACATGGACTTCTGAAAGTCATTGACTTGTGTTTGACACACCACCAGCTTCTCTTGTGTGGCTTTCAACAATTTCATGATTTCACCCAAATCTTGATGCAGTTTCTCATCATGCGTCATTGTCTAAACAATTTCAAGAAAAATTTAAATCATAATTCAACTTCAAATTTCTACAATTGACCAAAAAACAAATACGTGGTCGACCTGACATAGTATTAGGTCGACCTGGAAGACAAATAGTGACTACCACAACCATTAAGGTCGACCTCTGTTATTCCTAGGTCGACCTATCCAGCAGGAAAATAACAATTAACAACAAAAAGTAAGTTCTAAATTAAACCGAAAAAAGGATAGGTCGACCAGATATTTGGCGCGGTCGACCTTTTGAAGCACAACATAGTCATACAATCAAAGCCAAAGTCGACATTCAGGTTGAATAACCAAAAAAACAGGAACGGTCGACCTTGAAACCCATTAGGTCGACCAATTGGGTTACCTCGCAAGTACAGAAATCCAAGTGTTGTGGCCTAAATTCAAATACGCAGAATTGTCTCGTCAGGTCGACCTGATTGACGTCACGGTCGACCGAATGGAATTCTGCACCCAACAATATATCAAATTAGCCGGTAGAAATCACGCATTAGAAAAGAAGACGACGAATGGTACATTAGGTCGACCTCACCTTAGCCCTGGTCGACCACTTCCAACGCGTACAACAGCAACCGCGAACGATCTTCTTCACAAAGGCTCTTAATCGGAAAAAAACCTAATTCAGACTTGGAGGCGTTGAAGGGGACTAATATTCGTATTTATAGAGATTTGGGACGTCAATGGGTCGACCCAATTCGTTTCCTTGTCCAATTGTGGAACCTTTCTGGTGTTGGAATCCATATCCAATACGGATACGGTGTGAAGGCGGTCGACCTCTTCCTAATGCGGTCGACCTGTTAGGTGCACAAGGGTCGGCCTATGAGATATTTGGGTCGACCTTTCATTCTGTTAGACCACCAAAGCGGTCGACCGTATTATGTAATAGGTCGACCGCGTCTTGGAATCCCACAAACATGAATTAGTCAATTCGGTCGACCGCCTTCAACAATAGGTCGACCGAAAAGTCCATATCACGGTGACATGCATGTCACCGTAGCAAAATCCTAATATTTATCTCATCAAAACCTAAATATCAACCAAACAATTATCTTCGGACATAGAGGACGCGTACGTACATCCCATTAAGCTCCAAAAACAAGAGCTCCCCTCCTCGCTAGATCTTTTGAGATAAAAAAAAAAAGAAAAGAAATTATTCCCTTGGATACTTTGTTCTCATCCCCAATTAAGTAGTAATCAAGTGAAATACCTTAACCTGTCACCGCCACCCACCCAAATTAATAAATGACAAGAGCTGAATCAGTGTCACATTACACCTGTAAGATTGTCATTAATCAAATGGGAATTACTAATTAATTAATTAATTGGCACTCTAGTCAAATAACACCCAATAATTTGTTACAAGTGAAGCACATGCAAAGGTCCTCTTTTCCTGTCCCACCAAACTTGATTGATTGCCCGCTCAAATCCAACCCATTCTTCTCCATCAATCCCATCATTATTAAGACAGTAAAACCAGGGAGAGACAGAAGAGAGATTGGAGGAGGAGCAGAAAAGAAGAGAATCATTCCAAGTTGTAGCCTTTAATCGAGCCCATTTTGCTGCACATCCAAACCAGCAAAACCCTCAAACGAAACGAACAAAAGCTCCGCGTACTAGCTACAGGGGCTATAATGGGGTCACTCGCCGGCGACCAATTAGAGCGAGAAGAAAAGGGTAGTGAAAGAAACGGCGGCGTCCCTGATCTGCTGGAAGAAGCGTGGTTCTTCAGGAAGCTGATCGATGGAAGCAGCGGAGGGAATAACAAGCCGGCGTCAGGCAAATTCATGGGGAGGTGTTTTTCTGATCCCACTTCTTCACAGAGCGTCGTCCCTCCAGCGCCGCCGAAAGGCGAGGGTGGTGGCTTGGTGAGGGCGCCGTCGTTGCCTCCCGGTATCGGGAGAAGAGGCGCCGGTGACTACGCCGCTGAGGGCAGGAAGTCTGGTGGGAAGAGGAATAACGGTAAATCGTTGAAAACAGGGGATATGACGGTATCAAGTAAGAAGGGGAGTAAAATTAAGCCATCTGGCGGCGGCGGGAGGAATCCGGGGAGCTTGGCGAGAGCGCCGTCGCTGCCTCCGTGGATAGGGAGGGAGGAAGAAGAAGAATCGGATGGGGAAGAGAGTGGTATGAGTATGAGCAGATTGATTCAACAGGCCATGTCCTCTTCTCTCGACGATATCTCTACTCTTACCAAACACTCTGTTTCTTCTCCAAAGGTAAATCACTTAACTTTCTTCTCCTCCTCCTCTAATCATATTAGTATTTGATTTGATTCGGGTTTGTTGTCTGTAAACAAGTCGGAGTTACTAAAATGAATTGGTTTGCGACATAATATTAGAAACATCGTTTTATTGGAACATTAGTTGATTCAACCGTAATGCTTCTTACTTTGACATGTAAAAGTAGTAACATAACTTTTTGATGTGATTGAGCTGCTTTGGTTTGAATTAATTTTACGACCATATTTTAACATCTCCTTGTTTAGATTAGTGATAGAGTTACATGTTTCTCTATATGATCATCCGAGTTCGGACTCAACCAAATTAACATTGATTTCGGGATAAGTTTACGTTAAATGATGTAAATTCCATCTCCTTGCAATCACGTTTTAAAAGCCCTCTTTCTAACTTCAAAGTTACTCTACTCATGGTTTGAATAAATGCAGAGCATGATTAGGAGTTCCAGGAGCATGAGAAACGAGGTGAGAGATGATGGGGGAAGAAGAAGAATAAGCCCAGAGGCCAGAGATGACCAGAGGGTAATTAGTAGGCAAAGTGGCAAGATTAGTACGACTAATCACAACAATAATCCTCCTCCTCCTCCTCCCAGTAATCCCAAGGGAATCAGGAAATTGACCAAGACAATGAGCAACCTTGAGATCCAACACGATCAAGCCAGTTACTACGAGTCAAAGAAGGCGGCGATGAGGCCACAGAGGCCCAGTTATGACCATTTGCTCAGGTGTGGAGGCCCACCGATCCCGACGTGGGCTCCGGGCCCCACTTCCAATGCCAAGACGACGACGGCTCCTGCTACTTCGTCAGCTGAAGATATCAAGGCCCATCTCAAGGTCTGGGCCAGGACTGTGGCTGCTAACATACAATGATGAAAGTGGACTCCAATTCAGTTCTACGGGTTTCAAAGTCTGAGTTCTGACCAAGACCAAAATCAAAGAAAATTAATTATTTTTGTATGGTTTTGGTTTAACCTTAACCATCACAATCATTATAATCAACAATCTTATTATTGTTCAAGAGTTCATCACAGAGAACAATAAATTATTTTTGTAAACATTTTGCTCATATTTAACCTGATTTAATAATTTGCTTTTCGCTAGTTCAAGCAAGTGATTTGAGAACCCTGAAGTGTTAATCTAATGACAACGGAAGAAGGTAACATTAACAATCATCTAAAAAGTATTATGAGTTCAAGCTTTTGCTGTGATAGTCCCTATTGTTCTTTTACAATGCCAGTCAGTTCAATGTAAGATTACCTTCCAATTGAACTTGAACATGCTCAAGAACTGCTGCAGTACAAGACTGAAGCTTTCTGCAGAACTTTGGCAACCACAAGTTAAGCCACTGATGTTGGTCCAAATCTTCTTTTCCATCCTAGTTTGTCCAGATCAGTGTATAAATTAATTACATCAGATCACATGAAAAAGTGTTTCAACTTCTACATGTCGCACTAGTACCAAATCGTCTTCTGGTTCATGGGAATGCAAATCATAAAGTCATCTACAATGTCCTAGTCTTCATCGTCAAGTCCAGTGAAATCTTCGACGTTTTGAGCCTGTTCGGTTTGTTGATTCATTGAGCGTAATTCGTCAATTTCAGTCAGCAGAAAAGGATCACATACTAGCCTATGGGCTTGCAGGAACTTGGGACAACCTGTTACAGACAAGAAGAAATAAAAAAAGGTTAGGCATAGAGACAGACGGAGACCCTTTCTACCCTTTAATGGCGAGAAGACTTTTGAGGTGAAGGCTATAGTAATAAGTTATTTGTTTGACCCACCTGCTATGCAGCATTGTTTTTTATTTCCATTCCGGGGTAAGTAAGCGATGACGGCCTCCTTCTCATAGATGTGCTTGCAGTCCATACTACACAGCAAAAAAATTGTTATAGCGAACACTTTAGACTGAAAAGGGTGGCCGACGAAAGAAAGCACTGTGCAGCACCTTCTAACTGGTTCTGCTAGGTCAGTAATCATTTTGCCACTTAAAGGACATTTCACATTCAGCAGGTTGGACTGGGTGCTTGTCATCACGATATCCTCCTCCTCCTCACCCGGCATTGGCTGACCTTTATGATGAACATTCTGGAGGCCAGTACAAGGTTATAATCAACCACAAAAAGAGTGGGCAGGAGTTGGAATGCAAGATAAAGGGAAAAAATACGATGTTAACTAAAAGCAGTAACAGAAGACAAAAACCATACCCAAACAGCTTCCTGAAATTGACGGATTAGTCGATCATTCTGTGAAGGCATAGCCTTGAGCTTCATAAATTGCTCGTCAAGCAACTTTTTGAAATCAGTGAACTGCAGGAAACGGAAACACATAGTTACCTTTATAACAAACACGGTCTCAAATGAAAGGAAGAAAGAAAAGCTAAAATCCGTGGTTAGGTAAAACCTCTGAGGTAGGCTGATATTCATTTCCCACAGTATGAATTGCTGATGCATGACGGATACAGTTATCACAAGATTCTGACAACTGAACTGCTAGTGTTTCAAGCTCCTTGACGTGGAGAGAGATACAAAGCAATTACCAAATGGAGTCAGTTCCATAGCAAACATAATTCAATCATGTCTTAAGTGCTGTTTTATCAGGGAAACACGATAAAGTCCTCCGTGGCAGGTGAATTTGTTTCATTTCTATTCTTGTTGCATCAGAACAAATACACTTGCACAAGATCAGAAACAAAAGGGTAGGCAAAATACTCAATAGTAAAACTTCAGAAGGCAAGGAAGAAACAGGCAGATAAGCAGACCTGAAGTCTATATTACAATAAAAAGTGGCTGTTTAATTATAAACATCCCGACTACAGGAACACTACACACCTAGGAGTCAGATGTTGAGAGTGGACTTCACTTCCGCCACTCGCTCCAGAATGATGTGAACAAGTATGGAAACAGTGTTCAAACTTATTCAACGGAATACATAAACATAATAATGAACCACTAGCACAAGCATATTGGGATTTGCAAGCTGGATGCGTTATTTGACTAGGTAAAACCAAGGGGAGATTATGGTTCAAACCAACTGTATACATTCAGCCTTTTCTTTTGCTATAGGTGCGCACATATACATTCTTGGCAAAGAGAACCTTATGATTTAGAATTCACTCTATAAGAGAATATCCACAACCATAATCCACCAAAAGAGTGACAAATGAAGATACTAGCCACCGACATAATATCCCGAAAGAGAAGCGAACACAAAGCATATTTCAGTTCGGACAAAGAACACACCTTTGTCGATTCCTTCTCTCTTTCCAGATCAACTGCAATATTTTTCACCATTGTGAAGGCTTTTTTGATTTCCTGAAAAAGATCATATCAATAGAAAGCAGATTTTCCAGATCAATGTTCTCCTCCACGGAAAGGGAGACAAATGGAAGCAGATTAACTAAAGCACCGAAAAAAGATAGCACTTGCATTGATGAAAAAACTAGTTACAGCACGTTCTGCTGCAACCGATGAACCGAATCACCCGTGTAGTTATGAGAGAACTTTTTCTCTGATGGTGCTGATGAATGTGTTAAGAAATCAGGGCTTCCAAAACAAAAAATCAGCCCATTTCTACTTTTATCTCCTGAATGAGCTATTAGGGTTTATCACCAAATTTGAGAGTTCAATTCATTTAGACACCTAGGACCCCTTTTAGCAGATTACTGTGAACAGAAAGCGCCACGTTCTGCCATAGTAAATCTTCCGATGCTAGTAACAGTAACTTTCAACGCCGGATTCCATACAGGATTAACGAGAGAGAGACTTACGCTGACGAGAGACTGCGTATCCTCGGCGAGAGTAGAAGCAGCCCTCTTGAGCCTTCCGGAGGCGTGGTCCCTCACAGAGGGAGTCGAGCTCGACGCCATTAGACTGGATTTGGGCGTAATTGAGTTCTGTTCATCGGTGGGGAAGGGATTCGACGGCAGACCTCGATCGGCGGTGGGAGTGGGAGTCGGAGTACTCTGCTCTCTTTGGACTTCGGAGGGAGAATGGAGGAGGGAAATTCAATCGACAACTTCCAATTGTTTCCCCCACTTTTTTCTAGTTACGAGTCAGCTATGCCCGGGCCTAAAACTGGGCCGGGCTTAAGTCAGACTGTATTGGATCAGGCTCAAATTTAAGCGCTAAACCTTAACATTTGGCCCAAGGAGATGTGTACGGTGGTTGATTATCTCGTTCTTTACTTTATCATCGGTTGTTTATCGTTTCGTGTAAATACTTATGATAAGTGGTTAGTCACTGATTCTTGCTCAAATGTAACAGAATTGTGTATATACGGATCCACTCTTAATAAACTTTTATCTCTATTTCTTTGTTAAATTTGTGAATGGTTATCTCTTTGATTCTTTTTTTTTCTTCGTATCTATCTACTCATTCCAATATCTACGGAGAAAAATAAAGAAAAATTGTCCCGCCGTTAATTTAACTTGTAACGAAGTTGTACTTACTTTCATTAGTAAAGATAAACAAACCTTTTGTCACATGCCGATTTTCTGAAGAAAATATACAAATATAATAATAAAGTAATTATAAGGAACCGACGATCTAATTAATTAATTAAATAATTAATTAATCCCAGCTGCTGGTTGATCCACTGCCATCGCCACCTCCCATCATGAAAGAAGCATACAGCTCATCCTCATCAACCTCCAAAACCTCACCACCATTATGAATGTTATCATTCATGCTGGCCGAGCTTCCCCATTGATGATCAGACGAAGAGCTACACGAATTGTTCCGTGCAATATTGACGTCGATCGGACGGCTCTCCATATGAGAAGACGGCGGAGGAGGAGGCCCAGCTGTCATGAGAGCCAGCTGGACCATCTCGTTGGCCCGGGCCAGCTCGTGGCCGAGCCGAGCCACCTCCCTCTCGAGTCGGCGCCTCTCCGCCGCGGCATGGTCCAGCTTGAGCTGCAAGGTGTTGTAGTCCAGCTCCAGGCTCTGGGCTTTCCACCTGGCGCGCCGGTTCTGGTACCACACCGCCACTTGCCTCGGCGGCACGTGGAGCCGCCTCGCGAGCTCGAGCTTCAGGTCCGGGGCGAGCTTCTTGTTGGCGCTGAAGCTGTTCTCCAGCACTCCCACTTGCTCTTGCGTTAGCCTCTTCTTGTTCATGTTCTGGTTTGCTTGTGGCTGTGGGTGGTAGCGATCCTCCTGTTGCTGCTGTTGGGTTTCGGAGTACTGGAAAGGATACATGGTGTAGTTATGTTGTTTGTTTGTTGCGGAAAGGGGGAGAGAAGAGAAGACTTTTGGGAGTGAGATATGGGCGTGTACTATACCTTGGTTTCCTTGGACGTAATTTGGATGGGCTCATATATATGGGAAGATTAGAGTACTGTGTATGTGAGATGTGTAAAGAAATGTTCTTAAAATCTATAGGGGTTTCCAACTAAATTTGACTTCAGTAATTGGGTAGAATTAGTCGCCTACGTTGATATTGTTATACGAGAGGCAATCAACATGACAAAGAAATGTTAATTTTGTCTATGGTTAGACTAACATATATGTAAGATGTACGTTTATTAAGTTTGCTATCTAGATAATGAGTTGACTGGAGTTTGGGGCATGATGCTATAATCTAGTCTTTTCATGGGCGACCCTCAGTGCCTAATTCTCGAAACCAACAAATATGAGTTAATACCTTTGACCATACATGAGGGTCTCTAGCTCGTATTAACAACCGATCCAAGTACAATTAGGGATAAAGTTACCAGGTCTGTACAAAACCTTAAACTCATCAGATGTATTTCGTTAGGAAATGTGAATGAAAGTGATATGAAAACGATGTTAGGACTAGTTATCGAACAATTCGATTTATTGAGATAAATTGGTTCTTCGATATAGAATACAAATGAACATTTTTATTTGTTTTTCCCCCCTCAACTGCTCTCGTTATAGGGTCCAGTAGTTTATTGAGACTGGGTTAACTACTATATTATTATACGATTGTTGACCAAAAAAAAAAAAAAAAGAACAGTGTACGGTAGACATACCAAAAATGATAGGACCCTGTCTCATTTGATGCTATAAACGGAGGATGGAAAAAACGTCATGTCATTTCAGTATTAATTAGTTAGTTAGTTGTGCTGGTACTAAGCTCACTGTTAGATCTTTAAGAGTCCATTATATTGATGACCTCCATTTTTAGTATTTTATGACCCTAAATATGTTTGAATTTAAGATAAGATACTACTGTAGTACGGTTGAACTTCTGAATAAGGTAAGGGGAAGACCCTACCTAGGCGACAGGATTGAATTTCAAGGGGGTTTGAAAGGAAGGAAGACAGAGACAGGCGAGAGGGATGGCGAAAGAAGTTGGGAGAAAGGGAGGAATTGCAAGATGAGAATGGTGGCGGCCGGCGGCTAATAAACTAGTTGAGAAAATCGTCTCGTCGGAGATGGCCTGTGGGTCTTCACGTGAAGTTGGTCCTACCGACGGACGGACGGACGATTGCCAATTAATTCGCTCCCAAACAAACACATAATCGACCTGGCTATCTTATAGTTGATTAAGGGACACTTACCTGAATTTTTTTTTTTAAGAAATGAATTAGTTAAAATGTCCAGAAAGAGAGATCTTCTATATCTAAGTGAAATAAATTAGCTTAGCTTTGTATTAGTTGGTCAGTATGATTGGCCATGTAGATTGCGGATGAGATTATATGACTAATGACTTCATTCGACGTATTAGATTATCGGTTAAGATAATTTTTCAAGCTTGATGTGTGATTTAATAAAACCAAATAACAGATGGTTATATTTTAAAGAGAATCGACATAGTCCAATCAAAAATTGAATGACAAAGTGGAGCAAAAACGAATACCTACTAAAAGATGAATCATAATAATGAGTTAGGTTGAACGAGCAATATTGAAATTATCACATATAATTTTTATATCATATAAATTATCACCCCCAATTGGACTAAGGATAATTTTTTTTTCCTTTTCCGTCCCGCAAATTGGATGTGGAATGGAGCCAAAATAAAATTAAAATAAAATAAAAAATCTGACTGTACAACAACCTCTAATCACACCGGTCACATCTTCCAGTCTCGACTCCGACGACCGCTAAGCTAACCCTAGCCGTTGAAGTTTGAATTGGTGGATGCTCTTCCGCTGGCCGCCTATTATTCATCTCGATATGCCTCTTTTCTTTGGACCGCAATTAATCATTCCATCCTCTGTTGCCGGCGGCGGTCAACCGGTCATGATTTAGAAGAAAGACAATAATGAGCTCCATCTTCTCGAAGATTCGCCCTCCGACGCAAAACTTGTCTTCATGGGGAGAGTGAAGTCCAAAGAGAAAGAGAGCATGTAGATAGACCGTCCATGGTCGCACGTAAATGATAATCACAAACAAGTAGAGCAGTAGAAAAGCAGTACATACTGTAACCAACTGTTTTATTACCTACATAGACAAAAGATGAAACTATGTTCGTAAGTTTATTACTTGCATGCATCATTGCTAAGCTAAAGGTGACTAGAAAAGAAGAAAGTTACTCACTTTCTACCTCCCCATTTGACAATTTCGTAACCTGCCAGCTAATTTAGTTCGAAAGGCTTTGCCTATCTGTCAGTCGAGCTCAAGTACTACTTTACCAGGGACCCGTCTGCTGTCTTTTGCTTCATGCGCATCCCTCACTTGCGCGATCGGGAATGTCTTCTCCACTGGCATTTTCAGCTTCCCGATCTCGGAGAGTCCGCGTATTTCAGCTAACCCGTCCGAATCAGCTCTCATGTACGTCCACCAATACTCTGTACCAGCAGATGAATCCGATAATTTAGTTCCAAGTATAATACTCTTATGGCCGGTACATGAGAAACAAACAGCTTCACTTTCGACCCAAAAGACCGAATAATGTTGTCAAGCCAGGTGTTATCAAACAGGTATGAGATGTTTTAAATGAAAGTTTGAGGTTGGGAGGAAAGACCTGGTAGAAAACGAAATTTACATACCTATTCCATGAGAATAACGATACTGTATCTGTTTCTTCAATAATATTGAAGTGGCGAGGGGAAGACCTACAACTAACCCGTATCTATCTGTCAAAGCTGCTGCTTCGCCCTACAATAGTAGACATGATACAGATCAGTTTCAAGACTATGTGGAAGGTATAAGCGTCTACATTAACTTGCTTCCCTAAAGGTGCAAAGTACGCTTTCATCAATTACCTGAAGAGTCATGTAGTGGCCACCTCTCTTCAGAAAATGGATTCCTGTCCTTTCTGTTTCCGGCAATCCGATAGTGTCAAAAACGGCGTCAAACTTTCCTTTTATAGCTACCTCAATATCCTGAACGTTATAACAGTTTATTACTAAGGGTGAACAAGCAAGCAAATGTGTGTTATGTAGATGTTTTATGCCTTTAAATAGCTGGGATGCACAGTCACCTCAGCAGTGTAGTCAACAGCCTGTTCTGCACCAGATTCCAGCATTCGAGCTAAACTGTTACTTCCACAGGTGGTTGTAACTTAGCACCCAGCAGCAACACCGAGCTGGATGGCAGCAAAACCGACAGCGCCACCACCACCAATTACTAACAGCCGTTGCCTGTAGCCACACCACAAACATAATAGAAGGTCATTAGATAGTATATCATATTACCATAACTTCATTTTACACAAAGCATAGGAGGACTTCCGGCAATACATATTTTAAGCACTTTTTCGCTAGAGCAGATTAACTGCCTCCCTCAGTGAAACTAGGAATCCAAATGGAAAATACTGCATGGTACCTAAATGTTCGTCTCCCAAACAGCATAGTTGCCTACCCTTGTATCTGGTCCTTCAGTCATTTCAGTAATTTTCCAACCTTATAATTGTTTTATCTTCTTTTAGTACTTCTATTAACCCAAAGAAAAATTGAAGTGCTTGCATTACCAAGTAGCTATGTGCAATAGAATCTGTATGAAATAAGTTTAAGGTTAATTATTCAATTGGGCTTGAAAAGTTTATAAGAAGCAACATTTTCTGGTCAGCTTACCATGATAAGATCTTCTAAATATTTCAAGCAGACCGTAAAATAAGTCAAACACAATATCCTAAACTTACACCATTACTCAAATAAAGGAAGTCCTAACAGTTCAAGCAAGTGCCTGCCTGCAGTCTTTCCTTCGGACCAAAGCTTGGCTAACCTCAACCTTGATGTGTCTTGGGTTATTCGGCAAAAATTATGCAGAAATTAGAGGGTTCTCAGCTGGAAATTCTAGAAAACAATAAAAAAAGGGACAGTTTAAGGGGTTGCCATCCAATCCAGGAGCAGGACTTTGCTAGGAAAAACACGCAAAAGGCGTTTGAGAATCCACTGAAAGAAAAAAAAAAGTCGAAAGTCACACGTAAACTCATAAAATTCTGCAATACTACAAACAAGTTGAATGAGCGATGAAAATGTAGCAGTAAAACATACCCCTCAGCTATTCTAGCTGTACTCATTAGAGCACGCCAAGCAGTCAGTGCAGCAAAAGGAATGGCACTTGCTTCCTGCAACAGCAGAAGAATCATTACAAATAGCATTCCATCGTGCTAGGAACTGGAACTGAAGATGATCAGAATAAAAGTTCATCATAACTGCAATGATTTCAAGTTCAATCACTATCATTCCCAGCTGTTGCTCATATGACTAATACTTGATAATCTTAGTTTAAAATCCCCTTATGCATATCCAAGTATATTTAACAGGTCCAAATGTGCAAGCAAGTCAGCAAATAGAGGTTTCTTTACAGTTTCGCCTCAAGGAGAGGGGTGAAAAATGAAAAAATTGAGTCACTTTTCCACATGGGAAACTATAAACACTGCATTCTGTACCACATGAGTAATTGAAGCTGGTTTTGCAGCAAGTTCTTCCTCTGAAAGCACCGCATAATCAGTGTAAGTGCCCCTGACAGCAGTTGGATGCAGAGCACCAAAGACTTCTTGTCCAACACTCAACGAATGAACCGAGGTCCCAACAGCTGCAACTTCCCCACTAACATCTCGACCTAAGACGAGATGTAGGAGTGGTTCAAATACCGAATGACCATAACCTGCTCGCATCTGGAAGAATTATGATCCCCGAAAATGGATTGATTAATGAACAACTCCTTGCAACAAATAATTCCGTAAGTAAGGACATCATCTACTTGAAAAATTCAGCATTGATTTAATACAGCGTGTTGTGAGTATGATCTAATGACAAGAAATGGATTTCCAACTTCTGTGACTCAACTTCCATCATCATTCATACCATTAGTTACCTTTTAGTCCCTTCCCTAGCCTTCCAGTCCTATTCTCATACTGAAATGAGAACTTAAAATTTAGGTTCGTTCTCATGCATATGCTTCTTTGCTAGAGCATTACCAACTTTTACTTCAGGCTCCAGCTTCTCTGATTCTGATAACACATAATAATGCAATCGCCACAGCCCACAGCCCAAGAACATTAAACTCATTCTTATCCATGGCTCTCCTGACCTAATCACAATTTCCACCCAGCAAAAACAAAATCCATTCATTCTATCGACAAATTACGTCCGATCGGAACTTACTCTGGTATCCAGTGGATTAATAGAAGCTGCCCGAACACGAACGAGGACCTCATTGGGCTTCAGCGGCGGCACATCAACGTTGTCCCGTAACACTGCCCTGCAACTAGTTACAATGTGTCTAGTAAAACCCGAATTCCAGAGTCGGCTGACCACCGCCTTTCTTGAACTGAAGTGAGGCCTCAAGAATCGCATTCTCCGCGGCATTTGTTGGCTCGGGCTTGGCTGCTTCTATTCGTCGGACAGCGGTGGGGGTTTTCCCATGTGCATGAGAAATTGATCGGAGACGGACGATGCTGTGAATGATTTTGGGGAGTTACTGGAAATTGGAAATGAAAGCGCGAGGGCAGGCAGTGGGACGCAGAAAGAAGGAAGAGGAAGCAGATGACGTGTGCTTGTTTGCATCCGCCAGAAAGCGCCTGCCTGATGACGGAAAATTGGACAACCCAACCCAAGCCACCGGTTCGACTTGCGACCAACCATCCATGAAACTGAAATGCAAATGGGCCCAATTGTACCACTATAATCACTAGGGGTGGGCACGTGGGTGGTTAATCCGCAGATTTATATCGATCCACCCGCAAATAATCCGACCCGCAAGCAGTGGGTGGTTGATGTGGGTGGATTGCGGATTGATAAATCTTCCACCCGCACTTATGTGTGTGGGTGGTGGGTGGATTGCGGGTCACCTGAATGACCTGCATCCTATTTTCACATGTCAAAAATGTTGTTTTGACTACTATTATTAGTTATTGTGTTGTGTCATTTTCATTAGATATTGGATATTGGAATGTAAATTATTGTTAATATCCATTAAATATTGGAATGAAAATTTTAAATTATTAATTTTATCAAATCACAAAATGCGTAAATTTTCTCTACACAATTGGTTGATAGAGTAGTAAAAAAATTTATGCAAATATTACATGGGTTCACTAGAGACAAAGTGAGAAGTGTTTAAATTGATACTGTCTTACTAATTTACCATGAACGTATTATAAATGTTAGTCAACTTTCTTAATGACTAGTTGAAGAATTGCTTTTGCGGGTTAACCCATGACCCAACCGCACTTATCCGCGATCCACCCAACCCAACCCGCAAAAGAATGTGGGTGGATTGCGGGTCACAATTATTCCAACTCGCTAGTAAGCGGGTGGGTCAATTTAAAACGAAAACCCACCCAACCCGCCCATTGCCCACCCCTAATAATCACTTGTCTCAATGGCTCGTAGTCCAGCTTGGCTAAGTAATGGAAGGCCCAATTGGTTCGTTATCATTGGTGTGTGGCTCGTACATTTGGATAGGGCTTTACTAGACACATTGTGACCGCGAAAATGCCACATTTGTTCACTGAAATTATCAAATCGTGTTATGTTTAGTATCTATAAAAAATTAATATAAATTTTGGTCACTCGAATTACTAAAACATGTCACATTTAATTACTCTCTAGTTAGCCTTCGTCCAAGTCCTGTCACTCGAATTTTTTTTATTTTTATAAATGTCAATCGAATTACTGAAACATGTCACTTTTAACGGAGTTGGACAGAGGCTAACGGAGAGTGACTAAATGTGACATGTTTCAGTAAATCGAGCTGCTCAATTAGTACAATATTGTCCGCTTTGGGCCAAGCCCGCACAGATTTTCTCTTGGGTGTCCTCCCCAAAAGGCCTCGTACTAATGAGTTTGGTGTGCACTAATATACAAAGGTTTCTTCCCTTGTATTTCCGATGTGCTACTTGGATTGTCCCTTAACAATACTCCTTTTACATTTTAGGGTGGTGGTCATAGAAAGCGAATCTAGCCTCGCTCTTAAGTAACCTCTCCTAAGAATCTACACATAATATAATACACCGAAGGGAAAAACGGGAGCCCCATTTCAAATTTCCTGCAACGAGAGTGAAAGTAGGAAGGACATTTTGGTCTTCACAATTACTTTTTTTTATTCATTAAAAAGACACGTACTGGGATTCGAACCATGTCCATTTTAAAGAAAAGCAAGAAACATAACCAATCACACTAAGTACATTTGTTGCATCCTTTTAAATCAAAAACATATAATAGCAGGGAGGAAAAACCCCTTCCCCCATTTCAAATTCCCTGCTCCATGAGCGTTTGTAGGAAGGGTAGAATAGGTAGTGTTAATTTTTTTCTCTTTCCTCTGTGGAACAGGCCAACTTACCGTACACATGCGGATTTAAACGGGTTCAGGAGTGTCAATTTTTTCTTTAACCCCTTGTATTTCTCCGTGGTGATAAAATATATATGAAAAGACAAAAACAATACTTCTTTTTATGCTAAAAATAAAAAAAATTTAACAATTAACTAATGCATGGTATCTAAAGGGCTAACCGCTAACCATAAAATAAAAGAGTTGAATGGGCCTGACCTACACCGGATTTGGCCATCAAATAAAACAAATGAACATCATTGGTTTGACATTCTAAATCAAGCTATTTTCTCTAGCATAATATATATTATTATATTATTTTATATTTTAGTGGCTAAAATATAATGTAGTTTAAAGTTATTCAATGGTTCAATCTCGACCAACCCAATTAGTCCAATTTTTATCATTTCAAATATATATTATATAATTATTTGATATCATAATGATAAAATTATAGTGTATTTTATAGGGAATCGTTTGGTATTTGTTAGTAAAAAACTAAACAGAAAGATCTATTTGGTTATTTTAAACATTAAAACGATCCTAAACATTTTCAGTTTCTTTTGAATTTCTATGGTTTTATTCACGAATAAGTGATGTGCAAATGGCGAATTGCAGTCATCTATTTTCTTTCACTATTTTTTATTTTCAAATAGAAAGTTTAAAAGTAACGAATAATTAGAATTTTGCATGGGTCGGTCAAACAGGCTGAATTTTAAGTTTTGGCCCGTTTTGATCAAGTCTAATTTATAATCACATGGTTCCCTGATACCCGATAAAAATCTCAATCCAAACCACTTTGGCAGGTGAGTCCGTGTTTACCACCATTCTCTAGGAATACGACAACGGTGGTTCCTATCCCAAATCGTGTTGTTCGTTCTTGATTTCCTTAGATTTTATCATGGCCTGACAAAAACCAGAAAGCACAATGACGACAAGATGAAAGTTTTATAAATCAAATTAATGGTGTTCTCTTTCTGATCTCATGTAATTATATAATGAAGTTGAAGTTTTCGATGCTATTCAATTTCATTGGTATGTTTTTAATGGTCTAACTTCATGGTTGTACCAACTTTTGATGTACTGTTTATGTTCCAATATATTCACTTTGGTATGATTATTAGGGATATGCTAGGCGGTACTCACCATTAGACCAATTTAGCTTAATGGTTGAATCTACGGGTTATCCCAATAATTCAATATTCGGCTCAGCTCCTCCGACCAACGGGTCGGGTTACAAGCTAGTTATTATTATGAGTCATCATAAATCTTCAATCTGAGTCCAAGTCAAGGGCAACACACATCTCCGAAACACTAAGTTCTACTTGGTGAAGCAAGGAGGAAGACGAAGAAAAAGAAGTGGCGGAGACAAGCTGACCACAAACAAATTCAGCTTCCTTTGATACTTAGGATGAAGCATCTCCATCTCCGATAGATCAGAACATAGGACAAAAGTACTTGCCAGTTAAACAAAGGACAAGTACTGTCTAAAATTTATCTCTAGCTAGCTATTTTGTGTAAAGTTGAGGAGAAAGGCGTGGGTTGAGAAGCACCTCTAGCGGAATGGCTCTGGGAAGTGTGATCCCCGAGGACCCCGACACTTCACTCATGTCCACGGGCTGATCTCCCGGAGTAGTCCAATCAAACCCTTGGAGCAGCCTGGCCAAAACCAATTCGGTCATCTGCATTCCAAAATGAATCCCGGGGCAACCGCGCCTGCCCGACCCAAACGGGAGGTACTCGAACTGCTGCCCGAACACCTCCCGTTTGGCGTCGGTATTCAGGAACCTCTCCGGCTTGTACACGTCTGGATCGGACCACAGCCTCGGATCCCTGTGCAGCTTCCAGAAGTTGGCCATGAACCAAGTCCCCTTGGGAACACGGAACCCTCCGATCACAAACTCCTCCGACGCTTTTCGGGGCACCGAAAGTGGAGCCACCGGATACATTCGCATGCTCTCCTTAACCACGGCTCTCAGATACGTCAGATTTTGAATGTCGGACTCCTCCACCCATCGATCTTTCCCAACTTTATTGTCGATTTCCTCTTGAGCCAGCCTTAATGCCGACTTGTGGTTCAGCAAGTTCGATAGGATCCACGTCACTGTAGTCCATGTTGTGTCGGTCCCTGCCACGAATACAGACTATACCAAAAAAAAAAAAAAAAACAGGGGAAAACAGGGGAAGCTGCTTAGAATCCAAAACTTGGACGGGATTCAACTTCCATTGATTGCTCATATGAAAGGATGGGGGTGAAAGAAAAGTACCAGAATGGTGGCCTTGATGACATTCTCTCGCTGGTGGCCGTGGAAGAGTTGGTCTTTAAATTCCGAGAGCATCATGTGGATAAGGTCGGGATTTGCATCGACTTTGTTCTTCTTCCTCTCCTCCTTGTGCTCGTCGATCCAGGTTTCCATGATGGCATCCATCTCTTTGCTCACCCGTTTCATGTCCTTCACAACTCCCTGGAACAACCCGAGCCACCCGAGGATTGGAATCGAGTCGGAAGGGACGAGCGTACCGGTGAGCACTACAATGTCCCTCAGAACCTGAACAATTGGCCTCCCCTGCCCCGAAGATTCCTTGTCGTCATAGTATCTATACCGCTTCCCGGCGATCATCCGAGTAATTATATTGATCACTGTGCCCTGGACTGCCTCCCCGATCACAACAACATTGGCCTTATCATCATCGTTTCCGCCTCCGCCGACGCTCTGCTGGTAGAGGTCGGCGATGAGGAAATGGATCTCGGAGATCTGGACGTGTGCGAGGGCCTTGATTCGATGGGCGGAGAGGAGCTGGGTGGTGAGCAGCTTCCTCATTTCGCGGAGGTAGGTGCCGTAAGGCGCGAATCCGATGGCGGCGTAGTTGTACCCCAGGATCTTGGCGTGGCTGGAGTCCGGCCGGAAGGCGAGGATCCGGTCGTGGGTGGTGAAGCAGTCCTTGACGTCGTCGTAGTCGCTGACCACGACGGTCGGGTTGTTGGCTCCGAGGCGGACGGTGAAGACGGCGCCGTACTTGTCGGCGAAGGAGGCCAGCTTCCGCGCAAGGATCTGGTTGCCCCTCAGGAGGTGGAGGTGGCCGACCAGAGGCAGGGCACCGGGGATTTCGGGGACAATGTTAGTATGCTGCTGCTGGTTTCGCTTGTTGGCCAGCCGGCGGAAGTGGAAGAATACGACGACGGCAAAGGTGACGAGGATTTCGGGGAGATGCTCTGAAATAATCATGCCGACGGCGACTCTGTGTGTTCTCCTTTCGTTCGTTGCTGGTTGGAACAGAGTTGGAGATGCTCAGTTACTTTATAGAAGAGTGAAGCTTTTGTAAAAAAAAAAAAAAAAAAAAAAAAAAAAAAAAAAAAAAACATATATCACTCTTATTAAAAAAATATTTGGAATGACAGAAGTGAAAGTGAACCCAATGATCAAACTTGTAATTTACCATTCAGTTTAATAAATCTACCTTCTTGGTATTTGTTACCATATCGAGCAGCCTTTAGCAACGTACCAAGCCCGCCCGCCACGGCGAAATTAATGGGCAGCGTTAAAAATGGATCTACTGCACACCGTTAAAAATGGATATATTATTATTAAAAGGATTCAATTCAGTGGTACCGAAACACTGTTGGCCATTTTGTTTTCATGCAGACAGACAGCTGCTTAATTAATTACTAAGTAGTAATTAGGCTGAGAAGAAAGTAGATCTAGCGGCTGCTAGGGTTTGTAATTCGAGAGAGAAACGATTGATTTGGAGGAATTTGGCAGAATGCCTTCTCATTCCATTTTGCGCAGCATATATAAAGAGTTGGGTAATTACAACTTCCTAATCTATTGTTACAACGACTAATTACAACTAACCAATTACAGCAGGATAAGTGTCAAAACCAGAGTCAACAACTAAGTGTCGTTGGAGAGAACCAAAACGTTGTCGTCTTTATTTATTTATGGTATGGATTTGGTTGAACCGGGTTAAAGGAAGCCTGATCCATCTTTTGACCCGAACCCCTGCACTTCATCTTCTTCTTTCAGCATAGTGCAACTCTGTTTGAATGTTCTGTTCTTCCTCTGATGCACTCTGGTTGATACGCCCCCTCAAACTGGCGAGTACATATCATGTACACCTAGCTTGGAGAGCCAAAACTTAAACCGATCACCGGATAACCCCTTAGTGAATAAATCGGCTAACTGATTCTCGGTGTTCAAATGAAATAAATTGAGAAGTCCTGATTTTAACCTTTCTCTGACGACATGGCAGTCTACCTCTATGTGCTTCGTTCGCTCATGATAAACGGGATTCTCCGCAATGTGAATAGCCGATTGGTTATCACAATACACCTTCACTGGATTTGAATGTGAGATTCCAAAGAAATCGAGGAAAGCCTTTAACCACTGCACTTCACAGGCAAGTTGCGCCATTGCCCTGTATTCTGCCTCAGAAGATGAACGTGATACTGTACTCTGCTTTTTGCTTTTCCAAGTGATCAGTGAACTACCTAGGAAAGTACAGTACCCAGTAATCGATTTCCTTGAATCTGGACAAGTTGCCCAATCTGAATCACAATATCCACTTAACTGTAAACTGGACGAGGAAGAAAACCAGGCTATATTAATATATGTTGCTTTTTCCCTCTATCTCAACACTGAAGTTGTAAAATCGGTTTATACAGTTATCCCAATTCATTAAGTAGTAGGATGAAACTTGAAACATTGAACTAATTTTAGTGATCATGAATTAAATATTTTTATTTTAGCGACAAACATTGAACCAACTTAGTAAACCCAGTGGTCAAACTTGCAATTTACCCTTTAATAAATCTACCATCTTGGTATTTGTAAAATATCGAGCAAAGGAAATAGTAAAATATAATAGCCCATGAGCAGTTATGATCATTAACCTTATGGTCAATAATCATGCATAACCTGCCACATTACCATTTATTGAAGACCTCTAATCTTTTCCCCTCTAGATTTTAATAGGCTATATCTCTTTCGTTTTAAGTTGTAATTTTTTTTTGCACAAATAAATCAGATCAAGTTATTCAAAATTATATCAACTTTGATGTACCATTGTGGTAAGGGTTAATTGCAAGGATGGTCACTGGGTTTACTAAAACCGTTCATGTTTGGTCACTGCAAATATTTAATTTCATTCATGGTCACTAAGATTAGTTCAATAGTTCAGGTTTGGTCACTCTCTGTTAGTCTCCGTTAATTTTTGCCATGATAAAGGAAACCGTACCAAAAGTCATATCGGATCCACTTGCCATTTCATTTGGTATTTCATAAAATGAAAGCTCCCACTATATGAAATAGGTTATGCAACCATGAAATAAGAAGATGCAAGTGCCACATCACAATGCAACGGCTGTATGACAGCCGTTGCGGAAGCTCTAATGTGCTTCGGAATAGGTAATCACTAAACAGAGCTTCGGTGGGCCGTCGTGGCTCAATTCCATTGAGCATGCAGTTGGCCGGCTTTCACAATGTTCAGACGTCGTTTTCCCATCACTAACCACCAGCCAGCAAATAAAGTAACTCTCATCATTTGCGCATCAAACAACTTAAGTGGATCCAAGCGTATCAGTCCACAAAAGCGCAGAGCAGCAGCATCATCAGGAACGAAGAACTCTGACTCTGACTGAGGGCTCCAGTTTGTCAGTAAATTCACAACATTAGCAACCGCATAAGTAATAACATTACCCACCGATTGTAGTTGGTCACTAAACCTCCAGTCTGTCGCTAATGCCGGATGTGTTCGGTCAAATTTTACGGGAAATGATTGGTTCTCCTCCAACTTAATTTACTTCTAAAAAAAACTCGTTTCTGGTTACAGTAACTTAATTTACCTTGCCCTTGTTTCTAACTAGTTTTCCTGATCTAATCGAAACCATGGGAGGAGGCAACCGAGATCGGTTGGTTCATCACAGATTCTACAACCTTGACCAGCTTTGTGCTATTATGGTAGAGGTCCTCCTTCCTATAGAACAGAAAGAACCCTTTCACCGACCTCCACAACATATCCCTCACTCCTTCAGGAACCTCACTGTAATCATCTTCGCCCGTAACCGATCTCACCATGTCTCGCGTCAACGATTTGATTTCGTTTTCGACATCTTCCACTGCTTCTTCTGTGCCCATTCCTCTCTCCGTCACCCGTAGCGACACTGCATTTACTTTTCCTTGCTCAGCTTCTCTCTGTACGTAAACCCACGACAATTATTATGGAGAAGATATAGCCCCTTCAACATTGTGGTCTGCATTCGTACGTACCTCGAAACCTACAACGTCGTTCAGTAAACGACCGATGGTGGTGTGGAGCATGAACAGCCCTTGAAATTGTGGGCTTAAAACGACGTCGTCTTCTAGCTTATGCCCGGCTAGGTACATGGCTGGGAGCAGGAAGGCTCCTACACCGAGCGTAATGGGTGAATTCTCCATGTACGCATCAAGTGTTGGGGCCAAGTTCATCCTAGCCCATTCTGCTTCTTTCAACATTCCTCTCAGCATCTCCACCCACTACATTTATCGATCGATGTACGATTTTGATAACGTAATGTTGTTAAGTTCATGTGATGATCACGTACGGTTTTGATCGATGTACGATACGTAGCTAGACTTACAAGCTCAACGACGTGGTCCATAACATTACGCTCTTGTAGCGGGAAGGCTTTCTCCACCGTCTCACATATGGTGCTGTGAATTGCCCAGTACAGTGTTTCGACTAGCTTTGAGCACAACTTCACCTTTGGCCCCTCCACATCCCACCTGGAAAATTGCACAACTAGCTTTACATTATTGATCGTCGCATCGCGTTGATCAGATCTCGATTGATTGATTAAGATGAATCTGATGACGTACGTACCTCTCCAAGAGATGGACAAGGTTCAAACACTCCTCCGGAGTTCCATTAATGTCGAATAAGTCATCCACTAGAGAAATAATGAGGGCGTGTTTGGACAACAAGATGCGGGCATCGGAGTGGTCAGGGTCGGAGAAAGTTGCTGAAGCTTGAAAGTGACAGTAGCCTGTTTTCACCTTGGCCAACTTCATCTCGTACAGTTCTTTGTCTTTAAGCCACCTGCACAGGCAGACGCATACAGTAATTAAGTACAAGATTGTTATACATACCGAGGGACTAGCGCTAGCTCTGAACGTGACGATTGACTGGTATACGACGTACAACATAAGTTGTTCTAGCTCTTGGCGGTGCAATGATTGACGAGAGTTGAAGTCTTCTATTGCTAGTTTCAGCAGAGCTTCGTCCCCGAAGGCCGCACAGCTACAATTCAACATACGGTAACTAGTCTGAGATGATTGAACGACGATGTATGGATGAATGAATATATATAATTAAGTGTCGTAAATTAATTAATAAGAATCAAACCTGATGGAGGATTTGAGAAGTTTGTTCTTGGTCTTTTCGGGACGGTACTGATCGGTATTTCTCTTGTGAGCCAAGAGTTCGACGTCAACGTCGAATGGATAATTGAGGACATCATTCACCTAATGAAAATATATAACTTAATCTTTGTTTTTTCGTCGCTTATGAAATTCTTTCAGTGATTCACTTTTCGCCACGGTAAGATCTTCGTCACAAACATATAGGCGACGAAAGTTTCCCCTTTTGCGACAGATTATTTTCGTTACTAACATTTTTGCGACCGATTTAATGCTTTTCTGCGTTGATGTTTCGCCGCCAAAATGTGTAATTTTTTTGTAGTGATATATGCATATCAATCATTATTGGAATAAAATTAAAGCTACCATAATGGTTAACTATAATTATATATATATGTACGTACCTCATTGACAATATTGGGTGGAGCAGGACTATGATCATGACTGTATTCCAAAGCTACCTGTGTTAGGAACTTGGCTGTCCACATCTGCTGGCTTTCAAGGATGGTTGAACCGTGACAGCCATTGATTCTGGCCGCTTTGTGCAACTCCAACACTGCTTTCTTATCCTTCAAATACCCTTCCATCGTATCGGTCCAGAATCGACCCTCTGCGAATCGATCAAACACGTCTATACAGCACATCCCATGAATTACACAATATAAATATGGATCAGTACAAATTAAATATTACGTACGAGGCAGCTAGCAATAGTATAAGTGACTAACGGTTATTAATTACCAGGCGTGACTGGGCGTCCATTGAGGCGTAATATCCGGAATGCCATGGCACAAGTTGTGGCGTCGAGGAATATCTCTTCTTCTCCCTGCTGCCAACATTTGTAGATCTCATCCAAGCTCGTCTGAATTTCTTCCACAAAGTGGCGATCAATCCCCAGACTCTCCACAGCATCAATCAGACAGAGCCGGGCATGAATTTGGTAGGGGGAAACTGCTGGAACTGGAAGCAATATAGATATATGCAGAGGAACTATATCAATGGTTGCAATAGATCGAGAAGAGTCTAATTGATTCGGCGGTGACAAAAACTTGGCTGTTTCGCAAACCAAATATGTTGGTTACAAAAAGTACATAATCGGTCACTAAATTAGTAACTGACTAACTGGTCGTCAGTAAAGATTTTAAATGTCGTCGCAACAAACCAACCTCCAACTGCGTGATCAGCCGTATTATTGTCAACCAGTGACTGGAGGTAGCGAAGTGCCCCTGCGTTCTGAAGGCGAACAAAAGCCGCGGCGGTCGCTGACGGCGAGTTGAGAAGCGAACCGTTCTTCCTCTGGAATTTCATGGCCGTTTCCCAAGCTCCAGTCGACGAGTTCCCGATTCCTTCTGAGATGTAGGCCAGGTAGGCATTGCGACCGTTGGTGTCGCGATCCGGACCGGTCACGAGCGCAATGTCTCTATCTCGGATCATTGTCTCGACGTGCGCGGCATCAAGCGGGAGATTCAGATTGAAGTCTCGAACACACGTTTGGATCATGGAAGGGAACACTACGTCGAACCCGATTGGAGTTTGCTGCCGCGAATCCGCGAGGGAGCTCGAATTCGCCTCCACGAAAGCCAGAGCTGTGCGCGCGCGGTGTGAACAGGGCGTGGCAGTTAGACTCTCCGATCTAATTACATAACAATACTCGTAGTATAAGTAATATTCTACCGACGGGATGGATTATTATACCGTTGTGAATGTGGTCGTCACCAATGCCCCAGCGCTTGAGCGCGAGAATGCAAGCCAGAGTGGAGGAGAGTGTGTCTTTCATTAGCGTCGGATCTCTGCTATGAATTAGAGTCTGCAAGCCCCAGGAACCATCACTGTGCTGATTCTTTAGTATCCAACTAAGGCAGCCTGGGAAGCTTGGAGCGCTAGAAGCCGCTGCCGCGGGAGATGGAACCATGGCCACCCATGCGGTGTCGTACGGGGAGGCTGACAGCTCGAGTTTTTCGAAAAGCTTCTTGATTCTCTCCTTGGGATCGCCGGCGCTAATCTGCATATGCATTCAATTAAAATCAATTGCGATTGATTGATAACAGTACAAGTCACTAGCTACATGAGTGATCATTAATATTACCAGCTGCGTCGAGGCTCCCGCGTCCACTGTTGTTGTTCCATTCAGGTCGCCGGTGGTGGTCAATATTGTTCCGTGGTTCGTTGAGATGCTGGAACTCATGAGAGAAGAATGCATACTGATTGTACTGGGAGGAGCGAGCGAGCGAGCGAGCTAGCCAGCTAGTTGCTGTCGGATTTCTGTTGAAAGGTAATTTGTTTTTTATGAAAGAAAGAAGCAGCATATGGGTGTGTGCAGTGTAGTGTGTTGTATTTTTAAAAACATTAATAGCCAAAATTATGAGGTATTGCTCGTTTGAGGTTTTCTGAATTGAGTGAAAACATCAAACGTTTTCTTTGTGATTGGTCCTAGATTATATTAATTTTGGCTAATACCCCATGAATTTGGTCTGAAAGAGCTTTATTTTCCTTTTAGTCATGCATTGAACTCTAAAAGTAGTATTAAGACATAGAATTTTGGATTTTAATTGGTAGCATTAGCCTAATATGACGATATAACATATAATCACTACTAATCAATCCATTACCTAACCCCTATATAATTTCGAACACAAATCCAAAAACCACACATTATAAACCCTAAAACCCTAACTGTAGATCCCTAACCTCTAAAACCTTCAAATCATAGTAAATCTTGAATGATTTTGTGCATATTCACGTGTTTTCTTATTCATCATATCACAAGTGACAATTGACATCGTTTTGACATGAATCGCCTGCTTATAATGCCGATTATAAGGCAAGTGCACTGAATGCACGACACACACACGCGCACACACACACATATGGTGGCTTATTAGGTGTACTTACAAAAATGAGTTCATACAATGCACCCAATTCTAAATGCAGCCTTAAGACATTGAATTTTGGATTTTAATTAGTAGCATTAGTCTGATATGATGATATAACATAGGTTCACAACTAACCAATATTGCCAAAGACCTAATAAATCCCAAATTGTAAATTCTAACCCTAAATTTCTAAACAATAAATTCATCAAATCAAGTGTGCGAATTCATGCACTTTCTTACCCATCATATCATAAGTGATGATTGACATCGTTTTAACATGAATCGCTTGCTCAGAATGATAATTACGAAGCGAGAATATTGAATGCATGGACTAAAAACATAAATGCAAGACGGAATAAAAAAAAAATTAACATTAATCTGACTTATTTTTTTCTTATCATGCATAGACATGCAGACATACATCACGTGTATTATTTATCACCAATAACGAACGTCCATTTAATGTCAATGTTTGCATTATTTGATGGTTATTCCATGCTCAGGTCAACTTCGATGGCAATTTTGAGTTAATTTCTAGCAAGTGTACCCTCTCACACTCTATCAGCCCCTTTAAATCAATTTTACATAATGTTCACTATTTATATATACAAATAGTAAGTTTCCAATATTTTATATTCAATTCGAATAACCTTATTAGAGCATCTATATTGATATTGCATTTTTTAATTGCAAGATAATATGACATGAGTGTTTGCAATTGCAAAACCAATTGCATTGATGTGGCTACCAATTGCATATTTACAACCTTGCAACAAATGCAATTGCATATACAAATAAAAAAGACCTAAAAATGTGGCTACCAATTGCATCTTTTACTTTATTTTCTATAATTCAAAACATAACATTTAATTATATATGCAATTGCAAACGGATTGCATTTATAGGTGCAATGACATTCATATGAGTTGGATAAAAAAATATTGATATGGATAAAAAAAATTTCATATGCAATTGAACTTGCAATTGCATTGATGTGAATGCTCTTATTATTCGTATATTTGATTATTAAATACAATACTATTTAATTTAGTATTTGGTACAAATGGATACATATCAAAACATTTCGAATTAGGTAAGCGACTTCGCTTTCCCGGCCACGTGCAAGTCGTTGTAAACAGGAACTCCGAGGATTAGGTAAGCGGCTAAGCGCCGGTGGCGGACTGAAAAGTTCCGCTCCCCAGGAAATAATGCCGAGACGAAGACAAGTTAGACAACAAAACAAAAGCAATAACTACCAACAATGGAAATGGAGTAATGATGCATGGTGATATTTTCTACCTTGGCTCCTGTGTTTGCTGTCCATTCATATTGTGATTGTGACAATTCACCTCAGGTTGTGTCTTTCTCATCACCTCAAAACTTTGTGCCACCATTATTGGTGCATTCACGATAACCAAATATCCCTACCATGTGAGAGTACTGTTTTGGATAAGGCTGAATCGCCAACAAAGTATCAAATAATAGTCTCCCCAAGAAAACACTCGATTTTGTTCCTTGTTATAAGAATGAAAATTTTGAGCTCTCAATTAATCTAATTTAATTCTTCTTTTTGTGCCTGATGCGTCAAATTCCAGTGAGGGAGGCAGATCAATGGAAGTTGCGGTGAAGTCAGTGGAGAATGTGAAACCATCATGTCCATCACAGCTGAAGCCGTTCAAGCTCTGCCTTCTCGACCAGATGATGGGCAGAGGTTACATTGGGCTCGTCCTCTTCTACCCGCCGACGCCGGCCGACGGCGAAAAGGAGACGGTGGAAGCTGGCGGCGGTGATCAGAAAGTGGAGAAGCTCAAAGCCTCGCTGTCCAAAACCCTAAACTCCTTCTACCCGCTGGCCGGGAGGGTGAAGGACAACGCGAGGGTCGAGGACTTCGAAGCTGGCGTCCCATTCGTGGAGTCTCAAGTGAAGGGATACGACAGCGTTTCAGCGTTTCTAGAGTCTCCAAACTTGCAAGTCCTCAACAAGTTCCTCCCCGTGGAGCCTTTCTGCCTTCCCAACGCACACCACGAGCCACTCCCCCCGCCGTTGCTCGTCCAAGTCAACACGTTCGACTGCGGCGGGATAGCTGTCGGCCTGTGCTTGAACCACAAGCTCGCCGACGGTGTTGCTACCAACTCCTTTCTCAGGAGCTGGTCAGCACACTGCAACAACAACAACAACAGCACGAATCATGATAATGATTCGATAATAACCTCTCAAGGTTCTTCAGTTTTCCCTCCTCGAGAATCGATGCCTCCCCACGTAGAGCGACTGCACGACAAGATGTTTCTCGAGAAGGGAAAAAGACCCGCCACGAGGAGATTCGTGTTCGATGCGAACGCAGTAGCCTCAATCAAAGCAGAGGCCAGAACCAGCTGCCCGGTTCTTGAGAATCCATCTCGAACCGAAGCGATGCTAGCCTTCATATGGAAATCCATCATGACTGCAGCGATTTCGACTAGCCCTGGCCCTCCTCCCCCACCGCAGTTTCTGATGCAACCGGTCAATGTGAGGCCTCGAATGAACCTTTCGGATGAATGCTTCGGGAACCTCTTCTGCATGGCGATGGCATACTCGAACGATCCTCCGAATCAGGATGTGGGCGAGCTAGCTCAGCTCATAAGGGTAGGAGTGAGCAGGGTCGACCACAAGTTTCTTAAAGCACTATCCAACGACGATGGGTTCGAAGCCATGGTCGAGATGCTAAATCAGTTGAGTGAGGTCAGCCAGCCGCAGATGTTGTGCGGGTCTAGTTGGCTAAGGTTTTGCTTTGACGAAGTCGATTTTGGGTGGGGGAAGCCGGCATGGACCGGTGTCCTTGGGGAGGCTAGCGCCGACTACCCTTCATACAGCAACTTAATCATTCTGAAGGAGCACTTGGCGCACCGCCAAGATGCCGCCGGCGTAGAGGCTTGGATCAGGTTGGATGTGGATGTGATGGCTACTCTTGAACATGATCCTCACTTCTTGCAATTTGCTTCCCCCAATCCTCCTATCTTTTGCTCCTCATCATGAGCTAGTTGTTCGATCAAGCGAGCTTTGTTTTTCTTGGTAGACGGTTTTAGTGGTATGAAATTGTTAAAACACTGTCAAACTATAATTGTAGTACAAAATGTTATGCCAATGAAATATTCAGTATGGGTGACGACCCGGACAAAGCACCTTATTTGATCTTCGTTCTCTTTTTATTTTGTATCGTTTTGATTTTTTGATTTTTTTTCTCTCTCTCTGTTGCTAGGGCGGGGTAGCGTACTCAGGATCCATTAGAATATCCGTTTCTTGCCAAATGATGCTACTCTTCCATACAAATTAAAGAATAGTTGATTAAACTAAGATAATGGGGTTTTAACAATATTCAAAATTTTATTATGAAAAAGATATAAACATCAACTCTACGATTAGGGAAGATATGTACATGATGATGATGATGATAATTACACAATCCTCAAAATTTAAGGGCAAAAAATCAACAACATATCTTCAATTTTTCCTCGTAGTCAACAAGGAATAAAGTCAATGAACATCTCCATAATCATGAACGGGAGTTTGACGAGGCTGACGGCAAAATTTGCAATTCCAGTGCAACACATGCAACAGCAGGGGCAGATGCAATTCAATATGCTCCTGCAAAAATAAGGATTCATATATAAAACAAAGTGCAAATGAATAGGTTGACGATGAATGCGATCGTTCTCGCGTTAAATAATCAGACATGTTTGCGCAAATACACAAAAGATGAAGGAGAAAACGGGAACGGAGAACGGATCAAGCGCGTACCCGACAATCCAAAGAAGAGCTCCAAGAAGGGATAGTATCAAAGACACGAACCCAAAAGGCAAGCTCAAGAGGAATGCAAAGGGTCTGCAATGCCCCATAACAACAACAACAACAACAACAATATCTTGGCATTTGCTTGCATGCTACCATTAATTATTACAAAGTTTTCTTTCTTTCTAGGGTTTATGTATGTATTTAATTTCTCTTATCCATCCTATCATGTTTCGTTAATCCAACTTTTGACTTTTTTCAATTTTCTCTCATATTGACCGAAAAATTTAGGTGAAAATTCTATCTCATTTAAATGATGTATCAGAATCTAGTCAACCAGCCGATTGGATCGATAAAATCGGCATCAGATAGCCTGACCAGCTCTGCACAGTGGCCACCCATAAACCGGTCGGTCAATGAGCCGTTCGAACGGTTAACTGACCGAACCGCTGACCAGCCATCCACCCAATTAGGGCAACCGCCTCGTCCCGGAAGAGAGGAAAAAAAAAAAGCTTCCCCAAATCGGGGAATCAAAAATTTCCAGAGGATGAGAGAGATGGAAAGAACTAAGAAGTCTTGAATCAAGAGGGAGAATCCAAGGCCTTAGTCATGAGTCATGACGAGCAAAATCTTAAAAGAGTCTTGAGCTCTTCCTTGATTATCACCAACGATGATCTTTATTAGAAACACTCATTTATAAATACACAAGCAAACACACTGATTCAAGGCTACGGTGTTGACGCGCAATACATATTTTGCATTCAAAACGAAGAGCTAATATAACAAAGAGAAAGAGATTCGTTTTTTGTTTAATGTCTTTTCTTTATTAACTCCGGATGGCCTCGCTTGTCGCTTCAATTAGAACTTGCCACGGGAACGGGGGATCAGGCACAGGTTTTCTTTCTTCTTGAGCGCGGCTCTAAAGATCTCTGTCATGTCCAAATCTTCGGGTTTCATTCCGTGAGGCAGCTTCCAGTCGAAATGGAACAGCAAGTTTGCTAGCGCGAGCTGAACGGTGACCATAGCGAATTGTATTCCGGGGCACATCCTTCTTCCTGCGCCAAAGGGCAGGAACATGAAATGTCTTCCATTGTAGTCGATCGCGGAGTTGAGAAACCTGTCCGGGTCGAATTTCTCGAGTTCGGACCAGTGGCGTGGATCTCTTCCTATAGCCCAGACGTTGACCATGATTTGAGTTTTTGCCCGGATCTCGAAGCCATCGATCTCCAGCTTTTCTCGGTTTATCCTAGGAAGTATCGGGCCCGGAGGGTGCAATCGGAAAGTCTCGTTGATAACCGCGTTCAAGTACACCAATTTGTGGAGTCCTTCTTCACTCACACCACCGTCGGAAAAGACGCTTCTCACCTCGGCTTGAGCTCTTTCCATCGCACTTGGATTTTTCATCATTTCCGACATCGTCCATTCTATTGTTACCGCTGACGTATCAGTACCGCCAATAAACATATCCTGCGTATTAAAACCAAATCGTCAATCAAACTCTGTCTATCGTCGTGAATCATGATGTAAATGACCATTGTTTTTTGTAAAACTGTACCATACAAGCGTCCGATCGATAAAACTTCCTGTCAGAGCCTAAACCAGCATGCAGTTTTACGATACTTGGCAAATAGTAAATACTAGAAAGATATACTTACAAGGAGGACAGCCTTGATGGCATCCGTGGTCAAGGTGAAGGGTAGGTCAGCATTTTGTTGAAGGTTGAGAAGAATATCCACCAGATCCTCCGTCGTGTCATCACCATGATGAACCTTGGTAGCAGCAGTAGTAGCACTTCTTGTAGTTGATCTAGCGACCACGTGTTGCTTGATGACTTGATCCAGCACCGAATCCACCGCTCGATGGAGCGCCGTAACCTTGCACCGGAACCCACTGACAACCGGCAGAAACTTGAGGGAAGGGAACAGATCGGAGATCTCGAAAGCTCCGAACAAGCACACCATGTCCTCGATAATCCCGACGAACTTCTCGTTCAGCTTCGGGGCTGCCATCCCAAAAGCCGAACGAGAAGTGATGACATTCGTCAGGGACATCAGGACGGGCTTCAGGTTCATCCCAGCTGCTTGAAGTCCATCGTCCTGATGTCCTTTTTGAGTCTCCAATCTCGTCCGAATCGTTCGAACGAGATTGGCGACCTCCTCCTTTCGAATGTTACGGAAGGAGGAGACGCGCCTGGCGCTGAGGAGCTCGATGACGCAGAGCTTCCTCAGCTGCCTCCACTCCTCCCCGTAGGGCAGGAAGACGAGGTCCTTGCAGCCGTAGTGGATGATCTCGCCGACGATGCGGAAGGGCCTGGTGGCGCAGGCGACGTCGTGCGTCCTCATCACCTGCTCGGCGCCTTCCGCCGACGAGAGGTAGACGCTGGCGACCTCGCCGACCTGGAACCGCATCACGGGGCCGTGTCTCTGGGCGAGCTGCCGCATGAACTGGTGCGCCGGCAGCTGCTCGCTGACGTTCATCATGAGTTGGTGGAGGTTGCCGATGATGGGGAGCTGCCACGGCCCCGGTGCAGTTGGCTTCTTGCTGCTTTTCCTCTTCCTGCTGATCACCAACCACGTTCCGCCGGCGATGGTGAGGAGGAACGGTAGCAGCAGATAGTATTCCAGTAGTCCACTCCCCATGGTATGTAAGTAATGGGTTTTTTTGTTTCACTCCCTCTTTTTTACTCTATCTGCAGGTTGGGTCTGTGTTGTATGGCTTTGCTATACCAAGCCTTGCCACCTGGAGAATATATATAGGATATTGGATGAGCAGTTGGAAATGTGCAGGTATGGGTGGGTATCTCGATATCAATATATGTCTTGTGGTAGGTCTTGTAATTTCATTACGGGATGTGGGTTGGATAGGTCGATCCCAAATACATATGTAATTTAAAATGAAAATATTAGAAATATTCATTTTTCACTAAGAACATCAGATATCATAAATGTAATTAAATTATTCAAAAAATTGAAGTTCTCACCTATTTAGAATTTTATTGTAGCTAAAATACAAAATTTTAAATAATTTAAATATAATTGCATATAATTTAGACAAAACGAATCGAGAATAGAGTGAGTGAGAAAAAAAAATAAAAAATACTTATGTCCGCTCACCCCAGGCGGACGTTACCCACCCAAAACATATCAAACATACAAACAAAATTTTAAATAATTTAAATATAATTGCATATAATTTTATTGTAGCTAAAAGATATTATCTAAATAAAAAAAAATATTAGATATATATCCAGCCGGCCGGCCGGCTAGCGTAGCAGAGCTATTTTGACCACTTAATTAATTAATCCTTCTCTCTTCATTATTAAATGGCCATCATGAGCATGTGCTACATAACTTAGGGTTTTATTTTTCCTTGTGTTATATAATATAAGTGAAAATAGTTTATGATCTGCTTGTGCTTAATTTTTAATATTTCTGAAACTTGTTTCGTACAACTTCACAAGTTAATCTAACGATCATTGCAAGAACATATAATTAGAATTGTATTGATTAGTTGTAATCTAAAATACATTTTAATTTTGAATAAGGATGCATGGTATATATAAAGAATTTAAGGGTCTAGAATATGGCGCTTGATATTATATATATTATATGGAGTTCCCCTTGGAAATTATTATTACAAGTGAAATACCTATGTGGCAATCGCCGCACATTAACTCTAAATCATTAAAAATATGAATAAAGTATAGGGATCGGTTAGCATGCTAACCCTTCTAAGAGTTGGAAAAATGACATTCCTATTAATTATAGTTATTTTTTGTATTAAATTTGTGTTGCATTTAATAATCTTTGGAAATTAAAAACTAATCTTAATTACATTCCTTTTTTTAACTACCATTGCATTGATACAACTATCATTGCACTTGTATACTGAACTCATATTAATTACGTTCCTTTTTTTAACTATCATTGCACTTATACATCTATCATTGCACCTATACAATAATATCATTGCACTGATACAACTAACAGTGCACTGAAAAAAGGAATGTAATTAATATGTATTTTTAATTCATACAGATTATTAAATGCAACACAAATTAATTAACTTAAAAACCTATAATTAATAGGGGTGTCATTTTTCTAGATATGCTATTTCATCACATAAAGTATGCTTTAAATTTAAGTGAAACTTTTGAGGTTCATGGGATGGCTGGTTACTTTATATATTAGAGTTTAAATGGGCTTTAATTAACTAAGTAAATATGGAAACAATTAAAAGGATGCAGAACACCATGCAACTTCTAACGGGTGTGTAGGGGCACGTGGCAAAGGGAAGGTTTCTTGGTCATTTTGGATAGGTGTCACCACACCAGCCAATTCTGGCAAAACAAAAAAAAACTGCCTTTTATTAAGTAGTCTAATGATGTTTTATCACAGACCTTAAAATTGAGATCAGCCCTCCCTTGAAGACCTTAAAGCTTATTAAATTACGCAGAACCCAGGAAAAAAAAAACAAATTTTGTTAGAGAAAGCAAAGGAGCACACTGTTATTGAAGTTGGGGCTCCAGAAACGCTAAAAGGAGAAAGGAATAAATTTTTCGATAATTCTACACGATCATTTGATTCATTTCAAGGAATGGATTCATTTAAGAGTGTGATTGAATCAAACTATCGAATAAATACCAGAATTGGATAATTACCCTCTCCAATCTCAACGTTATGTGATACAAGGGAAAAATTATAAGAGCAATAATCCTTCTATTTAGTAGGCATTCTAAACATAGGCAAATAATTCGTATTGGCATCTTTGGAAGTTAAGATGATAAATACTCGAGCCAATTTGAGTAGTGGGGAGTGGCGCCCTCCTTTTCTTACCATAAATATCCCACAAATCAACGAACCTAGCTTCAATTTTTCCTCGTAGTCAACAAGGAATGAAGTCAATGAACATCTCCATATATATAATATAATCATGAACGGGAGTTTGACGAGGCTGACGGCAAAATTTGCAATTCCAGTACAACACATGCAACAGCAGGGGCAGATGCAATTCAATATGCTCCTGCAAAAATAAGGATTCATATATAAACAAGTGCAAAATGATCAATAGGTTGACGATGAATACGATCGATCTCGCATTAAATAATCGACATATTTGTGCAAATACACAAGAGATGAAGAAGAAAACGGGAAAGGAGAACGGCTGCGTACCCGACAATCCAAAGATAGCATCAAAGAGACGAACGCAAAAGGCAAGCTCAAGAGGAATGCAAAGGGTCTGCAATGCCCCATAACAACAACAACAATATCTTGAAGGCATTTGCTTGCATGCTACCATTAATTATTACAAAGTTTTCTTTCTTTTTTTCTAGGGTTTCTCTATCTATTTCTCTTATGCATTGTATCATGTTTTGTTATGGCCTGACGACCTAGCTAGAGCTATGAACAGCCCCTAGAGCTAGCTTTTCGCCACGAGAAAATTGTTTTGCCATAATTGGATTGGAGATCAATTCAATCCCATTCTTTAGTTAATTTGAAACATCTATCGATTTCATTTAAATTAGAAGACTTTAGATGTTTTAAATTCGAACCGATACACCGGAACTTAGCCGTATGACCTAGAAAACAAAAGCTAGAAAACCTAATTGGACTTCCATTAGTGATGAGAAGATATAGATTTTTAAGCGAGCTGTCAGAAGAACTTTAAATTCAGCAACGCCCTATCAGTATCAGGGCTAAGAGCCGAGGAGTCCCAAGTCCCACCCATGCATGGAAATAATGTGGGCTGTCTATACATGGGCCAATAGAGTGAAAAGGGCTCAGTCTATGTACATGGGCCATACAGATGGACTATATCGACCAACAATATCAACCGATAAAGGCTAGTACCATATTCAGGCCCACCACAAAAAAGAAGGACTCCCTCATCCAGTCATCCTCTTCTCGCCGGGTCAGTAGGGGTGGCTATTTGGACCGGGACCGGATTAAAAACTGAAAACCGGACCGTATAACCCGGACCGGGACCGGATAGTAAACAATCCAATCCAATATTTGGGCTTAGATTTGAGGTAAAAAACCGGATAAAGACCGGATAAGAGAGCTCAACACCCAAAACTTAAGGGTAATTTGCATAAACGGTCACAAACCTTTGCACTTAGTACAAAACTTAACCAACTCCTCACCTTTTAAGGCCTTAGGCCACTCAAATCCCACAATCTCAATGTAAAATCAAGACCGAATTGGGACCGGACCGGATCAAGACCGGACTGTATCCAATCCAATCTCCGGTCCTTATATTTTCAAAAAGACCGTACTGGACCGGATCAATTTGGGCCAATTTAACCGGACCGGACCGTATAGCCACCCCTACGGGTCAGCACCAGCTTTAAAGTTTAAACCGTCAAAGCTTCTTCGTCGGCTTGGGCTTCTCGTTGCCGCCTCCAAATCCCTTGCAGCGGTGGTCGTTTTCTCCGCGCCAAACGTGAACTAACAATACGTACAAGAACCGCCTAAAAGAGCAGTGGCGGAGCCATCATTTCAAACCACCCCTGTACTTTTTATAATATAAATATTTAATTAAAAATTATTTAATAAAAAATAATTAAAATCTGCATAATTCATTCATAGTTTAAAATATGGTTAATATTTTCGTATGACCTGAACTTTGACCAAAATAAACATTCTGGCCAATCTTTTCGATCTATAACATCCTGGCCCGAACTATACACCAAAATAAACAATTTGGCCAAACCCGATGTTTGACCGTTAACTTGGACGGTCAAACGCGTTGACCGTTAGTCAACGCGCCATGTCACTGCCAAGAGACAACAAACTATGATAATGGGTTTTATTAAGACTTATATTAATTGATGTTGAGTATAATTTATAGAGTTGAGACTTATATTAAGGCTGGCTCAACTCTTAAATGTGATATTGTCGTTATATTATATATAACTCAGAATATGATATTGATTGATGTTATCTTAAATGTGGAGATGCTCTCATCTATTCAATTCACGATACTTTTACAATAGAACACAAGTCTCCCTATCTCATCAAACTCGAGTTCTAAAATGTGTGGTACAAGTGTCTGCTTATTTGATTGCTTGCGATGCGTGGTTAGCTCTCCAGTGCGATTGTTGCCTGCTATGACATGTTTTGCTTTTGCATAATTTCATCACATCTTTTGCTATTTTAACTTCGATTTGATTGGTATTTACTCAATGATCCATTTAGTAGCCTATAAGTGTGTTTTCATACATTTGATGATGCCTTTTTAGCAGTATGTTGCTATTTCCCGGCCGTGAGACTATAGTGGACTACATTGGACGAGCAGAAGACAGCAAGACCCATAGACTGGAAGTAAGAAATGTAGCTGGAAAACCCAACGCAAGTTTGCTATTTCCAGCTGGAATACCCATTTACCAACATATTTGTAGTCCAACAATACTAAAACATCCTGTGAATTCACAATACTACCGTCCGTCTGTGAGAACATGCTCACAGTCACATACATGCACAACTATTGGTCGTGTGCTAGACACTATGAGACCGCTGGATGAATGTGGTTACAATTTTGAATTTTAAGCACCATAGTAGAAACTCTATTTTGGGTTGTGGAACATCTCATCGTTCACGTCAGGGGCGGAGCCAGGATTTAGCGGTCGGGGGGCCGAAATTTTCTTAATACATTATCGTAAATCCTAAAAAATACGAATAAGAAAAAAAATATTTTAAAAACTAATTTTGATGTTATTATAAGTTCATAACTACACAACTAAAAGAGAAACAAGCTACGATTAGCAAATAGCTTCTTGAACAAAAAAATATATTTAATGATTAAATTGATTTGTTTATCAAAATAAAATTCTTAACAAAAAATATACGATTAGCAAATAGCTTATTGGACAAAAAATGAGAAACAAGCTACCTGATTTCCATTGGAATCGAAACTATGACTATGGAGTAGCAGATAGGCTTAGCGGTCAAAAATATAAAAATAAAACAACAACTTGCTTTCCATTGGCATCGAAACAAAGACCACTCAGTTAAAAAGGGGAACACTTCCGCTAGACTGGTCATGTTTTTATATTCAAATTTTTGAATCTGTTAATTTTATATTATATAGATAGATTATACGTATAATCTCGAACCAATTATACGTAAGTTTTAAAATTCTGGGGGGGGGGGGGGGGAAGCCCTAACCTAACTCCGCCCCTGGTTCACGTACACAAAATACAGTTCACGCAAACTTATTAATGTTTCACACACATGGCTTTTAATTTTCACGCACTCCATCCTTATATACTCATGTACATTGTGTGAAAAAATTGGTTGTGTGCCTGAGTAGCGATATGTGTGAATATTTAATTAAATCATGTGAAATTTTGTTTTCCACCCTAAAATAGGTTGTTACTCCTTTTACTTTCCAAAGTATTTCCTCAAATTAAAGTTTTAGTCAAAACGAACACATTTTTCTCAATTTTCAATAAAAATTACGACTCATTATAAAAGTTACAAATTAATTCAATCTAAAATCGATCCCATAAAAAAAGTTTTACTTTACAACTTAACATTATAATAATTTAATTAATAAATTTATACATTTTATAGTAATTTTTCATTTCCAATTTACATATTAAAATCACTATTCACCATTTCATTAACAACCTTTCTATTAATAAAAAAAATACACACTTTCCATCAACTTTAATTTTTCTAAACACTTACCAATCATACTTTTCATCAATTAATAAAATGTATTCTCAGGCATGAAAAATACACCCTATCATAGCTCAATTTTTATTTGTGAGAAAGAAAAGCACATAACGAGAGAATCATAGAAAGCCTGCAATGCAACGAGGCTCTATTATGTACCAATTTATTAATAATAAAAAATTATAAATACATACCTCACAGAGACAGAGGTGAGGTGGTCGCTCAATTTCATCGACACTATCACTCACCCCAAGGCTCAGGCTGTGAGAGAGTACACGCCGCTCTCGCACATTTCCCCCCGATTCCCAATCTCCGGCCACCAGTTCCCGTTTCCTCCGAAGATGAATTCGATGCTCAGATCCGCCAGAACCCTGGCCACCACGGCCTCCCGATCTTCCGTCCTCCGCCGCGGCTACTCTTCGGAGTCCGTTCCCGACCGCAAGGTCGCCATCCTCGGCGCAGCTGGAGGTATCGGCCAGCCGCTCTCCCTGCTCATGAAGCTCAACCCTCTCGTCTCCAACCTCGCCCTTTACGATATCGCCAATACCCCCGGTGTCGCCGCAGATGTCAGCCACATCAACACCAGATCTGAGGTACTCGATCGCTGTTTCCACTGTTGAATTCCGTATTCATCTCCTAGTTTCTTTTTTGTTCCTCGTCATAATTGGTTTTTTTCTGTTTAGCCGTCGATTAGGGTTGGCTTTTATTTCATTTTTCGATTCCTTTTCTGGAACTCTGCTGTGAAATTTCCATCTAAAGTCCCGTGCAATTTACATTTGTGACTACAAGTGATACTCGCTTCCAGATGAATTTTGATTTCTTGCCTGTGTTATGGTGGCTTTAGCTTACGAGCTCCTGATGAACTTTGTACTCTTATCTCGTAATTTTTTTTTTTTGGAGATGAAGTTCAGCAACAGTCTGTTTGATGTTGCTGCCTTACTTGTTGAGAGAAATGCTCCCATGCCATGTTTGAGATTCTTTTTTCCCCCGTTGTAGTGAATCGTGATTAATGGTGTTTGTCTACCTCTTACGTGTTCAGGTTACAGGATACTTCGGTGATGACCAACTAGGGAAGGCCTTGGAGGGAGCAGATGTTGTGATCATTCCAGCTGGGGTGCCAAGGAAGCCTGGAATGACACGTGACGATCTGTTTAACATTAACGCTGGGATTGTGAAGGGTCTTTGTTTAGCAATTGCTAAGTATTGCCCACATGTGAGTCTTGAATTGCTGATCTGGATTGTTAGCACCCTGGTGATCCTTTGCTCTTTCTTTCTTATGATACGTATGTTGACTTATGTATGGAATTAGGCCCTCGTAAATATGATCAGCAACCCAGTGAACTCAACAGTTCCAATCGCTGCTGAGGTTTTCAAGAAAGCAGGAACCTATGACGAGAAAAGGTTGTTTGGGGTTACTACTCTTGATGTGGTCAGGGCCAAGACTTTCTATGCTGGGAAGGCCAAAGTCCCTGTTGCAGGTCTGTTTTCACAACCCTTCCTTACTGGGTGCATGTCTTTTGTAAAGTTTGACTGCTGAAATAAATTCCGGGCTTAGAAAGCAAAGAAGGACGCTTTATTACTATTAAAGTTTTGGAGGCTGAGAAGAAGGGAAATAGAACTGCGCTATTTCACTACTTGGTTGTTTAGTTTCTCTCTTGATAACAAGTTCACTGGTACCATCTGTTGATCTTTGTTGCTGAATGGACCCAGTAGAATATAATGATATCACTCAGTGGTGATAACTTGTTCTGTGCATCTTTTTGTTCAGGGGTTAACGTTCCAGTTGTTGGTGGACATGCCGGTGTTACCATTCTCCCATTGTTTTCACAGGTAATTATCCCTTGCTGTGCTTCCTTTTTTCTCTCTTTCTTGTTCTTACTTTGATGTTCCTCTCTACTCCACCCTCTCTTTTGTTATTGACATACTTTGTATAGTCTGGCTAATAGTATTTACTTCTTTCTGACTATCTAGCTTGCTGAGTTGACAATACTGTCTGTTTTCATCATAGGCTACCCCAAACGCCAACGTGTCAGAAGAGGAAATCGTTGCTCTTACCAAGAGAACACAAGATGGTGGCACGGAAGTTGTGGAAGCTAAGGCTGGAAAAGGTTCCGCTACTTTGTCTATGGCGTAAGTTGCACTGTGGATGAATGTCCATGCCCTGCCTGTTTGAATATTGTTATTCCTGTTTCATGTGTGAAGGGGAAATTTACCCATTTTAGGATTGTCATTGTTATTGTTGAAGATATGATAGCATCTGTCACTGATTCGATACTGGTTGAGCCAAAAGTTTGACTGAAAACAAGAACCAAGTGTAAATGAGCATGTTTCTGAGATCGTCAGTATCCTTTACTAATGTGTGATTTTTCTCTCCAGTAAAATATATTATTGAGACAATATGGTTCTTTAAGTTGCCATGTGCCTTTCTGTCCTTTCCGGAGTTTTCTTTTCTCCAACCATGAATTGAGTTGGCAAAGATGCATGAGGATTGCAGTTTGGATTCTATTCAATCCTTGCGTATATGTGTTGCAATTGGCATGTGTCTTTGTGTCCTTTCCTGAGTTATCATTTGAATGCTTCTGATTATGACCACCGGCAATGTTCTTTTTCAGTTATGCTGGTGCCCTTTTCGCTGATGCGTGCTTGAAGGGGCTCAATGGCGTTCCTGATGTGGTTGAATGTACATTTGTTCAATCAAATGTCACGGACCTTCCCTTCTTTGCTTCCAAGGTGACAAAATAACAGTGTTGGCTAGTTAGTCTCTGAATTTATTTCATGGCGATTTTACTGCTAGTTAGTAATTGAACGGATCTTTATGATGTATCTTTGCAGGTAAGACTTGGAAAGAACGGTGTTGATGAAGTCCTTGGATTGGGACCTTTGTCCGACTTCGAGAAAGAAGGGTTGGAAAAGCTGAAGCCGGAACTGCTTTCCTCCATCGAGAAGGGCGTCAACTTTGCCAACAAGTAAAATGGGATTAGCTCAATGCTCGACAGTTTGCACGCAGGCAAGAGAAGTTTGCAGAATCAAGATTTTGTGTCCGTCTTTCAGCATTCGTTGTAGCAGCCAACAGCATTGGCTCGAGATCTCTTTTAGTTCAGAAGAGTTGATGAAACCTTTAAAAGCCAACAGTTTCGGACAAATAATCCCAGTTGTGTAGGGAAACAAATATTGTTGCTGGCTTTTGTTCTACATGCCAAAATTGGAAGTTGATTCTCCGACATTCTGTTGGTGGTTTAAACTGGGAATGGTTCTGCAAACATGCTCGGACTTGCATTTGGAGCCCTGAAAAGCCTGTTACTTTGGAGTATATTTGGATAGAGCTATCATTTTTAGTATTCAATTATTATACAATTAAAACTGTTGGTTGGAAACACATATTTGGCTTGGCATAACTCTACTAGTTGGACTCAAAGAAACGAACAAATACACAGTTTTCATTACACCTCTATGACAATGTAACATATGGACTATTATTAAAGTCGCATTTCGATGGCAATTGACAAGCATCATCCTAAAACAGGCTGTTGTCAATTGAGTCGGAAACTCTAATACATGTTGATTAGCATCGGATTTCATTTCTTTTGTTTCTGGCAACTTGGATCTGGTCAGCAAGTGAATCTCTTTTCAGTTCTTCTCGTTCTGTAAGCTCGAAATCTAGCTTCCCCCATATTGGAGTACATGAGATCTGTTGACCTCCATTGTTCACTGTCCTACCTGTTGGTTTCCTTCTTCGAATCTGGAAAACAAGAACGAGTCAACATGCACATGAAAAATCGGAAACCCCAATGAACTAGTTTCTATACCATTCTCATTTCTTGAATTCAGGGTAAGCACAATGCACTTCTTTAAAAGCTGCACTTCTTTAACAACTCCTTGGCAAAGTATATTCAGACATAATTTTCACAACTGCACATATATAGGAATTAAGTATGCTAGTGAGATTCATTTTCATTTAACGTACCTTCACCAATTTCTGCTTCAGTATGAACTCCTGGGTAGCAGGTGACTTCTCTCTATTCTTGGCATTTCTACACCTCTCTTCGGCCCTGGCCTTTTCCTTCTCTTCCCTCTCCTTTTTCCTTTGAGCAATCTTTTCTGCCTTTTCTTTTGCCACAGTCGCTGATTTTATCTTTGTCAGCTCCTTTGCAAACGCCTTCTCTGTGGCGAATTGAAGCTGTTGGCGAGTTATTTCTTGTTCTATTTCATTATAGCTATTCCAACTCAACCTTTGTTCGTCCAGGCCTCCATCCTTGGCTGCTTTTGCTATGCTTACCTCCCATGAAAGGAAAATTTTAATTCCCAACCTTTTCGACGTTAAACGCTTGTTCCAGAGTCTTTTAAGTGAAGAGCTTATCTTAGCCTTGATTTCAACACTGGGAAAACAACAATTGTGTTAGCCAAAATGCATGTGAACCCAATATTAGTAAGTTCAATCATTCATAAAGTAATGAAATTAAGACAATGAACTAAAATACTAATAAATATATGCTTGATGACGAAATCCATGAAGAACACTACATGCTTCGTGAGAAAAGCACACCACTTGTTTTCACACAGACAGCTCTGCAAGATCTCCATTCAGTACAGCAATATACAGAAAATTCTAGCACAAAGCTCAGTTTACTTTAAACTAGAAACAATCTGCTAGCAACTATCAATCAATGAAACCCAACATGTGAGCCGATATGCTTGATGGCAAAAAATACTACTTTACTGTATGTCACATATATCATGTCAAAATTGGAGTATGTAAAACAGTCACAGGACTATGCAGGAGTGTGAATATAAAGACTGAAAACACAGCATCCTAACATTACCTATGAGTTCGCGGCTGTTTTCCCTTCTTCTTTCTAAGCTGAAATCACAGGAAAGAAACATCAGAAAAGCAGACGACTGAAAAGAGAAAGGTAAAGCAAATATGATCCTGTGCCAGTGTCCATTGACCAACCTTTTGTGATCCAAACACTACAGCATCAATTAATAACAGGGCTTACTGTGCATGATTTTGAAGCCAAATAATTTCTTACATGCCTTCACCTGGGGGTCTCGCAAGGCTTCTATTGTTCTTCGCCTGATCAGTTCCCGAGTCTCTACAGCATATTAAAAATGTCAAACTGTATAATGTAGTTTGTTAGAGACTCAAAATATTAGTTAACGTACAAAGGCAGGTGAGCTATTTCACTTCTAGCCAATAATTAATCCGGTGCACAATCTGGTGGATTCACTAACTTAATGGAAAAAAGACATACCAGCGGAATGTTTTCGCCCTTTGTTCCATGGAACCTTTCCCTTATTCCCATGTTCAATCTTTGTTTCTCCTTCCGTGGCATTGAGGTTGCCATGATCTTCATGAAAGTTGGTATAACCACCACGTTCATAAGGAAGCTGCTCCTCAGCTGTATAGAGGCCAAGTTTTGAGAGGAAGTACTGATCGAATTGCAACGTTTGTTGAACATCGAAACCGACATTTGTGGCTCCAGAGTTCTGAAGTCTTCTTGAGGAACTAAGCGAGGAACACATGGCACATAAGCTTGATGTGTAAGGCGTGTGATGATTCAAAGGCATGATAAGGGGAGAATAAGTAGCTTCCATCGCCACGTGAGCAGGACTGCAAGGTAGATTAGGTACTGATGTTTTCCTGCTAGACAACAAGAATACGGATCTCATGGTTATGTTCTTCATCTTATTATATCATGTCCTACAAGCAGAGATTGATGGTAAGGTGGAAGCACAAGAGTCGATGTAGGACTGGATGAATGAAGGGATTGCAAACAGGCTACTTCCACTTCCTAGTCCCCTTTTGGCAACCCCAAAAAACACAGCAACCGTTCATCTTGTTCTGGCAAGGCAAATTATCTCCACATTGCCAACTTTTCATCATTTAAGTGAAACTGATTCAATCTTCTCGAAATCATATACGACTCAAATCATGGTGAAGAAAAATGGCAAGGGCTTCGTCATCCAGATTGTGTTTCTGCTCAAGTTTAGGTACCATTTTGGTGGTCGGTGGATACCCGTTCTGTCTGTCATCCTGTACATACACACTCCTTAAATTCATAGAAAGTAGGAAATTCGCTGGCCATTTTCGTTCCTACAGTTACAGCTTCAGGAAATTTCCATAAAATGGGAAAAGGTTGAGCCTTTTTTCATCCAAATTGACTAAAGGTTGCTGCCATATGAAGGCATTTAGTCACTAATCAGTATCAGTAGTTCTACTGTAACTAACAAACAGAATCACAACTACGTTGTTGCCTTCATTCAAATTCCCCAACTTAAATCAATAACATTGTGTCCAACAACTCCAAAACTGGATGATACAACACTGCCATTTCAGAAATGGCAGACAAAAAGGTATGGTTATGAGCATTGTGTGGAGTAATAGGGCAAGGAGGACTGGAGGAGAACACTAGAAATTCGGTCCAGACGATTCGAAGGCAGGAGAGAAGGAAAGAAAACCGTAGCACAACCTCAGGAATTAGAAAAGGGGATGAAACTGAATTGAGAGAGAAAGCATAATTCACTTACAAATGAAAGAAAGCCATTTCCGGGGGGAGAGCAGTGACGGGTGAGGGCGACGAGCGAAGAAGGTGACTGGGAACTTGGAGAGGGAGGGGAAATGGTCCGGCCAAAGGCGGAAACAGATCATTTTGGGAATCGATAATTCGATATGGGCCACTCACTCGAAGATTGGCTCGCCCTCTTGGCTTTATTTGCGGTTTGGTACTTCAAGTTCTTACAAAGGACGATTCTAGTTACAAAAAGTAAATAAATACCAATTTGATCCCACATTCAAGTTCTTATCCAAAACCGACTAACGTCGAAGTGGCATTAGAAATATACTGCATGGATTGAGTCTACGATTAGGGATAATTTGTTGTTCAAATCGGATCATAATTTCTTCCATCTTGCGCCAAGGTAACTTTTAGGTTATTTAGATTGGAAAATTTTAATTTCTTATTTAATCAAAATAGTTATTTTTAATACCATTTTGACCAATTTAGAAATGAAATATTTGAGAAGACTCTTCCTTTCCATTTGTTCCTTCCCATTTATCATCATTCAAAAAAATTTAGCTTAATTATTCCTAATTTGTTTATTTAAAGAGCATGTTTGAACACAAATTAGAGGTCAAAAAATATATAGAGGTCGTTTGGATGAGGAATTGTAACGGATCAATTTGACACAATTGTCTCGTTTTGAGACAATTGTACCAAATTGTCTCGCTTGCCAACAAAAAATTTGGATGGATCAATCTGGCTGAGGTATTTTGAATTGATCCGTTTTGAGTCAATTTCAATTACCTGGAGTGGGGGCAGGTAATTCGAATTGACTCATTTTAATTATCTCATTTATAAAACAAGACAATTGATCAAATTACCTCATTTCTAGATTGATCCATCAAAACAACTTCCTCTCGATCTGTTCAATTTCTATATTACCAAGATCGATTGTTCCACCAACTGGTGGTTGGCCGGGATGACTTCCATTCCACCTCAAGGTATAATTTCATATCCATGATTTCCTTTTCCTCTCCAACAAACTCCGAAAACCTAACACCACCACAGCTAGTCATCATCAACAAGTCTCCCATCTCCCAAACCACCACCACCACCATGATCCAACCAACACTCCTCCAGCCGGCCGACCGCCGCCTCGCCGCCGCCGCCATCGCCTCTATCCTCCTCTTGGGATCCGCCAGGCTCCTCTTCGACACCTTCAAAACCATCCACATCCACACCAAGTACCCCTCACCACCACCACCACCGCCCATCTTCCTGTCCCCGGCCGACCGCCGCTCCTTCTCCCCGGCCAAATGCAACCCCTTCCAAGGCCAATGGCTATGGAACGACGACACCAACGTGACGTCACCTTCCCCGCTGTACACGGAGGACAGCTGTCCCTACCTGGTGAAGCAGACCACCTGCCGCCGCAACGGGCGGCCGGACGGCGCGTACCAGAAGTGGCGGTGGAAGCCCGCGGGGTGCGAGCTGCCGCCGTTCGAGGCGGCGAAGATGCTGGACGTGGTGAGGGGGAAGAGGGTGATGTTCGTCGGCGACTCGGTGATGCGGAGCCAGTTCGAGTCGATGGTGTGCATGGTCCAGGCGGCGGTTCCACGTGGCGCGAAGTCATTCGACAGGGTGCCTCCGAGGAAGATATTTAGAGCCGGCGTGGAGTGGAACGTGACGCTGGAGTATTATTGGGCGCCGTTCATCGTGGAGTCGATCTCCGACCACGCCACCAACCACACGGTCCACAAGCGGCTGGTGAGCCTGGACGCCATTGACAAGCATGGCGCCACGTGGAAGGAAGCGGATGTTTTGGTGTTCGAGAGTTACGTTTGGTGGATGCACAAGCCCTTCATCAACGCCACGTACGCAACCTCTCTCTCTCTCTCTCTCTCTCTCTCTCTCTCTCTCTCTCTCTCTTAGTGGCCTCTTAAATTGATCTGAGAACTTGCATAAATACAAATTAAAAGTGATCGAGAATCGGTTGATACCAATAATTCGATACGTTAGGAGCGGTGAGTAACTAGTTATTAACACGGTACAAGAGAGCCTTGTTTGAGTACTGATGGCCTCATATGTTTTGTTACCAGACGTGCGCAAACTTTAAACTTATATGAGTCTGCTTTCGTTTGAGTGGGGTACTGTGTAAGTAAATGATATATGGTCCATAATTGAAACATCACCCAACAACTCGAGTTACTGGAATCAACTGTTTGTTAACACGTATATTACTTATTAACACACACCATCAAACGAAAGCTAACTCAGAAAGGTTTGAGGTTTGTACGGGTATGAGAATTAATATTATGTGTTTAACATATGTGATTAGAGGGATTTAAAAGAATTGAAGATCTCTCGCGATCATAAAATTTTCTTATACCATGTAAAGAATCCGTTGATATCATAATAACTTGAATTGTTAGAAAAAGTTGAATTAAGAATGAGATATATGTACCACTTATTAACAAAATATTCTCTGAAATTATGACAGGTATGGCTCGCCGGAGAACATCAGGGAATATGATGTGGCGACGGCATACAAGGTGGCGATGGAAACATGGGCAAATTGGTTGGAAGCGAACATCAACCCTCGCCGCCAGTCCGTCTTCTTCATGAGCATGTCTCCTACCCATCTTTGGTACTTACTTATCCATCATTTTTTTTTTCCTCTGCAAGCAAAACTCTCTCGTTAAGAAATCAATTTGATTTATTAAATGAATACTTGATAAATTAATAGGAGCTGGGAATGGAGACCGGGAAGCGACGGGAACTGCTTCAACGAGACGTACCCGGTCGAACCGGCGGGACGGCCGTACTGGGGAACCGGCTCGAATCTCCAAATCATGAACATAATTGGGGACGTAATAGGCCGACTCCGACAAGTTAAGGTCACGTTTCTGAACATCACGCAGTTGTCGGAGTACAGGAAAGACGGCCACACCATGGTGTATGGGGAACGGAAAGGCAAGCTCCTCACCGGAGAACAGAGATCCGACCCCAAGAATTTTGCCGACTGCATCCATTGGTGCTTGCCCGGAGTTCCTGATACATGGAACCACATTTTGTACGCCTATTTGTTGCACAATTATCGTAGCTAATTACTGGTAAATTTACGTCGCGCGACAAAACGAGTTATTTGAACAAATTAGTTTTCCAAAATGGTAAAAAGAGTTTTTGAACGAGAACTATCGTGTTAGAATATCCTGATGTCTACCATCTTAATTGTTGATTTATGCATATGAGTAAGAGATGCAGACATGTGCAAACTCTAGGGTTATACAGCATTGGCATTTGTTTGAGGAGATCTTACATATATACAATGGAATAATGTAAGATTCATTTTTTCCTATCTCGATCTCCGACAATTCGTGAATTTTAATTGAGATAAAAACATTTCTATTTATAATTTTGGAGTCATTTTAATAGTGTAGCTGAGCTTCAATTTTCGGTAAATATGTCAAATAGGAACGTTAATGTTAGTGACTAGTTATGTTCATTATTCTTTTGATCATCCGAAGGTTATCTTTCGAGACACCTTACTCCTGTGGTATTATTCATTCCATTACGAAAAACAAGGCAAATCTCTCTCTCTTGTATACCAATTTCCAACCAACTCGATCAATTAGTTTGAAGTAATTCAAAAAAAAAAAGTTTAAAAATACTTAAAATCCAAAACTCATGAAGAATTTATAATTGGATAGATTCCTCGCAAGAACTCATTTATTATAAGTCGTACATATCCAGCCAGTAAAATTATTAACGTGCTCTATTTTAACGTTAATAATAATTGAATAAACGAATGAACACGACGACACCAATTGTACGTACCATAACAATCATTAATGGGAAGAAGAAGAAAAGGAAAAAAAATATATTTATTGCCACCATCGGAAACATATGCATACATCACCATTAATTTATGTAATGCCCCATGTAGCTAGGTGGACTTAATTAAGGTATACTTGATCAAACATTTTGAAGGACAAAGAGCAGCATGCAGCCTATAAGCTGGTTCTGGTTGGTAGTAAAAGAAAACAAACAACAAACCACAATACAGAATCGCGGTCAGATCAGATCTTGTCGGGGATTTTGGTCTGAGCCTCCTCGAGGGTGATGCCCATCTCCTCCATGAGCTTCTCGCAGCGAGGGTCAGTGGTGGACGTCATGTAACCGATCGGGTTGGCGTAGCGAGTCGGCTGAACCACGCCCATGTTGTCCGTCAGCAGCACCCTGGCCCGGTCGATGAAGTGGAACTTCTCCTTGCAGTTCTCCATCGGACTTCTCAACAGCTTCACCTGGCAGATGTCCTCCTCGTGGTCGCCGGTCACCGGCAGCCGGTAGGTCCCCGTCTTGTCGGTGTCCCCTTCCACCATGTAGGTCACCGTGTTGTTGTCCCTGCACATGCACTGCAGGTTCACTCTGGCGCCGGCGATCATGGTGCTGATCTTGGTCGGGAACTCGACGCGGCAAGGGTCGCAGTAGACCTTGCCTTCCACGAACATCTTGTCCTCAGCATCGACGGCGGAGGAGGAGATGAGGAGGAAGAGAGCGGCGGAGAAGAGGGCCACGGCGGCGGCTGCAGCAGTCTTTGCCATTGTTTGTTTGGTTGTTTGTTGTTGTTGTTGATCTCGGAGGGATATTGTAAAAGAAATATCTCTCTTTGTATACGTGATGAGGGAATTTTGCACAAGGAAATGGGACTGGTTTTATATGCAGAAAAGGGTTATCGATATTTTGGGGAAGAACCGAAGAATTGGAGTTTTGATCTTTTTTTGTGTGGTTCGTGTTTCAGCTTTCTATTTTGAGGCGGGTGATTTGTCTTCAAATTGGAGGGTTTAGAATAGAATGTTAATCCGCCGGCGACTTGTTCAACTACTCACAATTTTGTAGTAGTATTTTTGGCATATTTTTGTTTTGATTTGAGTTGTTTTTTGTATTCTTGATTTTCGTATTCTCTTACAACAAGAGAGCTAAAATTAGTTCTTCATTTTTTTTTTTTTTTTTGCCAGGGTGATACATCATGACGTATAATATTAGTTGGATTAACTCGTTTTGTTTTTATGTAAGATGAGCATAATACATGTGGTGGAAGATAACCGAATAGCTTTAAAAATCCAGAAATCGATTTATACAAGAATGTTCCGTAAAAGTGTGTCAGAATTTTGTTGTATTGGCTGCCTCTTATTCCACGGTGCCCTAATTTCACCTTTGCTTGCTCATAAGGTAACATTGAGTCTTCCTCCCATAATATAGCTCCTCCCGTAATTAATAGTGAAACTCTATCTAACTTAAAATGTTATTTATAGTTCTAATTAAAGGATACTAATGTCATTCCCAATTAATTATTTACGATCCATTGACTAATGTCGGGATGGGATTAGGTGCTAACCCTTATAGGGGTTAGCACCGTGATAACTAGCAAAAAACGCTACTAAAAATAACGAAATCACTGCGGAATCTAAACTAAATCACTACTAATTCAAACTAGTAGTAGTTTTCCCCTTGGTTAGGACGGTGCTAACTATTGTACAATTAGCACCATAACTCCTCCCACTAATGTCATGGCAATTAACTAGAATATCTTATCCTACTCGGATGATTTCTCATCTCATATGGATTCATAATCTTACGAGTACATCAAACATATCATACTAGAGATTCTTAATTTAATTTCGTAAATCAAATAACCTATAAAAAACAAATACCAACCAACAATATCGCACATCAATTCATTTGAGCACCATCACATTTCATGTGTGTCATTAGCAATAGACAAGTCTCTTCATCTAAACTCTAAAATAGCGCAGAGATGGAATGGTGATGAAACGAAAATGAACGATTCCGAGATTTGAGGACCACAGCTACATCTTACTCCACTCGTAAACCTAACTAACTGAGAGAAGCGACGTGGAGAACACTCCATCTCATCTACAAGGGTTTCCAAGATATGTAATACTAAGCTAACATCAGCATTCTCTATATGACAGCACATTCTCTCCACTAGATTGTGGGAGATGACCTGAAAACTGAAGGATGTAAGAAAGAATGTTAGACCAAACACATCATTGCCTCTCTCGCAAGCAACTCCTAACTGGAGACACCAGGAGGAATACTCTGAGCAGTTAAGCCCGTTGGCGGTAAAGAAACACTAGGGTTAGGGACAAGCTGCACAGGGTTTCCAGCGTTCACCATAATGCTGCTGCTGCTGCTGCTTTCGACAGCTTTTGGTTCCATTGCGATCTTGGTAGCTGCAGTGGTAGTATTAGGCTTTGGCACCGCTTCTGTACTATGCGCAGAGATCCTTTGGATACCGATATTACTAGATTGGTCTCCACCGGCTTTCTGCTGCTCGTGATTTACCGACTCTGTTGCTGCATGGAGTAGTTGCAATCGGTAATCAGTTTCCGGTCTGCGGCAAATTTTTCTGAGAGGCACGATTTCCTGAATGAAAAAGAAAGAGAACAATACAAAACAATCACTGATCCTACTGCTCATTACCATTCCAGAGATTACAATCAAATGGTTATGCCAAGTAATGGAAGTTCGAAAGAATCCTTTCTTCAATGGTTAATAGAGCTCCAGAGATTCAAAAGTTAGTGCCAAGTATGAATGGCTAGGTAAAAGCGTTAATTATCTGTACCAGCAGCTAACTAAGAAATTTAAAGACATTATAAGCCAGCCAGCTATTTTGTTTTCCTTCCTTGGGAATAATTCAGGACCTATTCAATGCAGAACTTCCAGGATTTGAATTGCCACCTTTAGAAAAAATGAATGTGAAGATGAAGCTAATGATTCGCAATCAAGGTCACGATAAGAATGAGCGTGGTTGTTGGTAGTCTGGTAGATAAGACTCATCACAGAGCAGTTTGACTACGAAAAAGGTCTAATAGTACCAAAAAACCCATTTAGACTGAACTAGCAAGAGTAAAGTGTAGCACACCGAGGTCGTATTGTTTAAGAAGCTAAGCCTAGAAAATGACCACAAATGTTTTACGAGACACAAAGACCACAACTACACAATGTAGAAAACTGGAAAGGGAGAGAAGTATACCTCAGACTGATCGTGATCATAACGCACCAAAAACCTACAACGGCAACCTCTTACATCATGTCGCCTTCTTTGGGCATCAAGAACATGTGCATCGTAGTATAGTGCTTGATCTTTGCCTTCCTGAAAAATTGTAAGGCCAGTCAACAAGAAAGTATGGGAGATCAGAACCAAGAAAACTCATCCTTCTGAAGTTGATCTAAACTATAAGCTACACAAACAGTCACTAGCATAGACATTGGGTAACAGGTTACCTGGAAACATAAAATGAGGTCTCCAGGAAGAACCGCAACACATTCGGATGCTTCACATGGAAGGGAACGCTGCCTTACATTCTTGCTAACATTGAGCCACTCATCCTCATCTGGTCCAAAACCAGAAAACCTAACCAGTACCTCCTGAAATCCCCCAAGTTAAATCAGAAAGCAAGTTGTTAACGGATCAAAAGAAGATGCCCTTGACAGATAAAGAGAGCACTTTCAGCACGTTCTTTGTATTTTTCTTTTTCTAGTTATACGAATATAACCGAGATGAATTGGCGCCAAAATATTATGTAAAATTTAAATTATGAAATATCTTAAGCATATTGTCAAGTTTAATTTTCCATAACCAGACATGTCAAAGATTAACCCAGAGTAAATGAGTTGCATGTTACCGGATCAACGGTGTCCAGGTATCTACGAGACAGGAATGTTGCAACATCATACCTGAAGAGCCAAAAACTCATTAGGCATTGAAGAAACTTAATCCCAACAAAACAATAAGAGACACAGCAAGAAGCCATAATGTGATTTGCTTCACTTCCTAAATGACTCGAGTTACCCACCATGCACCATCTCTAGCAGATTTGGCTTCAAATTCCATGATTGCAGTTTCTGGCATTGCCCTTCCTGTAATTGGAACTGCACAAAGAAAAGGCAAAATTACAAAGAAAACTTAGAAAATGGCAGCTCAAATCTTCAGTTAACAGCTGACATTCAATGCAATGAAGTTGATGATTAAGCATGATATACTGCAGTACTTAAATTTAAATAGAACAGAACTCATAATCATTCTTGAAAATCAATAGTCGAAATGGTAAAAAAAAAATATGGCGAAATTTCCAAAATGTCTTCATATGCGACCAATAACAAGCAGAGAGAAGAACAAATATGATCTGACAAGTTTGAAACACAGTGATATATATAATTTTTTTCCCTAGACCATATTTTTGTTCTTAAGCCATCCTTCTCATACCACTAAAACATATATCTACAAGCCACATCACAAATGAGCTTCGAATATCGTAACCGTAATTTCAATTATACTGGGACAGACGCATTTTATATCTCATAATCAACAGATAACATGAAATGCAGAAGCATTTTCAAAGAAAGTCAGAAGATCAAGTAAGGGAAGGCAATAGAGAAACAGTCTAGGCACATAAGCCTTATTGGAAACGTTGACATACATCTTTCATGCCATAATCTATATGCAAGGGAAGGCATACAGAATGACATGATTACAATACTTTAAAAAATCAATTTGGCCTATAACTGTATCAGACAATGTACAACTACTTGCAATTAGTAAGTCGTTCATTTACTTTGGCGTAAACTAACATTTAATGCTAGAATTCAAACCCACCACTTGGACTTACTAAATTAGGTTTTCCAGAAAAAGTATCAGCAATTCATTTACCCTTTCCGTTTGTTAATCAATTGCAGAATATTTAAGCTCCTACAGTTCAGTACATATATATCTGAATAGCATCTCTAATCTGGCACCCCATGCAGTATGTATCACTTAAGAGCGAATTATTAAACAACTAAGCTAATATTTCCAAAGCTTTAAACATTTAAAATTACCATACCTGAAGGAGCAGCCATGTTAGTAGTTGCATGAATAGATGCAGGAGTAGCTACAGGTTGTGCAGCATTTTTCACTGTATGGAACTCATCCCGATGCACTGGTGTTATATTTAGCTTCGCAGGGGACTTGCCTTGTTTGGCTCTTATAGCATAACGCCTGTTTTGGAACCAGTTCCATACCTGTGATTCAAATCCCACTCAGACAATAAACTGAAACAGTCCGGATTGAAAGAACAGGAACAGGGGCTGAATTATCTTACTTGCTTCATTTGCACCGCAATCTTCCCTTTTCGCTCTGGAGATTCACTGTCATCAGGGGAAAAAATGCCAAAAGTTCCATTCTTCAGAGTTTTTCGTTTCAGTATTCATGACTTGTTGTTAGCTAATAGGCACAACCTAGAAGCACTTTCAAATTCTTAAAGAACATACCTGAACCTCTCAGCAATGCCCACAAGAACCTCACGAGCTGGCATTATTTGATTGTGGTGTTGCAGGATTGCTTCCATCTCAGCAACCTAACAAAGAGAGAGCCATGCAGCATATTATTCCGAGCTTTTACCAGCAGCTAATTCTCGAGTACCATGGCAAGAACTCTAAGAATTTAAACCCTTCAAAAGAATAACACAACAAATAGCCTTCCAATTTGCCATCCCATGTTTCTTTTAATAGAACCCAACAACTCAGAAACGCAGAAAACATCAGCGCTAACATTCTGCTACTCCGACATTCAACAAAGGCGTAGCATGTAAAGAAGATAAAAAAAAACCCCAACTTCGGGTATAATTCAATGAACTACCACGCAGTAAAACTTGGCTTAATAAATAATAATGTTCAGTCCAGCCAAAAACGCCATTAAATTGGGTTTCGGAAGCGAGCAATTAAGACGGCCAGAACCATCCAGGGGATGGAATAAGAAAAAACTAACGTTCAAATTGAGGAAACAGGAACAAACCTCAGTGTGGGTGAAGCGAAAGGCAGGGCCGCCATTGCTGGGAGGTCGACCCATGGCTTCACTGCTTTGCCTCTGCAGCTGTTCGAAAAAATATGCGCCGAAATCAAATACGAACTCTGCAACGGCTGACCGGGATTCGGAAGTCGGCTGCCTAATTGACCTTCTCGCGGAAGGAATTTGGTTTGATGGTGGTTTCAGTTTCGAACTTCCGACGAAGGAGATTAAGAGAGAAATAAACCTCTTATATTCCCCACAGCAAAAACGAACTTACATATCAATACCCCATATTTTAAGTTATATCATTTCGTCCCCACAACAATAAAAAAGAGAGAATACCTTCGACAATGAACTTACAAATAGGTACCCATATTTTAAAATAGTATCATTACATTCCAACAATGAAAAAGGGGAGAATATTAGCGATGACAATGTGGCGGGTATCTGTATCTCAATATTCATATCCTTCACGTACTAAGTGTGGGTTAAAATCGGGTGATAACAGTGCATATATTTAATGTTATTTGGAAAAAATGTTGATATTTAATTCTTTTGTAATAATAGGTTAATAACACAAAGAAAAAAATACTTCATAAATGAATGATAAATATAATAGAATAAACTTGTAAGTTGTTTGGGGAAAATCGTTTAATCCAAAACGTAGTTTGTTATTATGGCTAGTAGTGTTGAATAGTATTGTCACAAAAAAATAAACTTGTAAGTTGGGAGTTGGTTGGGGAGTGTGTGTGTGTGTGTGTTTTTTTTTTGTCTAGGTGGAGAAAAATCTCGAGATCGCCTATTTTCTGGATGTACTTGCATCAGCTGTGTTTTGTCTAAAGTTATGAGCAGATTTTGTCAGCTCCCTGTTTTCACTACGTGGGTAGAGCACTTGAGCTGGACAATGAGGCAATGGTCGAGTAGCACAATGGTGGCAGGTGAAGGAAGGTTGAGATGATCCCTTTGCATTAGCTATGTGTGGTGAGAGCGATGCTGCAGGGGGCACGATGTTGTTATATGTTCCCCAAGTAGGTTGGTTGGACGGATTGAAGAAGAAGTGAAGAACTGAAGTGGGTAATGGCAGCCAATCCCTGAAGCGGGTGAACCATAGATAGGTTTTTTTTTTTTTTTTGCATATTATAGTAGATAGTTGCATTGAGTTGCTACTGTTCTGGTTTAAACTGCTTGTACTTAGAGGAGGAGTTTGCAGTTTGCAATTCCCAGGCTTAATGAAATTTTTTGACTAATCATAATTTTTTAATAGAATAAATAATTGAGTCTAAATAATTGAAAGGGTAGCCTGTTGCTAATCCTGACTCGGTGGATGGTTGGATCCTTCTTGGCACCCTTCATGCTGCGTGCTGGCTTGTTTGGATTGAGAGGAACAAGAGAATCTTTCCAGACAAGAGGATCTTGCCTAAGATTGTTGCTCGTCAGGTGGTCCGGAATTCTTTGGAATAGATGATTGTTTTCGGGAAGATTGCTAAGAATCAAGGGACTCAATGGCTTGAAGCAAGGTCCCACCTTTTGTAGTGTGCTTTTGGGTTTGTTGTTTCCTCTGGTTGCCTCTATTCCGGAGCAGGTTCTCCGTCCCTCTGGCTTCGGCTTGGATGTTGTGTGGCTACTTTCTGGGAGTTGTTTCTTTTGTGGTTCGAGTCGTCGCTTGGTCGTCTGTTGTTTGGCTGGCGGCCTCTGCACGCAGGGGGAGGTTCTCTCTTTTCGAGCTGTGTGAGCTCCTTGATGGTCTGTTGTTGGTCGCTTTTGGGTTTGTTTATGGTCTTTGGCGCCAAGCAGGTATGGTCTGGTCCATTTAGCTTGGTTTTTGCAGCAGGCTTGGGCTGGCTTGTCTGTTTGGTTTTGGTTTTGTTCAGTTCCTTCACAACAGAAGTGACTCGGTCCATTGAGTTGTGTTTCTTTTTCGGCCCTTTGATCTTTTTGTGTTTATGTGTTTGCGTTTGTTTTTGTTTTTTCATTTGCTTGTTGTTTGGGTGGTAGCCCGGTTAAGCTCTTGTGAACCACTACCATCTGTCGAACTCTGTTCTTCTTTCACTTTGGTTTCTTTTTATGCATTTTCACCTTCATTAAAAAAATTATTTGAAATAAAAATAAAATTTTAGAAAATTAAAAAAGGTGAAAAATATACGTAAATATATTAATATTAATTATCATAAAACGAGTTGAAAACTATATTCTTACTCCATCCTATACTACTACGAATGACGAATCAGATAATAATGCCCTCTTCATACAAATCGGATAGATTTGATCATGGGAATGATGCATCACTACTCGTACTCCCATACTCCAACTCGCACCACCACCGCGGTTGTTAACAACCCACATTTTGTTTTCTTCTCCCCGACTCTGCCAGCTCCTCCCACTACAGTTCCATCCCCGCACGCTATTTCCACTCTTTTCCACTTATGCTTTCTCTCACTCATTCCATCACTTCTATTCCTTTTCCTTCCATGAAGTCTTCATAATTTTGATTCAATTTGGGGCTTTCCACTCTCCCTATCTCTCCCTACCATGGCAGCGCAACCTGATCAGCTGGACAGCAGCTTCAACGACCTCGATTACCTCTCCGGATTCGGCAACTCACTGGAGTCCGAGGCGATCGCCGGAGCTCTCCCCCGGGGCCAGAACAGCCCTCTCCTCTGCCCTTACGGCCTCTACGCCGAGCAAATCTCCGGCACCTCGTTCACCGCCCCGCGAAAGCTCAATCACCGGAGCTGGATGTATCGGATTAAGCCGTCGGTCACCCACGAGCCCTTCGCCCCTCGATCCCCTTCTCACGGGAAGCTGGTCAGCGAGTTCAACGATTCCAACAGCGTCACCACCCCGACCCAGCTCCGGTGGAGGCCCGTCGATATCCCTGATGGTCCGACTCCTACTGACTTCGTTGATGGCTTGTTCACTGTCTGCGGTGCTGGCAGCTCCTTCCTTCGCCATGGCTATGCTATTCACATGTGAGTTCTGGGTCCGTGTTCTTGGCTTGTCTGATAAAATTTGTGTCCTGCTGAAGATTAGGAAGTTAAAGACGTTTTTCGTTGAGCTTTGTAGGTACACTGCGAATAAGTCAATGGAGAATTGTGCCCTCTGCAATGCTGATGGCGACTTCTTGATTGTGCCGCAAAAAGGAAGTGAGTTTAGGTTGACTCATTAGCTACTTCTGATGCAATTTTGTGGTATAAGACAACACTCGGGCAAGAAAGTGAACATTTTTTCAGGGTTTCCTCAACATGTGTGCTTTGAATTTGAAGCTTCTTTGGATTTGATCTCTAAGTTAAGCATCGTTTGGCCAAAATGAAACCGTTGACCTTCAATCTGCCTGGGGCAAAAGCCTTCTGTCAACAATGGTCAGTTGCATTCGAGATTGGAAGTGAGGTTCAATTACAGGGATGTGCTTCTTGATTTTATTAGCTGGCTTGATGCTAACTAAGAAAGTAGTGAGCCGTGGAACTGCAAGCTGAATTGATTTTGGGGCGACTCAGTCTTTCCCTCGCTTAGCATCCCTTGTCAGTGTCATATCTTTGATGGGAGATTAGAAATGAATGAGGAATAATCTCGATCGTCTATCATTTGTTTTTGTTAATAGGGTTGTGGATCACCACAGAATGTGGGAAGTTGCATGTCTCACCTGGTGAAATTGCCGTATTACCTCAAGGATTCCGGTTCTCTGTAGAGATGCCTGATGGTCCATCACGTGGTTATGTTGCTGAGATTTTCGGTACCCATTTTCAGCTTCCTGATCTTGGGCCAATAGGTACTTACATACTCTAATGTTTTATTTGAAGTACCATCAACAGAATCTTGCTTGCGGAGAAAGTATTTCAGGTGTGGCTGTGGTTTTCAGGTGCCAACGGTCTTGCTGCTTCAAGGGATTTTCTTGTCCCCAAGGCCTGGTTTGAAGACGGTATGCGTCCAGGGTACACTATTGTGCAGAAGTATGGAGGTGAACTTTTTACTGCTAAACAAGATTTTTCACCCTTCAATGTAGTTGCTTGGCATGGTAACTATGCACCATACAAGGTAGGCCTAAAACTTGTTAGCAATTGACATTACTTAAAGAAGGCAACTTTGCTGGTATTTTGCCCTGAGATGATTTGACTCCTCTGCAGTATGATCTCAGTAAGTTTTGCCCTTACAACACAGTTTTAGTTGACCATAGCGACCCTTCAATTAACACAGGCATGTATCGATTTGCTTTTCTGCTCTCTTTCATAGATGCTAGGTCCATGTTTTTGTGGAGATTAACTGATGTCTTTTAGTGTTCCAGTTCTGACTGCGCCTACTGACAAACCGGGTGTGGCTTTGCTCGATTTTGTCATTTTCCCTCCACGATGGTTGGTCGCGGAGCATACATTTCGGCCTCCATATTACCATCGTAACTGTATGAGTGAATTTATGGGTCTGATTCATGGTGGATATGAGGTATGTTCTTGTAGCTTATGCTAGATCACAATCTGCAGTTCTACTGAATCTGGAAAGGCTATTTCCAATTGGTTGACTTCAGTGGTGATGTCGATTTTAGGCAAAAGCAGATGGTTTTCTCCCTGGTGGTGCAAGCCTCCACAGCTGCATGACTCCTCATGGCCCAGACACCAAGACTTATGAGGTATGCCTATTACTGAAAGCGCGTACCATGTCTGTGCTTCATTGAGGATTCCGGTCCTCTATAATGTAGGCGGAATGAACTTCAGATCTGGATATCAGCGAACCCTGCTTTATAGTCAATTTTACTTCTAAAAGTTCCAATCATTTGACAGTTGAATTTCCTAATAACTTAACGTCCATATATTTCATTTCTAGGCCACCATTGCCCTTGGGGATGAAGCAAAGCCACACAAAATCAACAATACTATGGCTTTCATGTTCGAGTCTTGCCTCATGCCAAGAATCTGCCTATGGGCTCTCAACTCTCCCTTCAGGGATCATGATTACTACCAATGTTGGATTGGACTAAAATCTCACTTCAAACTCGAGGACGCAGCAGTACAGAATGCACAGATTTGAGCTCGAACGAGACTTACATGGGCGTATCGTTGTAATAAGGCGCTAAGACAGGCAAACAGAAAGTCTCTGTAATTGCTCTTTGTAAAGATATCCATGTTTGCGTGCGTGTATATATTGTTTGGTAAGTAACCCACATGTTGTAAATTAATGCATACTCAGAAGATGATTGATTGTATTTAGAATCTCAGGTAGGATCACGAGCTAAGTATTGCTCAACATATTTAGTAGCAGGTTTTTGGTAACCTGCTTGCCTGTGGCCTTAGTAATCAACGCTATGGTGGCTCGTTGTGTCGTACCTTGTAAGGCGCATTTGGGGCGATGAAAGTAACTTTGCACTAGGTAACATCGGATTGCATATTCTTGCATAATAGCATTTACATTAATTTCAGCCTCAAATATAGCCATGGGAGCTTCAAGTGCTCAATTTGTTAAGAAATGAGTAAATTGAATGTCCACATTGTTACAGTTAAAGTTAAGGGATCATTTTGTTATGTTCTACATAATTGAGTGACCATTTAGCTGTTTTTTGGGAAGACTATATAGCTGTTGATTACTTACTTGATTGTAAAAAAAAGGAGAGAACATACTCGAAAAAAAAGGAGAGAACATAAATCGGTGTTAGTTGCTTACGCCGCTCCGAAGCCACTTCTGGAAGCCGTCGATTTCTTGCACCGGCAGCAGCGCGCGAAATCTTGGAGAGGAAAAGATGGTGTTCGAGGCGATCGAAGAAGCTCTACAAGTGTTGAATTCTTCTATTTCTCACCTCAAATGGCGTCTTAAATCTCCAGCTAAGCGCCGTCTCGAGATAGGTACTCTCGCCATTCAAACTCTCCCGCAACCTGCAAACTGAAAGCCGGCGGCTTAATCTCTTGGCTTTGAGAGGGTGTTATGTGCTTTAATCGAATTACTCTTATTTTTCTTCGTCCAGATGTTCTTGCATTACTGACAGGAATGAGGCCAGTGATAATGGTCGATTATGGCGGGAAGATGCCTGAATTACAGCAACACCTTTGTTCCCTCATCAAACGTTGCCACCAGGTTTAACTGTTTCTGTAATGGAGTTGCTTATTTCCCCGCTGAATTAGCTTGAGTTTGCGTGATCATGGGTCAGTAAAATGTGCTTCTGATGTGTGACCCTTTCAGAGCCTGTTGAAAGTGTACTAGTCATTTCAGTTTAGGGTTTCCAGGATAATGCATGGTCCGGTTGAAGTGTGACCCTTACTTCTTCCTTTCCTGATCAGGAGTCGGCGGTTTTCGAGTGCCTAAGAGTGATGGTTGTGGATGATATGATCTATCTGATACACATTGAAGGACTTGCAGACTATGCCAGGACAAGCTTGAAGTCAGAAGCAGAATTGTTTTTTGTCAACCTAGAGCAGGAACCATTGAAGGTTGGTTGCTATATTGACTTTATCCACTATTTGTGCTGTCTGGTTAATGTGTTGAGGTTTCATGTACGTTCTCCAGATGGTTTCACAAAAGCAAGACTGCCCCTTGGGAGCTGATTTCTTGAGACTGCAGAGATTGGTCTCCCAATTCTTTCCCCTTGATGAAGCGAAAGATGATGCCTTGTTGCCTGATGTGAGAGACACTGTGGCCAATGTCGAACCTAGCACTTCGTTATCTGCTGGACATATTGATCTCAGCAGTTGCATGCAAGAAACTCAGATCACTGTCCCGACTCTAAACGGGTCAGTAATGTACACTACACATTCTCTTATCTAATCCTTGATTTAAGATGATTCTTCTCCTTCCTGGGAGAATGTTTTAGTTCTACTCCATGTGGATTGGGAAGTTGGGTGACATTTCGTTTCAATCACTGATTTCAATCATCTACACTGCATTTCCAGATGGCTTCTTGGCTACCCTGTAGTGTATTTGTTTGGCAAGGAGTTCATATCAGAAGCAATATGTAGTCTGTCAACGAAGAATCTGCATCTCTTCAGAATATTAGTCCGCAGGTTTGTTGTTCCTCCTGGTCTCAGTTTCTGTAGGTTTGTGTGGCTAAGTGTGTATTAAACGCTGGAAAGAATGAAGATGGGGGCTGATATGGAATCATGGTTTGTTCCTGGTTCCTGCAGAGGTAATGGTGTATCCAGTAAGGGATCCCAGCCTGAAGAACTAATGAGGTAAATAGTATCCTTAGATTTTCTGGCTATGGAAAGCAAGCTAGCTGGGTTGGTCCGTAGCCTCTCGATGAATCAACATCGTTGAGTCAGTATCGATGCATTGACATAATTCTTGCTTAGCCGAAGTTTATTAGGTGTGATGCCAGTTTCTTTGTGTACTAAGCAAAAATTGTCGCAACAGCTTCTCAGTGCCATACGAGCTGAGCATGAGGGGAAGGAAGGAGCCATGGGCAGAGGCATTTCTGGAGCGCTTGCAGTTCAAGTGGCAGAACTGCAAGCAGACTTGGGTGTCTTTGGAAATGGAGGTCGAAGAGTGCTACCCACAAGCAATAGTGCTGTAACAATACTCGCGATGGAAACACAACCCAATTTCACCTTGTCGGCGACTATCGCACAATGAAGTCGCGATACATGCTCGAAGTAATCATTAGTCAAAATCAGCAGATAATTTAGCAGTGATGTAACTCATTTTCTCTCCAATTAAAGCGATTGGTGTTGTATGCTCATTGTATCAACTCTAGGAATTGAAGTTCCTTGGTGTTCATTGAGTGCTTGACTCTAAACTAATACGATCATCAAAAAATTTAAACGTAGTTAGTATATATACGATTACTATGCAGATATTAGACGAATTTTTGTTAAGCATGTACAACTAACTGTACATACTGATAGTCTGATACTATGGTTGAGTATTTATTTTCAAAAAAAAAAAAATTAATGTGGAAAAATAGGCCCAAAATGGATTTTCTGCTATTGGGCCGTGAGGTCTTCTTACGTTTGCGTATTTATTTATACAGCACTCGGCGAGCCAAAGTGCGAGATAGAAAATTGTCGAGCTAGAGGAGAAGATAATCACAAACCACGATCGAAGAGAAGAATAAACAGTGAGAGCAGGAAAAATGTCAGGAGGATTCTCTCAGGACTGGGAACCCATCGTTATCCGCAAGAAGGCTCCGACCTCTGCCGCCAAGAAGGACGAGAAGGTTGTGAACGCTGCTCGCCGCGCCGGTGCTGAGATTGAAAGCATCAAGAAATGTTAGCTCTCTTCGTCTTCGTTCTTTATCGTTTGCTTTTTGGTTCTCTCTAATCATTTCCGTTTCATCTGTTGTTTCTTCCCTTCCTTTTACTGATAAAGATCGGTGAAACCGTTTGTTGTGTTATTTGCTTTCTGGAGAAGCAGTGGAATTGAGGTAATCGGTGTAAAGAGTTAGGGTTTCACACTAATCGATTGTTAGCTAATAGCTATCGCTTGAGAGTTAGGGTTTGCTTGCTGTATTTTATGTTCGGTCATATCTTTCTTTTTCCGCGATTTTCATGGAGATTAGGGCTTTCTATGACGTGGTGAATAAACCCCATGCTAGTAAAGCTGTTTCCGTGTTCGTGATGTATGAAACCTTTGGATAGTTAGTCTATTTGCTGATCGATGTGTTAGAAGGCGAAAGCTGTTTTCCCGGGCCAAATTCTGGAAATAACTGCGCTAATATTTATGTTTATGTGATTTATGCAGCAAATGCTGGCTCGAACAAGGCTGCCTCTAGCAGTACTTCCTTGAACACCAGGAAGCTCGATGAAGAGACTGAGATTGTTGCTCGTGAGTATTTTCCTCTTCATGTTCATTGTTTTCTGGTTTCATGTTTTGTTTTCCCCTCGTGGTCTTGGTTTGTTTAGTTTGAGCTATATGGTCTACAATCCGAGATCAGGAAAGTTTGTAGTCCTTCATGGTTAGAAATAACTGAAAATGCTATAGTTGTGCCTTCTGTTTTGGACTTGGGGTGTCTTGATTATACTGGTTTCCCACTCTTTGGAAGATGAAAATAGTTCAATCTGGTTCCTTTGGTCTTAAACTTGGGTTTCCTTTCTGTTTTACACATGCGAATATCATGGATGAGGAAGTATCGAGATATGTTGGTCAAGCTATAACTCTTTTGCGGATTGTTCTGTAGGATTTCTGGTTTAAAATTCTTGATTATATCTTTTTTGTTTCTGATGAGTAATCAAGAATCTTATTCCATCAAAAGTAGGAAAGGGACAACCCACCAGATGGCGAGCAGGAGTGGTTACTGTAAGGTGGACATAAGAATATGTTCAATTCACAACATTGAGAAAGAATCTGTTTCTTTCACAAATAAGAAACATACTTCTATTTTGCTAGCTTTGTGAAAGTGATTTGGGGTTGTTACTTCTTTCCTTTTCACTTTTGTGGTTGGAAATATTCGGGAAAGAAGGTCTATTTCAGTATCTGTTCATGTATTCTCATTTAAAATTCGTACTTATCCGTGTTTGCAATCACTGGATTGCAAATGCATTTTAGTTAAGTCTTTTCCTTGATGCCAATAGTTGTACGTCTACTTTCAGTTTTTAGATCAACTTGGCATGCTTCCCTTTTGTTTTTTCCTGAGTTGCCTCTAATTTATCTGATGATGCAATTAAATCTATACTTCCTTGAATGAAGGATTTGTGGGATCAGAACATTGCAAGTGTTGGATTAATCATTTGGAACTTATTGGCTTGTGTGTGCTATGTTCATGACTAAATGCTTTGTTAGCACCATTTGTGACAAACTGAGAATGGGTTATTGTGACGTGAACAGATGAGCGAGTGCCAAGTGAACTGAAGAAGGCCATCATGCAAGGTCGAATGGATAAGAAGCTTACTCAGTCTCAACTTGCACAGGTCTCTCTCTCTCTCTCTCTCTCTCTCTCTCTCTCTCTCTCTCTCTCTCTCTCTCAACACAATCAAGCTTTGCATAAAAGCAGATATTTAGTTCTTAACGACCTCTAATTCACAATAAAATGGGTGGGATGCAGTTGATCAACGAGAAGCCTCAGATAATCCAGGAGTATGAATCTGGGAAAGCCATTCCTAACCAACAGATCATTGGCAAGTTGGAACGAGCTCTTGGAGTGAAGTTAAGAGGCAAGAAGTGAAGTGCTCTGCTTACGATCGTTATCTGATATAATGCTGGTTCTGAAGTCTCAAGGCTGCTGATGTACATTGGAAACTTCTCCGTCTTTCCGAATTTCTCTACCCTTTGCAGTGGCTTGTACCTCTGAGAAACTCTGTTTTTGGTTGGACTAACAATGTTGTGCATGGCAGTGTTTCCTTGTCTGTTTGCCCTCTAACTAGCTCTCGTACCACCATATTTCCAAGTGGGGAATACAATTTGCAAGCGTTTCTTACGTAGCCGGCTTTATAACCATGTTGCTGCACTAATGCTTGAATCATTGCTGGACGGTGCCAATTTGATGGGGGATTTCTTTGTGCTGGTTGTGGGATAATCATCCGTAGCTAGTTTGTAGGAGTTGTTGGTTCTTATTTGCTTGTTTAAATCAATCAGGAAGATGTTATTGGCAGCGAAGATTATTCTAGGATTGTGTTTGTTAATTGGAGGTCGGATTTGCCTCCTCTTTCACTATTCTTCTCCATGCTTGGAATTTATGCTGGATTCACTTTACCATGGAAACTAGAGTGCAACGGTGATATATGTGTATAAAAATTACATATAATGTAGGGGAAAAAAATAAACAATTGTTTGTACCATCTTGCTCCGGTGTAGTTTGGGGACTGTGCCCATCTGTTTTTTTTTTTCCAGCTTTTTCTTCGAAGTCGATTACGCGCGGAGAAAAGATATCGTTGCGACGATTGCGCGGAGAGGCTAAATTGTGAGTGTCGCCGGTAAGAATAGAGTGAGGGGCGGAGATAGCATAAGCATGACGCTGGCCATGGGATACGCGATGACAGCTTTTGGCGCTACCATTGATTCTGTTGTTTCGTTGGTTACGAGCGCCGCCCTCTCCAATAGTTATGTTCTTCGGCGTTCGTCTTTCCCAACCTGGACCATCATCTAGGGGTATCGGCGACGTCCGCGTTTGGCAGCAGAGAAGTGTAGCGCGCTCATGGGGACGGCTCAGGAGAAGGCCACTTCGACGGAGAGTGTCGGTACTAGCGGTGCGGAGCTCGCGGCGGAATCGAGATGGCAGTTGGTGCCTTGATGTATAGTTATGCGGCGATAGGTGACGCGAGTTCAAGTTGGAGCTTGGATGAACCGCGAGTTGGGCCGGAGGCAGTGCGACCATCGGCTTGGGATGTAGAGCGAGTCCGAATCGATGTGTCCGCGCTATTTGATGGGGAGCGGCGGATGGGGCTTGCGCTAGAAGTCAAGCTACACCTGTCAAGGACTCCAGCGCGGGGCGCGAGTTATAGGCGTTCCTTCGGCGGTTTGCGGCGCGGGCAGGGCCGCTAGCTAGTGGCGGGCTCATAAGTCGCGGGTCGTGAGACGATTGTAGACCGCGAGAGAAAAGGGCGCTTTATTGGGGCGGAGGCAAGCGCACGAGCGGCACAACACATGGCTCCCTTTTTTTTTTTTAAATGGTGTGCCTTTTTCTCTCTTCCGATAGATCCGGCTCTTTATCGGCGGCGGACGGCGAGGACTTCAGGAGTGGTAGTGCGCGAATCTGCTTCTTCAATTATGCTCTGTTTTTGCATCTCTTCAATCTTCTTCTGCTACTCAGGGTTTTTTTTTAAACCTCCATCTTCTTCCTTTTTCCTCTGAGATTTCTTCTTTCTGATTTGCAGGTTCGCCGTGCGGAGAGCTTCCGCTAGCCTGCCTTGGGGACTGTGCCCATCTGCTTTTTCTGACAAGAATGCAAGTGGCCATAAGAGTGTAGTCTTGTCAACAGTCTCTTATTTCTTGATTTGCGGCCCCCCTCGTCTACTTTTACGAACAAATTGGAGAGAAGGTGATACAGATGACCTTGATTGCGACCGGTTCTCTTTTTTTTTTTTTTTTTTTCATCAACGTCACCGTGGTGGCTGCTTGCGGTTTGCAGGTTGGTTCGGTGATGGCGTCCAAAAAATAAATGTCCAAGCTGTCGTCGTTGCTCGTAGTGGCGGGGGATGTTGATTCACTTCGAGAATGAGCAGAGTTCTTTCATCAGAGAAGGTGAAATCCAGTTTGAGTGCTGGAGTGGAGAACGGAATGTAGTATCCCTCAAAGATCAATCGAACAAAATCGATGAATCAAGCCCCACGGTGGGCGCCAATTGTTTGTACCATCTTGCTCCGGTATGAACAATAATATTTGTTGGTGTGGGGTTGACTCATGATCCGTTCGTCTGATCTCGTCGGGAGGGAAGAAACCTGTGAAAAGTGCCGGGGTTGCCCCCCGGATTAAGCTCCGACGATCAAGTTAGTGTATGTTTGTGGAGAGAGTTGAGAGAATAGATAGAGAGATAAAGTGTAGAGAGATAGTAGAAAGTGGAAAGTGAGGAGAGAGGAGAAGTCCCCCTCAATTGGGAGTTTCATGCCTTTAAATACTTCGTAGTTAAAGTGAGGAGAGAGGAGAAGTCCCCCTCAATGGGGAGTTTCATGCCTTTAAATACTTCGTAGTGGCGTTCGTCCGGAGCACGTTACCGATTGAGCGCGCCCTTATTTAGTCCGCGCGTGGAGTATTTAGTAACACCCCCAACAACAATATATTATTATAATGCTAAATCTTCAACAATCACTACTTCTTTTCACTCATCAGTAAGTGTGCTGCTAGCCTTTAGGTTCTATCCAACCACAAATGTGCACTTCACTAGTAGGTAGGAAGTCTTCCATCGCATCATCGTAGTCGAACGTGTGATATTTATGCGTATCCAGCAAATAGAACACAATGCTTCCTTTGGCAGAAAGTCGAGGAAAGTATATTTTGTTTTCCATTCCTGAAATTTTTGCCATAGTCGAGAAACATGATGTGTTGCTCAGAAACACCATGTTTGATCCCAAGCTGTTTACTCTCCACCAACCCTTCTTCTGTCGATCGAACCTGTAAACTAAAATTGACTTGCCGAGATCACCCACTAGTATAGACATGATTTCACCTTCACATTCCACTAGATACTCCCTCTTAAATTTAAGGTCCTCGTTAGGATCCACGACGTGATGAGATAGGAGCTTCCACGGGTACACGTCGCGTTCCCATTCGTATAGCCCCTCGACGCCACTGCGACAGTTGAAAACACCTAGTTTTCTCTTCTTATCCAGGAAATAGAACTTATCGTCTAGAAAAACCGGTGTGTTGTGGTCGCTAGGTTCAAAATTCGCCTCCGCGTCCTCCAAGTAATGCCACTGTCCCTCATTCAATTTCAAGAAATGGAACCATATGCCACCATAGTCTTTCATACTTTGCGCTACTCCCATAATGGAACAATGTGGAGACGTAGGTGCGGCCGAGACCCCAATGCTTATAGGGGAAGGAGGGTATATCATCTCAGGAACACTCCAAACTTCCTCTGTAAAAGGATTCCAAAATGTAAACAAAAACACTGGTTGAGGCAATGGATTCACAGCGGGTTCGAAGATGTCATGCTCCATGCACGTCAGCAACCAACGCTCTTTGGAGAAGACAATACAAGTAGTTGAATTTGACGATGGAGATTTGGGAAGCAGTTGTCGTGGATTGGTGAATGTGTTTCTACATCTCAAGTCGTGGAGATGGAGGCTTGTCGTGTGGTGCTGAAAGAAGAAGAACCATGGATACGTTGAGGGAGACTGGAGTGCTAGGCCGTCCAAGGTAGTCATCAACGGTGCTATCGATCTCAATGTCTTACAAGAACTGTGCAAGCTCCTGTAATCACCCACCACAGTCAAACGTCTGGTTATATTGTGAAGCATGTCTAGAGGAAGGTCCAGTATCGATACAGTCTTGGATGACGACGATGCGACTCTGTCCTCCTTCTCTTGATACTCAATTGCTTGATGTGCCCGAGTGCCACCATTCTCGATAGCAGCCGAGCTACAATGGCGACTAGTACTAGTAGTTTGGCCGCGATCGTAGCTAAGGAAGAAGATGGAGGATAGGCCAGAGTCATCGTGGAGGTCTGCTTCAGGAGGGGCGAGCATGAAATATGAGGATTGCCCTGTTTCGACATCAAAAGAAATGATTCGGTAATGATCGCGAACGAAGTAAACACAATTGGGTTTTGGTCCTTTGTGGCCTGGCGGGGGGATGCAGGAGAAACAGTTGTTGGGGTAACAGAAGAAGATGGCTCGTCCTTCCAAACTCTTAACTTGAACCCATGAATAATAAGTAGACGATGGCGACGAGGACCTGGACTTGTGCAATTTGAAAACTTGTAAGAATTCGAGGTCACTGTCACTACCCCTCAACTCGCAAAACAGTAACTGAAGTAGTTCCCCACCTGACTCAACCAAGCGGCGTTGGAACCTGTTGCTGTTTGGTAGAGATTGTGGCCCGTTGTCTAATACTAAACTTGCCACCAGTTTCTTTTGCCTTGTTAAATCTTTCTGAATAGCAAATAAGTGCCTGACTCGCTACGACACAACACCTAACAATGGCCAAGTGTAACCAATGGAAGAGATGCAGTATAGTGGCTCAAGTGATAAATATCGAATCCGCGGGTCTCTAGAGTTACTATTACTCAGCTTCAGTTTATTATTTAGCAAACCAGATTAAGATGAAAGAACTAAAACTACTCTAGCAAACTACAGTTAAAGTTAATCTAATTACAGGTTGGGAACTCACTTAGGTATGATTCCCCCTAGCCACTAGCCAGACTAACGATTGATGATTTCTAACTTGTTTCACTTTCATTCACAATGCGGAGAATCCTTGACTAGACCTTGAGTCTCGACTAAAGGAACAAGGCCCTCTTGAGTCAATTGCCTAGAGGGACGTATCCTTCTCTAGAACAACTGATCAAGGCGTTCTGAACTAGACTCCCTCTATCGAAAGAGGTTCTCAATCGATACAAAGCAGTGAATCAACCCTCGACTAAAGCAATCGAACCACTACTATCAATCTATGGTGCTCTATTGACCTAATCAGGTATTCCCTCTCATAGGATCAAAGCAGAATCAATAATCTCGACTAAAGCAGAATTGAATCATGAAAACATGCATAGATTGAATATGAACTCAAGATTATCAAGTCAGAGTACTCATACAATCATCCAATCAAACAAACATAGCTAGGGTTCCTCAAAACCTAAGTGAAGGGAAGTTACTCCATAGAGATCAGAGAGACTGCAGTAAGAATCTTCAGATGATCAGTCTTCAAGTCCGGGCTTGTTCCTCGAGCTTCCAAGGCAAAGAAATCCTCCAATTCCACTCCAAGAATGCCCTCAAATCGCCCTCTCTCTCTCTTTGGTTCGTCCCTTGGGTGTTTGGGATCCAAAACCCAGCTCTCCCCTTTGCAAAAACCCACAAAATAGGCTTTTAGCAGCCTGCGTTCGCGATCCCCGGTCAAAATACCCGGTAGTGTATTTTAGGTCACGACAGGGGATTTTTTGGTTCACGATAGGGGATTTTTGGGTCACGACCGGGGATTTTGGTTCACGACCGGGGATTTTTGGTTCACGATAGGGGATTTTTGGAGACAGGGGAAAATCCCCTATCAAGGCCAAAAATCCCCTACCGGGGATTTTAGTGTCACGATAGGGCCCCCTTGTGTTTCTCAGAGAAGCCCGAAACCAATTTTCCCCAATCTTTGATTCTTCGTTTCTCTCTCGTTCGGACTCCAAATCAGGTGCCGTTTGATCCCAGATGCTCGTATTCTCGTCCTCTTTATTCTCATGACAAGATTACATGATTATATGGTCACAAACTGAGGTAGAAATCCCTTCTTCTTCAAGTCATACCCGAGTTTCTTCCCCCGAGTCGCCAATTGATCTCCGATTGACTTGAAACTTGCGCCTACGCTTCACTTTATGTGCTAGGACCTGAAATGTGACAAAAGAACACAACCTAGCGTAAAATAGGCCAAAGAAGCAATAATGCAAGCTTAAACGATCAAGAAACAAAAGGGAAAACATGTGCAAATATCGAGTCATCAAATCCCCCCACACTTAACCGTTTGCTTGTCCCCAAGCAAACCTAACTCAAACCAATGCAGCTCTCCAGACCTCTATAGCAACATGCACCCTCGATCCTTGATAGAGGATTTTCTAGATCATTTAGCAGCTTACGAGGTCAACCGACGCACAAGTCATCTCATAGCTTCTTCGGCGAGAACGCTAGTCTCGAGTCGGCATCATGGCAAATAGTGATCAGAGGACAAATGAATCGTGGACGAAGAGACTCTCAAAAACAAAAGATCATGGACTCACATTTTTCAAGGTGCTCTTATTTTCTTTTTGAAGACGGTTGGAACCCCCTTTTTTTCATTTTCTTTTGTTCTCTTTTTTTTCTTTCTTTTTCAAGGGTTCCAACCCGATTTTCAGAAAACGGGGCTCCCACCTAGCAAAGGTTTTGATGGAACCCGGCTCTTACCGGCCATGCCGGGAGCGAATGTCTCAAGCCTCGTGCGGGGAAAAGGAATGTAAGAGGGCCGGAGGTAGTAGGTGGAAATTGGGAACGAATTCCCGTCTCCCCTTACACACTTTCGCCCTATTCGCACGGGAGACGTTATTTTAAAGCACATTATCGAGCACCTTTTATTTCAAAACATGATACAAGAGTCCATGACAAGTAGAGAGTCCACAACACCACACAATTCAAGGGTCCTATATCACTAATTCACTCAATCAACCAACACAATATGAAGAAGAAATGAGACTTCTTAAATGCATCAACATCCTCCATAGTGCTACACTACCTCCCTAGGTTGCATATTACTATAAAGACTGTCAATTCAAAGCATACTGAGCAAGCAATTGCAATGAACACGTACTTGGAGCCCTCAAATCGAAATTTGGACAGTGGACTAGGCTCCAAGCACACAAACAGTCAAACATTCACACGGATACATAATCGAACACCCCCCCCACACTTAAGCACGACATTGTCCTCAATGGAGGAAAGATAAGGAGGGTAGAACGAAGTTACCAGATCCAGGGTGAATGATGGTGGACGGGGCAGGCGGCGTATTCCAGGAGGAGAGAATGGTCAGACCACAAACACCACACAAAATCTCACAAAGGTTGAATTATTGACTCTAAAATCAAATAACAAAACTGACTCAACCGAGGAGAAAAAGAGAAAGAAATGCAAACCGACTGGTTGGGTTGCCTCCCAACAAGCGCTTCTTTCACGTCGTGAGCCGGACGATGGCTCCTAAGTTTCGGTCCACCCCAAAACCTCTTTGAAGTTGAGGTTCTCGTCGATGAGGTGGAATCTCAAGTCACGAGCATGTGGTATGACAGTAGATGGAAGCTCGTGCACTTGATGCAGATGAAGTCTCCACCCTCGAGACCTCTTCTTCTCTTCTCTCGTCTCATTGCCCCAAACCAGATATGACAGCACCGATTGACCACCATCGCGTCCACCAAGAGGGACCGATGTCGACGTGACCTTGGTATGGCAAAGAGACACTGCAAATGGATCCTTGCTAAGTAGTTCCTCGAAGTTTGGTGGAGATATCAAATGTAACTCATGGCCAGTGCAAGCCTCTTCCACCTCAACTTTGTCCTCAGCCTGGACACCAATTTTTTCTTCAACCTCCCTTCCTTCTTCATGTGGTATCACCCCTGGGAAATGATCAAGAACTCCTCCTGCTTCACTTTCGTCATCCTCCACAACTTCTTTCTGCACCCTTTCTTGCTCTTCTTCTTCTAGCACGGATTGGAGAGCAAGTTGCCAAGCAATTTCTTTCATGAGATCTTCTTGCATCTCCTCACTCATGCCCGCCTCTTCAAAGCTCAGTTTGGGGTGTGGGAAGGTGTGGTCGGCTACGACAGGAGACTCCGTATCATGATCATCACGGGAGCTCTCCGTGATAACTTCACTGTGCTCCACAATGTCCTTGTAGCCTTCTTCTTCCTCCTCCTCTTCTTGTATGGTAGCAGAAGGGTGATCTGGAGCAGGTTGTGCCAAAGATCGCTCAAGATCATCGACACTCTTCTTAAGGCTCAGGAGGATCTCCTCTGTTTCACAAAAGGCCTGAACACAATGATCCATCCTGGAGCATGATCTCTCCATGAGAAGCCTCAATTCATAGTGAGGATCTGGCTGTGGAGTGTAGCATGGCTCTGCAGAATGGCCCGTGAAGGCCGCCATGGGTAATTCCAGCTCCAATGGCCCCTCTGGTTGTGGGAAAAATTCTTCTTGGTAATGAGGTTGTTCTTGATATGCCCGGGGGTCCGGTTGTTCTCCGTAGTAAGGGGGTTGGTACTGGAACCCGAATCCATAGTCTTCTCCTCCTTGATTGCTCCAGGGAGTCTCGGGGTAATACCACTCGGGTGGTGGTGGATACCCCCAATTGTTGGAGAAGCCATGAGGATTCATGATTCAGATCTGCACCAACAAAAACAAAAACACCCAAGTGAAAAGCAAGGGTGGAAAAGAAAAGAAAAACGCTAAAGTAACAAACTTCTGCCTTTCCTAATACTCTAGAAAGTCCCCGGCAACGGCGCCAAAAACTTGACTCGCTACGACACAACACCTAACAATGGCCAAGTGTAACCAATGGAAGGATGCAGTATAGTGGCTCAAGTGATAAATATCGAATCCACGGGTCTCTAGAGTTACTATTACTCAGCTTCAGTTTATTATTTAGCAAAACAGATTAAGATGAAAGAACTAAAACTACTCTAGCAAACTACAGTTAAAGTTAATCTAATTACAGGTTGGGAACTCACTTAGGTATGATTCCCCCTAGCCACTAGCCAGACTAACGATTGATGATTTCTAACTTGTTTCACTTTCATTCACAATGCGGAGAATCCTTGACTAGACCTTGAGTCTCGACTAAAGGAACAAGGCCCTCTTGAGTCAATTGTCTAGAGGGACGTATCCTTCTCTAAAACAACTGATCAAGGCGTTCTGAACTAGACTCCCTCTATCGAAAGAGGTTCTCAATTGATACAAAGCAGTGAATCAACTCTCGACTAAAGCAATCGAACCACTACTATCAATCTATGGTGCTCTATTGACCTAATCAGGTATTCCCTCTCATAGGATCAAAGCAGAATCAATAATCTCGACTAAAGCAGAATTGAATCATGAAAACATGCATAGATTGAATATGAACTCAAGATTATCAAGTCAGAGTACTCATACAATCATCCAATCAAACAAACATAGCTAGGGTTCCTCAAAACCTAAGTGAAGGGAAGTTACTCCATAGAGAAGAGAGAGACTGCAGTAAGAATCTTCAGATGATCAGTCTTCAAGTCCGGGCTTGTTCCTCGAGCTTCCAAGGCAAAGAAATCCTCCAATTCCACTTCAAGAATGCCCTCAAATCGCCCTCTCTTTTTGGTTCGTCCCTTGGGTGTTTGGGATCCAAAACCCAGCTCTCCCCTTTGCAAAAACGCACAAAACAGGCTTTTAACAGCCTGCGTTCGCGATCCCCGGTCAAAATACCCGGTAGGGTATTTTAGGTCACGACAGGGGATTTTTTGGTTCACGATAGGGGATTTTTGGGTCACGACCGGGGATTTTGGTTCACGACCGGGGATTTTTGGTTCACGATAGGGGATTTTTGGAGACAGGGGAAAATCCCCTATCAAGGCCAAAAATCCCCTACCGGGGATTTTAGTGTCACGATAGGGCCCCCTTCTGTTTCTCAGAGAAGCCCGAAACCAATTTTCCCCAATCTTTGATTCTTCGTTTCTCCCTCGTTCAGACTCCAAATCAGGTGCCGTTTGATCCCAGATGCTCGTATTCTCGTCCTCTTTCTTCTCATGACAAAATTACATGATTATATGGTCACAAACTGAGGTAGAAATCCCTTCTTCTTCAAGTCATACCCGAGTTTCTTCCCCCGAGTCGCCAATTGATCTCCGATTGACTTGAAACTTGCGCCTACGCTTCACTATATGTGCTAGGACCTGAAATGTGACAAAAGAACACAACCTAGCGTAAAATAGGCCAAATAAGCAATAATGCAAGCTTAAACGATCAAGAAACAAAAGGGAAAACATGTGCAAATATCGAGTCATCAGTGCCCATCCACTGTAATCGCATATACTGTCTTATCTTGGCAAACTATGAGGAACAAAAAGTATTTCACGTCACGAAACCTCTGTACAGCCCAACCCTTTGCAGCAGCTGCTGGTTTGCAATGCTCGAGCAGTGGAACTCCGCGGCGAGCAACTATAACTCTGCAGTCGGGGTGCGTTGGGGGATGCGTCATTATGATGGAGCACCAGTCGACAGTGTTCAACTTGGGTAGTTTGATGGACTCCATAGTGGCAGGATTGAACAAACTCAAGCATGTTGAGTTATCGGGAGGCCCAACTTGGAAGCCAGAGATTAACCACCCGAAAGGGGAGTGCCCAAGGACCGAGGAGTATTTAGGAAGCATAGCTGCAGGGAGGCGATGCTGTGGGAATTGCGTCGCCGTTGAAAACAAAGTCAGGTTCTTGTTGTGCACACTGACCACCCATGGAACATCTCTTGCAGACACTGGAAATTTCCCTGATAATGACGACGACGACTTCGACTTCTTCGATGACATGGTTGATTGATCGATCGAGATGAAGCTAGCAAGCGAGGAACGAAGGAACCGATAATAATGTCGGAAGAGAAGGCAAGGTTTATATAGGAGATTAGCTTCCCGTTTCCCACTCTGATAGGGAAATAAAAGGCCTCTCTGATTCCGGAAGGATAGCCGTCAAAGTTTTTTTTCCCCCTTTTTCCGGGTGTTCTTTCCGCGGTTGGGTCGAAGAAGAAGTTGAGGCTTCTCTTCTTTCTCTCGGATCTGGATTCGTCGATTGACCGGAACATGGACCACGCAATCAGGGACACCGCTGCCTTATTTTCTGGATGATTAACTCCCAACTAAGAGGAACTTCCGAAGGGAACTTCCGAAGGGAATCTAGAGTTTTCAATTATTAATTAGTGGGGAGAGAGAGAGAGCAGGGGAGGGTCTCGTGGGTCTGGGTTTGCTCTAGGAGAGGAGAGAGCACAAGGAAAGCATCGGAGAGAGCAGGGGACGATTCATCTTCTCTCTGCTCGCATAAGTATAGATTTTGGTTGTTGCGAGGCATAAGTATAGATTTTGCCCATGGCTGAGAACTAGGTATCTGAATTTGCCTTGGTTGTAGTTTCTCTACACTCTCTTCTTATCACATTTTTGGGGGTTCCTAAGTTAGAGTGAGGTGTATATACTTTACACCGTGATAGAAAGGTGATGATATATCTATTTCAGTGGTAGAACATGACATGACCAAGAGGAATATAGGGACGGGTTAGCATGCTAACCCCTTAAGGGGTTGGTTTTTTGACACTCCCCTTTTAATTGGTCAATTTTTCATTAATTATTGACAAGTATTAATGAAAGTAAACATAATAAATGTTCTGTTATTAAATACAAAGTAAGCATTTAATACACCACATTAATTACCACTTTACTGGTATTTGTACCACTGCACTGATACTCAGATATGACATTGCTACCAGTGCACTGATATCGCTACCAGTGCAGTGGTATATCTACCAGTACAATGGTACAACGTATCAGTGCAGTGGTATATCTACCAGTACAGTGGTACAACGTATCAGTGCAGTGGTATATCTACCAGTACAGTGGTACACCGTATCAGTGCAGTGGTATATTTTTTGGAGGTGGTCGGAGAGAGTCTGCCGATGGGATTTTCACCGGAGAAGTGTGGCGGTCGGAGGAAGTCTGGTGGTCGGAGACTGCTGAAAAATGAAAAATCAAATATAGTGAGAGAATTCCTAATGTGTATTTAATGTGTGTATTTAATTCCTAATGTGTATTTAATAGTGAGAGAATTCCTAATTAATATGGTACATTTAATTCCTAATGTGTATTTAATGTGTGTATTAAATTCTATAATTGTATTTAATATACTAGGGGGTGTCATTTTTCCAACCCCTAAGAGGGGTTAGCATGCTAACCGACCTCAGGAATATAGCAAACACTGAAGATTTGAAGGACGAGCTCTCTGATAGGCATGTATGGATTGCTGCATCAGTTCATAGAGGTGAAGAACAAGGTGTGTTCCAGTTGCACTGGTTTCTTACTTGGTCTATCTATGCGTCATGTCAATACTATATTATTTAGATTAATCTTACAGCTTGATGGTGCATGGTATAGATTATAGAATATTTCCACTACAAAATGTCAAAAATTTAATTTGCTTTTGTTTGTATTGGTTGTCAGGTTTCCTGAGTTATTGTTGCTTTCTAAGCACTCATGACTGTCATCTTTTCAGTAATGTTAGCAGTTCGCAGATCGTTGGCCCGAAGGTACCCTGACTTGTTGACTATTATTGTCCCTCGCCACCTGCAGCTTGCGCACCATATTGTTGAAGTATGAATTTCAGTTATAGCTCCATCTTTCTTCGCCTCAGCTAGTTGTTTCCAGTCTAAACTATGCTTATGAGTTTGCTTGTTTGAGTGGTTACTTATGGAAGCATAAACTTTAGGCATTTCTCGTTTAATGTTTTGTTTTGTTTAAAAATGTGCAGGAATTGCAGTAAGATGGACTTCATGTAGCCTTGAGGTCTCGAAAGGAAAAGATCACGGCCATAGGACAAGTGTACGTGGTCGACACTTTAGGTTTGCTTCTAAGCTCTCCCAAGTTCCATTAGTTGATGGCCATGCATAACAAACCTGCTGCATGATGTTAGTAAATCCTTAACTTAAACTTGTTCAATAGGTGAATTAAGGTGTCTATATAGCCTAACTCCAATAGCTGTAGTTGGCGGTTCCTTCTGTCCTGGTTTCGCTGGCCATAACATATCTGAAGCTGCCGCAGCTGGCTGTGCTGTTTTAACTGGTCATTGTTCTTCTCTCTCTATCTCTGTCGACCCCTGCCTTTCATGCTATATATAAATTGTATGCAATGTTTTTTAAAGCGCTTCACTGCTTCTTTTGCTTTCAGGTTTTCATGTCGGACATTTCTTACACATGATAAATGAAATGCAAAGACTGGTTTCTCTTTCAGTTATGCAGGTTTTCGATGCCCCTTTCACTTCTCTGGTTCATTCATAGCCTTCTGACTGCTACCATTTTTAGCTCTTTAATTGACTCTTTTGTTCTGTATCACTTCTTCAGTGTCTGGAAAGGAAGAACTTAAAGAAGCGCTCTTTCATCTCCTCAATGACACAAACTTGCTCAAAGCATGACGCATGGCTTCGAAACAAACGTTTCATACCCTTTCCTCATCCTGCTCTCTTCTACACACTGATGTTGATCTAGTCCAAGTTAGATAAAGAGATCTAGTCATGGCCCGCATTTGCAGCCCCAAAAGTACTTGAAGTAAATGCCTTGGCCAAGGAACTTAGTGGTCACAAGGATCAGGTAGTGTTCTTGCGCTTTGGTGATTTTTTTGTGTTTTTCATTGTTTTTACTTGGCATAGAGTTCTTGCTAATTGGTAGTTTAGCCAAACATTTAAGTCTGTCTCATAGGAAAGAAAACCAGTTTTTTTTATAATGGGAAAGAAAACCAGTTTGATAGGCGATCTTTGATGTTAGCCTGCAATTGTTTATTTTTCCTGAACTTGAACTCTTCTTTTTCTCTGTCCAGCCATTCTTCTCAGCTACCCTCTCATTTTGTTAGGCATGAGACGTTCTTCCAAATCAAACTTGCCATCAAGGATGAGGTTGAGTATCTTGAGAAAGCTGGAATAAACGTCATCCAGATTGACGAGGCTGCTTTGGGGGTTGGGTTGCCTCTAAGGAAGTTGGAGCATGCTTTCTATATGGATTGGGCTGTCCACTCCTTCAGGATTACCAACTGCGGTGTCCAAGATACTACCAAGGTCAGCATCACTTTCCTGTTCCCTTGTTCCGGGAAACTGTTCCAAGTTTTGTGGCTTTGATTTTAGTTTTTGCATTATGGCTGCTAGAATTAACTAAAAGAGTGAACTTTTGATGTTGGCACGCAGATCCATACCCACATGCGCTACTCAAATTTCAATGATGTCATTCACTCAATCGTCAGCATGGATGCTGGTGTATACGATATTCACTCGCCTAGTATCCCTTCCACTGAAGAAATTACCCTATAACGAATTACATATGTTCACATGTTCTTTCGTCTTATGGTCTTCACTTCATTGTGATCCCTAGAGTTTCTAGATTGTACATGGGTTCTCTTAACTGCAACTTGGTGGAGTTGTCAAAATAGAACAGGTCGATATAGTAGGTGGCCCGGGCAACGCTGCAAGGTTTATCTTTCTGGTGGAGACTTTTTTTTTTTTTTTTGGCGATGGAAATAAATAGTCAGAAAATATCACACAACCAAACACGCCAGTCAACAAGTAGTCAAACTGCCGATAAAAGGGCCTGTTGTGCCACTAAATGGGCAGCCCTGTTAAACCTGCGAGGAGTAAAAGTACAAGAAAACACGAAAATTGGAAAACGACCGAAGTCCAATATTTGTTGATTCACTATACACAAAAGCTCAATCTCTGACTTCGAACTCCACTCCCCTCTCGTAATTTTGCAATTTGGCCCGTGATTCGCTTTTCTTTCCATTTGGGCTGACCAACCCATTGACTCATTATTTAAGAGACCATGGATCCGGCTCCATTTCTTTCTGGGCCCTGGGATCCATAATATCAAGATAGGAAAGCTATTTCTATAACGGACCTACCGCCTTTTCTTCCCTCCACAATAAATTGCTTTCTCCATTTGAAAGTACTTTTCCCGCCTGCCTGTATCGGTTACTCCACTCTATCTGTAGCTTTCGTTCTTTCTCACCGCCTGCCTGTATACCTTACTCCACCGTCCACCCTATCTGTAGCTTTCTTTCTTTCTCACCTCCCAAGAAAGAGTGTGACATCTTATTATACGAATCTCCATGAAAAGCTTCGCCATTTTCGTTCTTAATTCGTTTTCTCTGTGATTTCCTTGTTTCCGACTATGGGACACGGAGAGGGGACACTCTACCGCGCTCTGTGGCTGTGCAAAATCTGCGGAGTCTGCTTCCCACGAGGTTACCGTCGTCACATGGATGCACACTATCATCAGGTAATACATCTCGTCCTCATTTTGATCTCCGTTCCTTTCATTCTAGTCGAAATAAACGAAAAACGAGTGAAGAAGCAACTACAGATACAGATGATCAAACAGCAATGCCAAACCAAACGATCTAAACCAAAAACGAGATCGAAGTGAAGAAACGACTACAGATATAGATTATCCAAACCGCAAGTCCAAACCAAACGATCTAAAACAAAAACGAGAAGTGAAGAAATGACTATAGCAGCAGATCCAATGGCTAAATCAACCAGTTTACAAGAATTACAACATTCACGCGACTAGAACGAAAGGAACGGAGATCGAAATGAGGACGAGGTGTATTACCTGATGATAATGTGCATCCATGTGACGACGGTAACCTCGCGGGAAGCAGACTCCGCAGATTTTGCACAGCCACAGAACGCGGTAGAGTGTACCCTCTCCGTGTCCCATAGTCGGAAACAAGGAAATCACAGAGAAAGCGAATTAAGAACGAAAATGGCGAAGCTGATTTCGTAGATAGGGTTTCTGTAATAGAAACAGTCGTTCACTGTTCTATTTATACTAAAATTTAGGGTTTAAGAAGGGTTCTAGAAGGTACATCTCTGAGTAGGAAATGGGCTAATGGGCTTCTTGGGATTGAGTTGCATTCTGCGGTTAGAGCCCGAAATTTTGGTATCAAAGAGTCTTAGGCTTTCTGGCTTCTGGGCCAAAATTTTGGGCTTGTGGTTCTGAGGACGGACTTTGTAGATCTGTGCCTCTCTAAAAGAAAACCCTACCGCCGACCTATCGCCGCCGCCATCATCGTTTTCAGTCTGATAAAAAAAGCATCAGCAATTTTATAAACAAAATCAACCCAAAACAAATAAAATTGAAATTGAGAGAATTAACGCACCAACTGTAATGTTGATCTATTCCTGAATTGTGAAAAAACCTTAAATCGGTCATTGAAACTCAATACTTGCCGCCAAACTATCATCTCTATCTGTTATAATCGTCGGCCGGAAAAAAAAATCAAAAGACTTAGACTTTTTAGAAAATCAAATGAAATCAACCAGATAAAACAAGATGGAAATCGAGAAAATTAACATACAAATTGTATTTCATCTTACCGGAGGGCCACCAAGCCTCCTCCGCCCACTCCTGACTCCCAGGACCTCTCCTCTCCACCGGTGAATCATCTGAGTCGTCGCCGATAAATCTGTCTTACTCTCCGCCGGTCTGGATCCTTCAGATCTAGGTTTGGAGCCGGCTGGTGTCGCGTCTGATTGTTTTAGGAGACAAGACGTGGTAGGTGGCTAGTTCTAATATGGGAGAGAGAAGTGAAACTCTTGTGTTCAGAGGATAGGTCAGACTTAAGTACATAGCTACAAGGGCAAACTCGTCAAAAACGTTCTGCGAGAGTTTTTTTTCTTTTTTAAGGATCGAGAGTCAATGTTAAAGTTTCGGCCGTTGGATCAGTTCCTTGTATGTATCGATACAGATGAACGGATTGGATGGATTGTTCTTTATTGAAACTTTCAACACTATATTTATTGTTATACAGCTGTTGGCTACCAAATTCGCGAAAATTTCTCTATTTCAAAAGAAACCGAATTTATTAAAAAAAAAACGAACAAAAACATCTTTAGTTCTTTACTCAGTTACACCTCTAGGGTTAATTGAGCACATCTAGCTTAATGGGTTTTATGCAAGGTTGTCAACCCGCAGGTTGACTCGGACCCGATCGAGCTAGTAGGTTAAAGGTTAATGGGTCAACCGTTTTAGCTCGGTTTGGCCCGGAAATATAGAAAAAGTCATTATATTGTACTTATCCTTATAAATTATATCAAATTTTATCTAACATATGACTTATAACATATAATATTACACCAAAATAACATATCGTACTTAGATCCAACATATAGTGAAAATTCACACACACTTATATAACATAAATATTCAAATGTTCAACTTAGAATTTCAAAGATTGAGTTAGGCGAAAAGAAAAATCGGAAAATAGGCGCATTTCGCAAACCAAAGAAGAAAATGACACAATTTGACCTCCAACCCGGTACCTTGTAGCGGTCGGCCCGGTGGGTGCGTATGGCCCGTTTTTCTCATCGAGTTAGGGTCAAAGTGGGACGACCCGCGGGTTGACAACCTCGGTTTTATGCCTTTTGGGCTTTGTCTTGTTTTCTGCGGGCATTTGTTCTGTCATATGAGTATCTAGTATCTACACATCAACAACCGCAAGTCGCACGACTAGGTAGTAGGGATGGCAATGGGGCGGGTTTGTCTAAACCATCTCATCCCCATCTTCAAATACCCAAACCCATACCCGCCCCATATCCATGCGGGGAATGTTTTGCAAACCTATCTCCATACCCGTGGGTTTCGGGTACCCATGGGTAATACCCGTATTCATACATCCAACATTATTATACCCAAAATTTACAAGAAAAGTTTTAATTATTACTCTAAACGAACCTATTATATCATGAAGTCAACAAAACACGATCATTTTCTTAATACGGTTCAAAGTATATGATCCTAAAACATCCATTAATGCATAATCTTGTAGAGTATAATATTTTCCAAATTATTATCTTCTAACTCTTATACATCTACTAAGTAATAATTAACTAACATAATCTTGTAGACAAGGGGAAAAGTGAAAGAGTGAAAGGAGAATTGAGGGAAATGAATTAGATTTTGATTAAAATGGCCACTCAATTGCATTTCTACTGTTTATTTCCTTGAGTTATCCTCATCACCATTGATAGATTACAATTTAATCCACATATTTTTTTATCTGTGAAGAAATTCTCTTGGTGGGGCGGGTATGGGTATGGGGCGGGGGAGGTCAAAACCATACCCGCCCCATACCCATCAAACTTTTTGCGGGTTTTATCCATACCCGCCCCATGCCCGGTCAAAGCGGGGATTCCCCGCGTTGAAAGCGTCGGGGGCGGTCGGATACCCGCAGCCATGAGTTTTATTGCCATCCCTACTAGGTAGGAATGGTAGATTTCAAAGTGAGGTTGTATTATACTATTATTAGTTTATTACACTTGGATATGGTTATTATTGGACCGAGATATCGAGCCTACCTCTCAAGAGCCCACTTTGCCTATGGCAGTATAGCCCAAGACTCCAACACATGTTGTTGGTAATGCTTGTAAGACAAGTAGTATTTGTCCTCGTTTGATAAGGAATCCATTTTCATGTGTAACCCAGTTGAGCAGTTGCCTAGGTTATATAAGGAGCCAGCAGGTCGCACGGGCATTGTAACGAATTGAGATCTCAATAATATTAATGATGGAGAGGCAGTCCTCTCCCGTGGATTAGTCTCGATCAATCAAACGATCGATGATACCACGTAAAACTCGTGTGTTGTCTTTGTTTGTTCTCGATTTTTCATGGTATCAGAGCATTGATTATAAGAAGCTTGCTGTGTGTTTTGGTCCTGAGTTATCTCCGTCATGAGTGATTCAGAAGAGGGCAAGAAGCCCACCAGTTCTGGGGAGACAGTTGAAGAAGGTGTGAAGTCCGAACAACCTCATGTTGTCATCCCAAGTGCTCCTATGTCAGTTTACTACCTGCATCCTTCAGATTGTGGAGGGCAGCTCAATGTCGGTGACCCTCTTACGTCAACCAATTATAGTGAATGGGTAATTGATATGAGGGATGCACTCATCGTTAAAAATAAGTTTGGTTTTGTCGATGGAACCGTGTCTCGTCCAACGAAAGATCCGGAGTTGCGTGCTTGGACTCGTTGCGATGTTGTCGTCAAGGGATGGCTTCGAATGGCAATGGATAAAGATGTTTTCCACGAGAGGACAAAACACGTTGAAATGGATTGTTACTTCTTTCGAGAGAGGTTTGTTTCGGGTGATATTTTGCCTCTCAATGTTAGTTCTCATCTGTAGGTTGCTGATCTTTTCACAAAAGGGTTAGGGGCGGACCGATTTCGTTTCTTTCTCTCCAAGCTAAACGTTCGTGACCTCCACTGTTCAGCTTGCGGGGCGTATTGGACCGAGATATCGAGACTACCTCTCCAGAGCCCATTTCTCCTATGGCAGTAGAGCCCAAGACTCCAACATGTGTTGTTGGTAATGCTTGTAAGACAGGTAGTACTTGTCCTCGTTTGATAAGGAATCCATTTCCATGTGTAACCCTAGTTGAGCAGTTGCCTAGGTTATATAAGGAGCCAGCAGGCCGCACAGCCATTGTAACGAATTGAGATCTCAATAATATTAATGATGGAGAGGCAGTCCTCTCCCATGAATTAGTCTCGATCAATCAAACGATCGAGGATACCACGTAAAACTCGTGTGTTGTCTTTGTTTGTTCTCGATTTTTCAGTTATGTTTAGGGAAGACCTTAATCGCCATGGCCTGCAAGTTGGCGACTTATGCCCAATTTGTGAGTCCACAGAAGGTGAATCAGTCGAGCATTTATTTCTTCGTTGTCCGGTGGCAGTTGCTTTGCGTAATTTGGTAGGGCTCCATTTGCCTCCTGATCTCCTTCTCACCACCCACCTTTCGTTGTTTTGGCGGCATCTCATATTCAATGTGGATATCAGCTCTATTAGTTCCTGGGTACTATTATTTCGGCGACTATGAAAAAGTCGCAACAATGTTGTCTTCCTCCCCCACGCCCAGTTTACCATCGCCTGCCTTCATCGTCAACTACTGTCACACCATGCCGATCATCAAATTGCCGTCCAACCTCTATTTCTAGCCCAGGCACCACCGCCTCGACGACTTCGTGCTCCCCAAATGAGTTCCGGATTTCGGATTGCTGTGGACGGCGCGACATCATCTCCCACTCATGGTGCAGTTGGTATTGTTGGCTTTATTGGCGGTCAGGCTACTTTTGGATTTGGGTGCGCGCTACCTGGAATAATTGATGCTACTACTCTGGAATTATTGGCGGTCCGGTATGCTTTACTCCTCATTTCCTGTTGGGGATGGTATGATCATCATGTTCAGATTACTGGAGATGCTCAAACTGTGTGGGAGCGGTTAGAGTCTAACACTCCTCATGATGTTCGGTGCGACGCAATATATCGTGAAGTGTTATATCTTCTCACTCGTCTACCTTTGGTTTCTTTGGCTTACTCACCTCGAGAAGCGAACCGGGTTGCCCATATTGTGGCACGTAATGCCCTTCGCTATCCTGGTATCAGTAATGTATTATTTGATTACTCTTATATGGTCTGTCTTTGAGTCCGTGTAGGGGTTGTAATTGGTGTGACCCCACACACCTATCTGGTTAATCCGCAAGGATTTCTATGACAAAAAAGTATGGTTATGTTTAGGGCGGAAAGTTTGGTACTATTGGGATATATCGAATATCAATTGAATTTTTCATTACTTGGTATTATCGAATATATGTATTATTTTTTTGCATTAAAATTGAGATTTAAATTTTTCCAAAAATTTTGAGATTTATTTCAAGTATTTGGTATTAGGGATTACGAGATTGGAACTGATAATATACCAAAATACCAATAAATACTGCAATATAAGCTAATATGCATTTATCTCTATCAACTAGACTTTCTCACTCACTATTATCAGACCGCAACCGCCAAGATGGTTACCTACTTATACATAGCTCATTCCCTCGTCATATGACAACCCATGTCAAGCTCATTTTGTTACTTGTAGTATGTTCATGAGTTAATCATCAACTGTTTCAGTTTGTTAGTTTGCTTCTTAGGCACCTCATTTTGCTAGAGTGTTGTTATTATACTTGAGATTTTTTTTTCCATTTGTATTGAACGAGTATTGACACCACACCATTGTTTGTTTTTATATATTTTTAGAATGGTTTGTGGAGATAGTATTTGCGTTTGTGTACTCAATTTGTAATTTTGAAGAAAATTAATTCGGTATTTACCGATACCGAACAAAAGATTGGGATTGGAATATTAAAATTGCTTTGGGATCGGAATTGATATTGAGTTTATAATACCATTTGATATTCGAAATTTCGTAGTTTTGTTGCATTGGGGTATTTTACAATGACGTTGGGCTATCCCCAACACAAATAGAATGGACTGCTTGTTTCTTCTTTATTAAGTAGTAAAATGGACCGATTGATTATTCCATTCAAGTGCTTTGTTATCACAGATCTACAACCAATTGCAGCCGATTGATAATGATTGGCATTTTCTTTCTTTATTTGGTAGAAATGATTGGCATTTTCTTTGTCCACTCGTTTTGCACTAAATTAAGAGGTTGTTTTCCTGAGAAAAATTAGAATTTACCTCAATTCACCACATTGAGCAAAACCAATGAACTTGTTGGCGGAAATTTCGGTCGGTTCGAATGTGATATGGATTATGAAAAATTGTCGGGGCGAGAATTTATTTGTTTACAAATTTGTCATCTTTGTAAAGACTGGGAACAATGGTGGTTCTTTACTTATGGCTTCCATCTGTCATTTTGCTCTTCTCTTTATCCTTGCGTTTGGAGTTTGGATACCTTTGTTGTTGGCTTCCAAAATTTCGAACTATTCTAATGAACACCAAATTCGGAATATGAAAATCAAACCAATCCTAGGAGAAAACCGATAGATAAGAAAATCCCCAAATGAAATACAAATTCCACCTCCTCTAACGTAAATTATTAAAAAGGACATCCAAACAATACATTTTACATAAATATATTACTTAGTTATTTCATAGGCTACAAACTATCTACACATAATATAATACACCGAAGGGAAAAACGGGAGCCTCATTTCAAATTTCCTGCAACGAGAGTGAAAGTAGGAAGGACATTTTGGTCTTCACAATTACTTTTTTTTATTCATTAAAAAGGTGTGTACTGAGATTTGAACCATAACCATTTTAAAGAAAGGCAAGGATCATAACCAATCACACTAAGTACATTGGTTGTATCCTTTTAAATTAAAAACATATAATAGCAGGGTGGAAAAAACTCTTCCCCCATTTCAAATTCCCTGTTCCATGAGCGTTTGTAGGAAGGGTAAAATAAGGAGTGTCAATTTTTTCTCTTTCCTCTATGGAACGGGCCAACTTACCGTACACATGCGGATTTAAACGAGTCAAGGAGTGTCAATTTTTTTCTTTATACCCTTTTATTTATCCGTGGTGATAAAATATATATGAAAAGGCAAAAATAATACTACTTTTTATTGTTAAAAATAAAAAATTTAACAATAGACTAATGCATGGTATCTAATGGGCTAACCGCTAACCATAAAATAAAAGAGTTGAATGGGCCTGACCTACATGGGATTTGGTCATCAAGTAAAACAAATGAACATCATGGGTTTGCCATTCTAAAACAAGCTATTTTCTCTGGCATAATATATATTATGCTATTATTTTATATCTTAGTGGCTAAAATATAATGTATTTTAAAGTTATTCAATGGTTCAACCTCGACCAACCCAATTAGTCCAATTTTTATCATTTCAAATATATATTTTATAATTATTTGACATCATAATGATCAAATTATAGTGTATTTTATAGGGAATCGTTTGGTATTTGTTAGTAAAAAACTAAACATAAAAATCTATTTGGTTATTTTAAACATTAAAACGATCCTCAACATTTTCAGTTCCTTTTGAATTTATATGGTTTTATTCCCGAATAAGTGATGTGCAAATGGCGAATTGTAGTCGTCTTTTTTCTTTCACTATTTTTTTATTTTCAAATAGAAAGTTTAAAAGTAAAGAATAATTAGAATTTGGCATGGGTCGGTCAAACAGGTTGAATTTCAAATTTTGGCCCATTTGTTTTATGCATTGCAAATTTATTAGCATGTTGATGGAAATGGCTTGGAAAAAAAGACATATAAGTTGTATCTTTGCAGAAATGTCCTCAAATGTTTGAATGCTTTGTGAATCAGGTTCTGTGACTTTTGTGATGGTGTATGTGCTTGACGATTGCTCGATGTTGTAACTACTTAATTTAAGAGTAAATCTTTTGACTTTCCCTATGAGTTGTGATACCAGTTCTGGTGGTTGCAGCATGTTGTCGTTGTTGGCCTGTAAAAGTTGTTCCGCCGTGATGCTAAATACCTTTCTTTCTTTTTTAACAAATTGTGTAGTAGTGTTATGAAACAGACCACCCATGAACGCTACGCTTATTATGTTCTGTTCTTACTTCCGGTGGTGAGAAATTGTGAATTGAGAATCATATTCGCCTACCGCACTGTGTCTGGTTGGTGGCTGCTTACTGTGCTCTCTAGAGTTATGAAACAGACTACCCATGAACTTTACCCTTAAGAGTCCACAACTTTGCGAAAAACCAAATATAGGCAATCAAAGGTGGTGGATGTGTGATGATTTTTTATGGCTTAATTGTTTGTGAATTAGATATCTGATCTTTGTATGATTAGAGGGGATGTTTGCTTAATAGAATAATCCATTTTAATTCATGTTTATTTTTAACATGAACTTTAGTAACTCAAAACCTTTGAGACACATATCACCTACTGCATTGTAGCATTTTGCCTGGGTGCTTCCTGTGTTGTCAAACTTCTTTGCTGCTGATGCATTTACACTAACAAGAGAGTTAAGAACCCATGAATGTTTCCGTTTGACACAAACAAGAGGACTTATTCTAAATCGTGCACTAAAGATGATTGGAGGAAACATCTCTGTTGCAGTTGATACACTGGAGACCATAACAAAAGCAACGTATAACATCAAAACCAACCATCTGAACTATTAGCATTGTTGCTTTACTCTTTTTTCGTGGTTGAGTCTCCTTCAAAAAATTTAGTTTGATTTTAGAAAATTTTGCTTCTGCAATCCTGTCTTGCCACCAACGCGTTCAGTAGATGGAGATGGCAGAGGCGAAGGCTATTTTGTGTTGTTGTTGCTGGTTTAGGGATCGGTTTGTGAAGAAGAGGGAGAAGAGAGGGGGAAAGGGAAATGCATGAGAGGGGGATAACTCTTTTCTCCGACAAAAATGGAGTGAAGAAAGGAATTATGATCAGTAAGAATATGGTTATCTTACATAACTGTGTCTATTCTGTTTGAATTGAGCTTGGGAGGTAGTGATAAGGACGAGCTGCAACCAATTCATAGTGATAAGAGTGCTATGAACTGTGATCATGTCTTATTTCAAGTTAGAAGGTAGTTTCAGTATAAGGATTATTTAATTTGACAAGTTGTTTCGTCCATGATTCTTGGTAGTTTCAGTGCCATTCTAGCCATTGTTTAGTCTGTAATTTTTGAGAATTGATGTGCGAGTAATGACTTTCACTTAGCTTCAACTATTATGTGTGTATTTATTGGCATGTGATAGAATTCTCTTTTCCTTTTCTTTGCCAATTCAGTTTCATACTCTAATTGTATCATTTGTACATAGGCAAATCATGCTCGAGATGACAACTCGTTGATATGGCTGGTGCAAGGAATGAAGCCATCATTAAAATTTAGACCGACAACGGGGAGGGATGCCCATGACTAATTCAATGATGATTTATGATGGTATGATAAAAACTGCAGTCTGCATCAGCACCAATTTCTAGGCCTAAGTAAAGTTATTTAACCCAGAACTCTGCTTAGCGCTAAAAATTGCCCTCACCCAACCTTTATCCTGTTTGAGCCACTTCTGAAGAGTCAAGATATATTACTAATTCTCTCCGTTCGTATTTTCTTATTGACTTTTTCTGACCCTTTAGGTTGGGGCGGGTCGGGAAGAATCGGATTAGTGGGCCGGTCCTAATCAAGTGGAATCCCAATCCCTTCACTCTCACTTGCTTTCTCTCCCATTCCACAAGTGGGTAACATACAGTAATCCGGCCAACGGGCCGGGTAATAAGCTAGTGTATTTATAATAGTAATAACTTTTTACAATGCACGAGCCAAACAATTTTCTCAAAACTATGATCTACCAACATATAGGGGGAATATACTCCAAAGGTAATACATGTTTGGAGGTTGAGATTCTCCAAATAGATGCATTTGTCCGATTTGTGTATTATCATTTGATGTATTGGTTCAATGCATGTATTAGGAAAATACTTTGTTTGGAGGGGCAACGATGAAACAAAAAGTAGGGTAGACAATCCCTTGTTGGTAGAGATTGATAATCATAAATTTTGAGTAATTAGAGGTGGGCCTAACAAAAAGGGTAATACATGCATTGTAACTCAAAGTGAAAAAAAAAAACTCAATCTTATCATTACATGTATTTGCCAAATACGCCACTTCAAATCTCAACCTCCAAACGACCCCTATAATCTCTTTTCCTTTTTAGTTGTAATGGAATGATTTGCCAATCAACTACCGCGACATTCTTATTGGTCATTTATCTCCTCAAATTTGATAGGCTAGAAATCACATATGTACAAAGGAACACAACTGTACTAAATGATCGATAATACAATAGAGTTTAACACTTCAACAATCACCTTGAGCTTATGACACGTCTATACTTTTAAGCATGAGGTATCAGCCTTGTGAGCTTATTACATTAACCTATACGAAAAAAAGAAGGAAAAAATGGCTTCCGGGTTTTAGCTGTTTGTATGTGTAAAGAACCCGTTGATAAGTAATTCGACTTATTTAGAGATATTTAATTAATAATAATTCCAATACCACATACACTAATAGTATGGAAATCCCTATATCATCGAAAAGCCTGGCTAGCGATCAAGAATTGTTAAATGCACAACACAATATAAATTGGATGATAATCAATGACGTGTATGAAAATTGTGGCGAGAATAAACAAAAATTTTATCGATAATAAAGGTTGGTTTGGGTGGATTAATCGTTAATGTGACACTTGTATAGTCAAATAACTCGTTAATTATTCATGTGGTATCTGAGTAGTAAGTTTTCTAAAGTATCTCGTTTAATTGAACTGTTCATATGTGCTTTTGACGATAACAAAAAAATAAATCGAGTTATTTCCAAATACCTTAAGGTAAGAGTTATTTTTTTGCTCAAGGCTCTATGAAATGTGAAGTGCTGAAGGGGCGAGGCGAAACTCTTACCGTTTTGATCCCCTGTTTTTTCAGTTTAGTCTTTTTAGGCCCCGCAGTTATTTTCCCTCATTGTCTTTGTTGGGCTTTGTGTGGTTCAGTTTAAGATAGGTAATAGGCTTAATTGCAAGTTTGGTCACTCGAATTGCTAAAAAATTTCACGTTTGCCACTCAAATTGATTTATTCCATTTATAGTCACTCGAATTAGTTGAACGGTCCAAGTTCGGTCACTCTCCATTAACCTCCGTTAGACTCCGTTAATGACGACCGTTAAGTGATGACGTGGCTAACAGAAAGACACAGTCAGCATATTTTAACATTAAAAAACGACGACCCGACCCGCCAGCTCAGCCTTACCCGCCCTGTCAGCCATTCTTGCCCAACCCGCGAACCAACCCAATTAATTGACCCTGAACCCAAACCCGAGACCCAACCTCCCTGAAAAGTAAATAAAAAACAGATGATTAGGACACTTTCCCTTTCCATTTTCGTCCTCTCATCCTCCCGCGCCGCTTCTCTACATCGCACACCATTGAAGATTATTATAAGAAAACCAATAGATTAAATTTTTTGACGTTATCCCCTACTCGCAGCCCCGCACCAACCAAATCAATGGCCCATGGGCCAATGACCATAAGAAAATAATAATAATAAATCAATGACCGCCCTGTCCACACCAACCAAATCAATGACTCATGGCCCATGGGCCATGGCCATAAAATCATAATAATAAATCAACGACCATGAAATGAAGTCGGCAACCATAGCCATAACTATAAGTCTATAGCCGAACCGAATTTATTTAATTTAATAATGATATATAGGCGGACTTGGCATGAGCAGATCAGCGCCCTGTCCATTTCCATCTCTCCCTCTCCGCGGCCGCGTCCCCAACTCGGAAGGGCCACGGCTATGTCCGACTCAGTCACTCTGTGAACTGCCTCGGTGTCTCGCCTTCTTCCAATCGAGTTTCTTTATATTTCGCTTTCCGTTGAAATCCATCCATTCACTTCCCCAATCCCCAAAAAAAACCCACACACCCTTTGCTTCTTCCTCCCTCCACTCACTCATAAATATCCCTCTCCGCTCTTATCCCAATCTTCCCTCCTTCATTCCCAGATCCCCCTCTCCCTTTTGTCTCCCCATGTCAGCTCCTTCTACTACCGCTCCCCACTAGCTAACAAACCCATAAACCTCCCATGGCGGTTCCAGCTGTCAGACCCCAACTCCTCTGCCTCCTCCTCTTCCTCGCCATCACCGCCGTTCACTCCCGATTCCTCTCCTCCTCCATTTCCAACCCGTCTTCCGATCTGGTCTCTGATGGCATTCACGACGGCATCCAGAACCGTACGAACTCTTACTATCATCTCCTCCTCAACTCGTCGGAGGAGCCGGAGACCGAGTCGTGCGAGCAATCCTATGGCTTCATGCCCTGCACAACCACAGCCCTAGGAAACATGTTCTTGATTATCGTCTATGGCTACCTCATGTTCCTCGCCGCAACTTACTTGTCCAGCGGCAGTGAGCTCTTGCTCGAGATTCTGGGGCCTGGGATTGTCGGGGGTCTCTTCCTCCCTGCTCTCGGCGCGCTCCCTGATGCTATGCTCATCATGGGTAAGTCGGATTGAAATCTATAGGGCTCAGAAATCCTCCATTTCTGATGAATTGAACTCTTTTTTCCCCCCCCCTCATTTCAATTTGGTTGTGCTTTGGCGGCGGTGATTTCTAGTGTCCGGGCTTTCGGGGAGTGTTGAGACTGCTCAGAGTCAAGTCTCCGTTGGGATGGGGTTGCTGGCTGGGTCGACTGTCATGCTGCTTACTTTGATCTGGGGGACTTGCATTCTTGTTGGCAAATGTGATATCAGGGAGACTGATTCTATCGCTATTGATGGTCAGGACACCAAAGGGATGCACTTAACTAGTAAGGTTTCAAATGATTATCTTGTTCAATTTTGCTGGTTGCATCATCAGTTTTTAGCCATCGGTAGAGGTTCTTCTGTCTCTATGCCTTAGGACGTTCATTTCTTGTGCTTACTGATTGATTAACTTTTGAAAGGCGAGATCTTGTTTGGTGCCGCTGTGTATATCCGGTTCCATTTAGGGTTGGAGCTTGATGCCTGCTGGCAGTTGAATTGTTTGTAGGAAGAGTTCAGTAGGGATTAGTTGGTGCTATAGTTTGGATAATCTTACATTTCATATCAAAATCTGATGCAAGGACGGTGGCTTATGTTTGCAGGTAGTGGTGTCAGTACTGATATCTGGACTTGCTATGCTGCCAGGATAATGGCTATATCTGTTATTCCATTCGTTATCGTTCAGTTCCCGCAAATGATTCATTCAACTGCTGGAAGGCAGGTGGCTGTCTTGATTGGACTTGTTGTATCTGTTTCGATGTTCATTTCGTATTGTCTCTACCAGGTAATGCTTCTCTTCCCTGTTATTAAGCTTTAGACATAGTATTTTGTCATGTGGTCTCATCAGGAAATCTGTTGTTTAATAACTCGCAAAAGAACTGAAGAGAATGTGTATCTTGTTGCTTATTCTTCTACATAGTTATAGCTTCATTGTCCTGAATTGGCTACAACCCTTACAGGGCCCATATAAAATGAGGGAACTGATATTCTTCGGTCTTAGGCAGCCATGATTTGATGCCTTCTTTGAAATCGTAGGATTTGGGCATGATAGAGAGACGGTGTAGCAGTAGATGTCATGTTGTGCTTAACCTTTGCTTAGCTTCAATGGCTTCTGATTTTGGTTTCTGGGATCTTGCAATGTCACACAGGTCTTTCAACCTTGGGTTCAGAGAAGAAGGCTGGCTTTTGCAAAGCACAAACATGTGATATCTGGGATTTTGAAGCATTTGAAACAACGGTCCCTGGGAAGGCTTTTGGACGATGATGGTGAACCTGACAGAGAAGTCATAAGAAAGTTAGTTCTTCACATATCAGCCGATGCTTAGTTTAGCACCAGATCGCTTAACTAACTTTTTTGGCAATGCTTCTTGATGCAGGTTGTTCGGAACAATTGACGTAGATAAAGATAATTATGTCTCGGCATCGGAATTGAAAGCATTGATCATCGGAATTACTTTCGACGAGATCAATTTCGATAGGGATGATGCTGTGGCTAAAGTAATGAGCGACTTTGATTCATCACTTGATGCGAGGATCGACGAGAATGAGTTTGTTCATGGGGTAACCAAGTGGCTTAATGAGGCAAAACGAGGAGCAGGATCTATTACTGCTCCTGATGCTGGTCCTAGGACAATGAAGTTCATAAACGATTATCACTTGGTAAGCATTACTGCAAGTAGAGTGTGAATGGTCCGGTCCACCCCAGAATGAACAAAACTGCCTTCGATTTTAGTCTGATCACATCTCAATTCAGCCCTTTTTCTTTGTTTTTAGCTGGATCCATGGAATTAAAAGTTGATTCAGTCTGATTCGGTTTGGGTGCGATCCGATTGTTGCACATCCCCAACTATAACAACTGGTGTTTATCTTAATTCTGATCCTGACCTTTTAATATGATCATATATATAGCAAACAAAGAAAGAGCATACATTGCTGGGAGCAGGGGAAGAAACCGAGCAGAGTGATGAGGTCATTGAAGAAGTGGAGAATCCAAAGTGGATCTCTTTTAAGGCGGTGTTGATGTTGATGTTGGGGACAGCTATTGCAGCTGCATTTGCTGATCCGCTGGTGGATGCTGTTGACAATTTTTCTGCCGCAACGAGTATCCCCACATTCTTCATATCATTCATTGCTCTGCCTCTGGCCACCAATTCCAGCGAAGCAGTTTCAGCTATCATATTTGCCACCCGTAAGAAGTTCAGAACTGCCTCTTTGACATTCTCCGAGGTATGTATCTCTGCAATCCCACGTTTCTTTTCTATGTTACCATCCTCATAAGTCATAATGTACTCATACGCGTCCCGGGTCAAAATGTGTTAACTACATTTACATTATCTGCATTATAATGTTTCTAAGCTTCATGCTAATGCCTGTGCTGGTTTTCTTCTGCAGTTATATGGCGCGGTGACCATGAATAACGTCCTCTGCCTGTCGGTGTTCTTGGCAATTGTTTACATCAGAGGATTGGTTTGGGACTTCTCATCTGAGGTGCTGGTCATTCTCATCGTGTGTCTTGTGATGGGCGCCTTCGCTAGCTTCCGCACCACATTCCCTCTTTGGACAGCTTCGATTGCCTTCCTGCTCTACCCATTCTCACTGGCACTGGTCTATGTTCTTGATTATGTCTTCGGTTGGTCGTAGAGTCCTCTGGAGGCGAAATGGATCACTGACTGAAAGCTACTTATGGATAGTTTGGTTCTGCCATTTGAGTTGGATGTTATTATGTAAACTTGAAAAGACAGACGTTTATGGGTCTTTGAGGTACATTATGTTGTGTCGGAGATGTGATATATATGAGACGCTTGTAGTCGCATTACTCGCTGTGATTTTGGGGCAGATTAAGCTACATATGTATGGACTTTTAGTGTATGAACTTATGTGTTTACCTAAAGACTATTGATTATCTGGAGAATAATGTATGTTCATGTATAGAGAAGATCCACATTGCGACCGAGCGCCCTAAAAATTGAGTGAAATGATTACGAATTGCGAGTTGCAAACAAGTGATAATATGTTGTGTCTTGTTGCGTCGCATGACATGAGTAATGTCGCAACTAGTTAGTGATGAACAATTACAAATTGGTCCGTTCTTTACGAGCAACGATTACCGTTCATATCGAGACGAACACCCAAAGTAAAGGTGGCTGGGTGAGGTTCCGCGCCAAGGTGGCCTTGCCTTGTTCACAGAATGCCAACACAGAAGAAGCGCCCGTTATCCGTTTTTTTCTCTGAACCGAGGAAGTCAGGAACGAAACAGTTCTCTTCATATATCCGCGCCAAAAGAAAAAAGTCAATCTTCTTCCTATCCGCCCCAAAATCCAAATGATCTGTCATACTTCTTCTTCGATTCACATCAAACCATACTACTGCTCATCTCCCACTCCCCAATTCCGGCCGCGTCGAGCTTCAAGTTTCGCTATTAAATCTCCACCCAACTCATTACGTTTCTCTACCCACCATCAATCGAATGGCCGCGGGAACATCGCCGAAAACGGTACGGGGTTCCTTCTGCGTTCCGTCGGTGATTGTGTGTCTTCTTCTGCTTCTCATGACGAGGGCGGGCTTGATGCGGAGCTGGACCGCCTTCTAGCGCTGTTGCCTGAACAGATGAGAGCGCGAGTTGTCGAGCACCCTGAGTTCCATGGCTTAGTTGAGGTGGTGTTGGATTTGGGTCGGCCGCCGATCGCTAGGTTTCCGTCTGGGGACTTCGTTTTGTCTGATTCTCCGATTACGCTTCAGGATCTCGAGTATGCTGCATCGCAGGTGACTGTGCCCTTTTCTATAGCCCGCCACTTGTTTGATGAATTGCGCTTTGTTTTGGATTGTTCTTTCTTTTGATAGCATCTTGAAAGTTGAAACAACTGAACTTATCTTTTGGTTGCATCTTTCGTGATCATTGTATGGGATAAAGAAAGGGACCTTGAACTTCATGTGTTGCAGGTTGGTGACTTCGCCATTGACAATCGAGCAGGCATCAGCAGAACATTGCACCGGATTAGTGCCATAAGAAATCGCAAGGGTGAAATTATTGGATTGACTTGTCGTGTTGGTCGAGCGATTCCTGGAAGTGCTAGTTTGCTGGGAGATTTGGTTCAGGCTGGTGCCTCCATACTTCTAATTGGGCCCCCTGGAGTGGGGAAAACTACAATTATCAGGTTCTCCCTCCTTCATTCTTGTTAGTGAAGCATTGGCTGCTTGTTTTCTTTAAAACGATCTTCTCGTTTTCATCCAAATACGAGGCTCTGAAACTTCCAACGATGCAGGGAAATAGCTCGAATGCTTGCAAATGATTATAAGAAAAGAGTTATGATCGTCGACACTTCAAATGAGATAGGTGGGGATGGTGATATACCTCATTCGGGGATTGGAAATGCTCGGCGAATGCAGGTCGGGAATTCTGAAATGCAACATAAGGTATGCTTTGGTTTAATCAAGCATTGAAGGGAGCAAAAACATATCAGCATCATATGCTGAGTAATTATGGTATTCCATATAAGGTTTCACCTTGCTAAATGGAGTAACTTAAGACAATTTATCCATCTTTTCTTCCACTCTGTACTTCATGCGTTAGTTCATCATTTTTTTATTGATTAATACTCGGGTTGCTATCTAAAAGTAACGATTTGTATAAAATTCAGGTGCTAATAGAAGCTGTCGAGAATCATATGCCCCAAGTGATTGTCATAGATGAGATTGGGACCAAACTAGAAGCAATGGCTGCAAGTACAATTGCACAACGAGGCATTCAGCTCGTTGGAACTGCTCATGGAGTTACAATAGAGAATTTGATAATGAACCCTTCTCTTGACATGCTTATAGGTGGTATACAGGTGAAGCTTCTTAACCAATTTACAACTGGGTAATTGTCTTAACTCCTAATACAGAAAGCAAACCTCATACTTCATATAATAAGCAGAAGTTGGAGAGTTTATGGGCCATGTACTGAAATCGGTTATAATTCTGAGAAGATACAAAGCCTTTACATCACCTTTTTGAAGTTGCTAGACTGTGAACCCATTTTAGGGAACATAATATCTTGTTTGCTTGTTTATTTGGATTACTGAGGAACATTTTTCAGAGTGTAACACTAGGAGATGAAGAAGCAAGCCGGCGAGGTGTACAAAAGACGGTGCTAGAGAGGAAAGGACCATCAACCTTCGCTTGTGGGGTTGAGATCATTTCTAAAACTGAGCTGCGAGTTCATCGCTATCTGGAATCAACAGTAGATGCAATCCTAGCAGGTGGGCTTCTTCCTTTCGTTGGAACGCGATACTCAGAACTTGGTCCCAACTGATAGTGGTGAACTTTCTGCTGATTATTTTAAGTTTTAACCAACTTTTACCACCTTCCCACTGCCATTCTTTTCATGGAAAGGCCGATCCCCTGTCGTTGAAGTACGCAAGATGAGGTTGGAGGATTCAGAGGGAACTACAGAAATGGAACCTTATACAGAGGCGTCTGTTGAAAATAAGCCTGATATCTTTCATGAAGGTCTCGGGTTGATGGATGAATATCTCAGTGGGCGTGCATTCACAATTGAGTCTCCACTAAGCATTTCAGCCCACTCTTCAGAAGGCGATGCACCCTTTCACCTATATGTCTACGGGGTAAGACCATCATGTCATTCTCAGTCTCTTTGTTGAAGTTCTTGCAGTGGCCAAATGGCAAGAGTAGATTAAAGAAGAAGTATTAGTCTAACGATCGAATTTAACAATATAGAAGCTGTAGTATTCACAGAGCTGCATTTTAGTTGGGGTTTTGTTCTTTGCTTTGGTATGATATTATTTGTCTTCTTTAGTACTATTATTCTCAGTCAGGTCTAAACTAGGGGCTTCTAACTAAGATCAGTTTTGCACATGTTATGAAACAGGATGCTCAGGATCTTGTTGTGTGCTTTTCAGAATTTATCACAATAGTAGCTGCCAAGTTGTTTGAAATAATACATACTGTAGTTGTCACGTATTCATGAAATAGAATCCATTATTTTGATCAATGAGATCTTGTCTTCAAAAGAATCTGTACTTTTTTCTTTGTAACTTTACTTCATTGCATTTCCATGACTGTCTTCACTTATAAGATGCATGTGTACAAGTTAATTTACAAAATTTACAGAATGAGCAGTTACTTCTAGATCTTGGAGGCAAGCGTAATACAAGTGATTAATCAGCTGGAGGCTGCAGTTCAGCTAACTGATAACATCAGCGAGGCTAACGCACTTCTTGCCTTGCAATCGAAAATCAAGAAGAATCCCAGAATTCAAGCAGCAGCTAAATCACACAACATACCTATATATGTGACAAAGGTAATTTGCAAGAAACATTTTTGGCCCTTTGCGCTGCGACTGACCACGCAGTTGCTATTTGCAACTGATAGTGTCCATTCTTGTGGCTGCTGCTATAGACTAGCTCAACAGTCCAGATAACAAAAGCCATCAAGGCATTGATCAATGATCGCGAAGGCGGATTCAAGGATTTTGGATTCGACAATGACGCGAAATCTTCAGAGAAGATGGATGCTTTAGAGGTATTTTATTGTGCCCCCTATTGTTAACATCTGTGTTCTAAAATCAAGGAACAAATAAAAGCTGCTGAGTCGGCCCTGAAGTTCAAGGACCGGGGAAAAAACGACAGTATTGTTGTTGTGAACATCGATGTTTGCCTCTCCACTCCAATCAGTTTCTTGAGCAGTCTCTTTGATACCTTGTGGTATCAATCGGCTTTTCTGGCTAAGTCATGTCCTTCTATTGTACCTATATGATTTCACAAATGTTATTTGCTTGTTCTGCAGGAGGCAAGGATGGCAATCGAACAAGTGGTGATCCCGAAAGGGCAGCCTGTGGAGCTACTACCTAGACCATCCCACATTATCAATCTCCAGATGGAGTTCATCCAGAAGAATTACCAATTACAGTCCGAGAAAATCGGCAGAGGGCCAGAGGAGCGCCTACGAGTCATACCATATCAGGTTCGTAATGGGAAGCCCAGTCGCGTCTCAAACGAGACCGAGCATCACGATGATGAGTTATCGAGCAATGGATCTCTCTATTCAGCGGAGAAGCTACCTTTGTTGCCAGATTCTTCTTGACTGAGAACTAATACTTGCTGATCAGCAAGCAAAGTGTATTTATTAGATAAGAAGCAACTTGAAAGGATTTCCAAACTTCAGTTTAGGAGTTGGTCATACTCAACAGATAGTCATATTGATTGATACAATCGTACTATGAAGCCAAACAAGCAGCATATAACCAGGCATGAACTGGGGTGGAAAAGCCCGGCCCACGCGAGGTTATAGACGGAAACTGACTCAAGTTAAACGGTCCAAAAAGGCCCATTCTAGCAGCAAAGGAGCTAGCAGGCCCATGCAATGTGGCTGAGCCACCATTTGAACGGCAAACATGCATGCAAGGAACAATGTCCACGACCATTTGATCACTGACCATGAGTTTGGTTGCATCGTCAAACACTAGTTAACTTGAGATAATTCATAAATCATAATGATGACATTCTTTATTTTTTCGATATGACTATTATTCTAACACCATCATTGGAATGTTAATGCATCATCCAATTAATACAACAATTTGAAAACTCGTATGGAACTATGAGAACTGTCCAATAAACGTACACATGCATTCTCGTTAATCGTCCTTAGATAAGCATATACAATAGCCCGACTCCACAGGACGTGGCAGACACATGAAAACTATCAAAGAAAGCCAAATCTAGTCTATACAAGTACCAACAACCAAAGCTGGGAATAGCCTCTTAACCTCCTCGAGATTGAGCCAAAATCAAATCTAGCTTTCTCTAATTTCCATATTTTCCAAAACTTTCAACACACACGTCACTCACTCCCTCACTTCATCGCAGACATGACGAAAAATAGAGACACAAAGATAGAGAGATCCGTGGAAAGAGTCTATCTGAAAAAGTTGAGCGAAGATTTTGCCTCAAATTTCTGTCTCCCGGAATTCGGTTCCCCCCCTATTTTCTCTCGACATTTGAATCCCTTTTTATGCCTTTAGATTTGCCTTTTGTTTCTCCAACATTTCTTCACCCAAACTCCCCTCTCTCTTTTTTTTTCTTCTGTTTTCCACTCACTAATCACCATTTCAAGAGAAGAAACAATAAATACAAGAGTCATACAAAAGAGAGAAAATAACAACTCATAACGTAAATCAAACAGATTATCCATCGTCGACAAAAGAGACACTTTTTGTTTCTTCTTCTTGTTTTTACCTCACCAAATGGGTCCGGACGACGAAATCCTGAGCCAGAACTACACGTACAGTAACAACAACAGTGCCACGGGAAGCGCCAGCGGCGCCACAACAAGCCACGGCGGTTTCGACGGCGGCGGAAACGGCCGGTCGTCGAAGAAACAGAAACAGAAGCAGAAAGTCCCCCAGCGAGGACTCGGAGTGGCGCAATTGGAGAGAATCAGGCTGGAAGAGCAGCAACAACAACAACAACATACAAAATCCGACCACCACCACCACCCTTACCTCCACCACCACAGCGGCGGCAGCTCTTCCTCCGCCACCACCTTCATGGCGCCGACACCTGTCCCTCCTTCAATGACATCACCACCGCCCCCGTCATCCTCTTGCAACGGACACAATCACCTACCGCTCCTCCACCACAACCAATCTGTGGACCCGTTGTTTCAAAACCCGATGCTCATCAACAATATTAATAACAAACACCGTCAGAGTTTCGACGCTATTAACAATTACGGCTCCACGACAACCGTTACAATCCCGCCGTCGAGCCTCCACGAGTGGGGCCCGCAGCAGTCAATCTCTGTCCCGTCTGTTGTTACGTCAGCGGGAGGAGGCAGTACCAGCAGCCGCGGCGGCGGCGGGAACTCTAGCATGGCGATGCCGACGTGGAACTTCTCATCGTCGACTCACGACTACAGCGGGAGTGGATTTTCGTCGTCGGGAAGCTCAAACGTTCCGTATAACAATAACAACAATAATGATTCAAACCCTAACTCGCTTTGGTTTCTCCCCTGCCAGCTGGTTCATAAAGCTGTACCGCCTCCTCATCAGAAGTACCAGCAGCCCGCACCATCTTCCACCACTTGTTCCTACAATTCCTCCATGGTAATAATCAAAGGACAATCCACATCATATATTATATCTTACATGATCGAGCAATTCCCTAATGTTACGACGTCCTAATGAATACCTGATTAGGGATGGTAATGAATTGAGTTGAAATTTACAAATAACAGACGAGATAAATGATTTTACGAATATAACTATCTATTATTTTTACGAACACATCGTAATGTTATTGGAATGTTTTTTTACAAATATAGGTTGAGCTTAGCAAAAATATATTTTGAAGTATCCATTATTCGTGTTAAATACAAAAATGACATATTGTTGCTTTTTAGATGCGTGTCAATGAAAATAGGTTGAGCTTAGCAAAAATCAAATCCGATCTAGCTTTTCAATTTTAAATAAAGAAATAAAATCCGCACTCAACTCAAAACCTGTCAACATAAGATTTTTACCCACTTTTAATCCGCACTCAACTCAGCAAATTGTATATTTTTGTGTAGATGAATGGTCCAATACCGGCAACTACTTCGTCGTCGTCATCCTCGGTCATAAACTTCCACATAGAGCCACCCTCCTCGGCGACGAACCAAGGCTTCTACAGCAACTTTTCGAGCTTTGGCTGGCCGCCGATGGAGGAGGAGAAGGTCGGGATGAAGAGAGCGCATCCCTTGTCGTCGACCAAGCAGGAGAGCAGCAACGAGAGTGGGGACGTCCCACATCCTAACTTCATGTACCACAACAAGCCGCAGCAGCCGCCGCCGCCATTCCCGTCGGTGGTTCACCACCACCACCACCACGAGTCTCCTTCCTCCTTCAACTTCGGCTCCGGCCCAGTTTTCAACTTCTCTTCCCCTACCCACTATTTTAGGTTTTGCTCCTTTCTCCTCCACTTTCCATTTCGCTTAATACGCAAATATATGAAAGGCATGTATTTTATACGTTTAAAAGTTACGTTTCAAAATATCATTAATCGTATCGTTAATTTAAAGATATGTAAAATACATGTACGTACTGTGTTTTATACGTAACTTACCGTACTGTATTTTACTGACTATGATGATGCTAGCAGAGATGGGTGTTCGGGTTGGAACGTGACGTGGCAAGCCGATCCTAGGAGATCGATGAGAGAGAGTGGATCGGTGACGGCGTTCCCGGGAGATTTCCTAACTCTAGCTCCCCCCACAGCTCCTCCTCCTAGCTCAACAGCAGCAGCCGGAGCCGCCGTCGGTGGAGTCGCTGGCGGCGGTGGCGGAGGGTGTAACTCGAGTAATTTTAGGCTCAACGATCCACACTTTCATCGTACAACCAAGAAGTTCGAACTCGATTCATCCTCGCTCCACAGCCACTACCATCACCACCACCATCACCGAGTAAGACAAAACATTCTTTTTCATCCCTTATCTATCTATAAACAAACCAAATTTTTCGCTCAAAGTAACGATCTTTTTTTGGTGTTGTTGAAGGGTGGAATGGAAGATCAAATGGCGGGTGACTCAAGAGCAAGATATCAACAACAAAACCAACAGATGATGCAGCAGCTGGAACCGCAGCCGCAGCAGCAGCAAGGGATTTGCCACAACGGCTGCAGCTTCCCCCACAAAATGATTAATGTAGAAGATGAACGGCGAAGTTCCCTCGTCAATTCTAACGGTGGTGGTGATCATCATCATCATAAACTTGAAAACGTTGACCTCAACTTGAAGCTATAAAAACTATTAACATACAAAATGAAATAAAAGAAAAGGGGGGAAGTCAATTTGTAATATGCTTCATATATACCTTTAAGAATAAGCTTCAATGATTTCATGTATTTGATTGCTTATATCATACATCTACTCATCATGTTTGTATACAAAACTTAATTAAGCTTGTTTTTATGCTTGATTTTATTACAAAGAAAAATAATGGTGTATTAACTCATTCCACTATCAATTATGGGATATTGAGTAATAAGCATATATGTGCATACTCTTTCATTTTTATTTATGTCACATGTAGCATCTACCGGTTTCATACTTCGATTTGTATTCATTCATAATGTACTGATTTAGATGAAAAATACCACACGCCTCGATTGGTTGCTCGTGTACTCATCTGTCTTTTCCCAACAAAATATTGTTGTGTCTTTCTTTCAGAAGTGAAGCTTAACTCAAGCTCACTGAACAATAGAACTCTCGATCTCTCAATGTACCTTACATGACTTGATCTACATTTCATGATGTTATAACTCGATTTCGTCACAATCCAGACTTGAAATATCTCGACGAACGGTATCGATCTATACATACATATATATATATATGATGATGATGCGTACAAGAAATCTCATTGGTGAACTGCTGCTACTCAGTATCATAAAATTGGTAGAGGGAATGCTGTAAAGCCAAATAAATCTCATACCAGCCGTTCTGGGTTGGATGGCTACAGTCCCAGAAGAAGGCCAGCTCTGGGTGCTTGCAAACCCTAACCTGTGAGTTTTTGCCGTGGCTTACACCACACGGGTACTTCCCGTGCTCCTGGGTCAGGCATGGCTTCAGTGGATTCTTGTACTTCAAGCTACCTGCATCCATGCAGCAACGTAACGTACATCAAATTGTTCCACCACATAAAAGGATTCTGTGTATTTCAATTTAATTTACAGCGCGCAAATGGTTATAGATAAATTGTTTCGCCATGGAAAAAGCTACAATTGCATCGGGACAAATGTTTTCGTCGCTAAAAGTGGTCAGTATAGCTTAGCATAAAGTCTTTTGCGACGAAACACTTCGTCGCGGAAAGTCTAAACTTTAGAGATGTGATTCGGCGCATAAAGGTGTGTACTCGACGACTCCTCCCAGAAGTTTCGGCGATGAACCTTTGTCGCATAATCCTTCATTTGCGACGCACCTATTGTCGCAGAAGGATTACATTTTTGCGACGGATTTTGCGACTATACAACAATTCCGTCACGAAAACCTAGGGTGGCGTGGCATGTGACGCATTATTAATATTTTGGCGAGGGATATTTTTGTCGCAAAAGGTCCAGTTTCTTGTAGTGCTCCATCTATATGACAACTGAAAACAGCCGACACATTTTGGCGTAGTTATAATAAATTGCGTACCTGTGTGGTATTTGTGCTCCTCGAGTGCGATGGAGAATGCCTGGAAGAGATCCAAAACGATGAAGGTACCATTCTTCTTGTTGTTAGTTGATTCCTTGATCAGGTCTTGAACGGCTTGCTTCAGCAACTGGTTGTGGTTTCTGACAATGGCGTTGTAGGCGTCGTTGCATTTGGAACTGTACATGGCGGAAGGGCCGGCGCTGTTTGGTAAGCATCCGGCCGGCTCCATTAGCAACACGCCCACTTTAGGGATCCCAATCTCGTCACGGATTCGCCCAAGGTCTGTCTTCAGCTGCTTTATCACCCTTCTCGTCAACGCCGTTGCGTTCTGCACGTGAATTCCATCAATCGTTACGGAAATTTTCTCTACGTAACGCTTCTTATTTAATTGTTACACGTCAGAAAGACCATATTTTCTGTTAACTTTATTACTATTTAGGTAATTAACGGTCTAAATTAATTTTAATATATTTCATCAATCTATATTAGATTTTGTACTGAGTTACCAAATTTGAAATTATAATTATGAGTAGAAGACCTGGAGGGTGGCGTATAAGTAATCGTTGCCGGAGGCAGCAACGATTGCGACGGAATTGTTGAGGTCTGTGTGATTGTAGAAACGGTGTCGGATCATCTGGCCCAATTGACTGATCTGGTCGCCGAGGATCGGGCCCTTGCTGATCACGCTGACGATGCCGGTGCCGCCGCATGCGAAATTCACACCGGATTTCAGCTGTTCGCTGATGTTCCCTACTCTGATCTGTTGATAAGCGATCGGCGTCCTTATTCCCAGGAAATCAGCTGCAGATATATACAACGTTACGACTCGAGTTATTAGAACTAATTGATTTATAGGAATATGTATTTGATGAAAATAGAGTAATGGGAGAGAGGACCAATGTAATCGGTGAGGACGCGGCCGTCGGAGAAGCGGCCGCTGGGGGCGCCGGGGAAAGTGCGGCCAAAAGGCGGCAGCCAGGAACCATTGTTGGGCTCGAAGTTCCCCGTGTCTACGTAGGAGTCTCCGAAAACGAACAGCTTCACGTGCCCGTTGTGGCGGTGGTGCTCACGCGCGTCCCGCCTTGCCCTCGCCGTCGTTCGATGATCGTCGGCTGCTCCGATCTGTGGACAAGCGAACCAAACGGCGAGAGTAGTGAAGAAGAAGAGGAAGGAAACGGACAGAAATCTTTGCCGTTTCTCCATTAGAGCAACAATTACGAAGTGTTAAGTTGGCTTAGCATAGATCCTGATTCGTACTTATAGAGAAAAGTTATTGACGTACGTGTTAGCTTTCTTTTTGTAACAGTTCCATGTTCTCTCTCGATGGAGCAACTATTTTGCACATAATATATCGCATTCAATTTGCTTACTAAATCAGATCTCTTCTTTTAACGTCAAACGTTTCAACATGTTAATCTGATGAGCGGTTTCTTTATTACGGCATCAATCTAGATTCAAATATATCAAGGTTAATTGACGAAAATGGTCACGTAATCGTAAAATTTTATAAGATGAAAAATCGGTAGCGTAAATAATCACGAAATAACAAAATTGTCATTCGGTTCACTTTCATTCATTTTTTTTGTAAGGATTAGTGTTATAATCTCCTAATGTTAAGTGAAAGTCGTCTTCACTGATTTCTCTGCTCCAATCCCTCGTAGTTGTAGTTGCAGACGGTAGTAATGTAGTTTAAAATGCGATAAACCAAAAAATGAAAAAATGAAAAAATGTTCGGAATTTTTTTTGTCTTTGCACTTCTTTAGTGACGAAGTCAGTAATTAGAGTGATCAGGAGCGGGTGAAGATAACAAATTACCACAACTTCCTACCATTGAACATAAATCTTGGAAGAGACGACTAATAGCTCCTTTTATGGTTTCTCACGATATGAATACATAAATTATAACATTAGATGAAAGTTGAGAGAAGACTTTAGCCCTCATGCAATACACTAAGTTCCACCACTGCACTCCATTGTTGCACTTATACACTGCTTGCTACTGTGAACAACAGGTCAAACTGTAAGCTGATAATGGAGTAACACATGCATGGATGATGGAACCGAGTTGGAGAACTCCCATCTCCTGTTTTATTAATTTCTCATCCCTCCATAAGAATAAGAATTCACACCTCATGGTTACACATAGTAACTCCACTGCCTGTAAATTCAAGAAGAAGAGAACTCTGAAAACCACACCAAAAGGGATCTTACCACTACTAGCTCAGTTCTACAATCAACACTAAGGAAGAGTGCGAGCCACCCTCAGCTTGCACACTTCCTTTCCCGATCGAAACAACGATCAGATCATGATCGTTCCTAGGGGATTATGTGCTATGCTCGTATGTATGTCAAAAGGCCAAGTTAGAGAAAAACAAATTGCACAGTAAGGTAAACGTGAACACAAGCACAAGTTTGAAGTTTCTTTTCACAAGCATATGCTGCTGCTGTCACTTTCTGAACTAGAGAGGCCAAACACCGTTTCCTCAATCAGGCGTTCGAAAATGTCTTCACAAATGTCGACAAGGGCAGTTTCTGAATCACGTCGAAGGTCCATCCAAGAACCATTTTTGGCCATGTCTCTCTTCACAACCTGATCCAGAGTACGAGGTGATGGCAAGGGACGAAGGTGCCAATGCAATCTTTCACACACCTCGTCAATGGTGTGGTTCATGTCGGGGATAGGGCGGGTGGATGCAGGGTTTCCCAAAGACAATCCGGGTGATGAACCGAAATAGAAATCGTATACCTCCAATAGAACCTCGTCGATACAATTGAAGAGAAGCTGCTTGTCATTGCAGAACTGGTTAGGGTAGAACTCGAGCTCGTGACAACTAGATGGGTCGAGAATCTGGTCGGAAGAATCGGACATCAAGTAGAACTCCTCCCAGTTCAAGCCAGAGTCTAGCAGTACATCCTTTATGTACTTGAGCATGGAGTCCTCGTGATCCGTGGTTTTTGAAGGGGCAACGTGATCCCCAGATGAAGATCCTTGTTCCTCAAATTCGATTCTTAGTGGTTGCAATGACAGTTCAACTGAACAGACATGTAGCAAAAAGAGACTTTAGTTTGGAAGCCAATACATAACATAATAAGCAGGGCTGTTTGCACGCCTACAATTTAAGATACTACCTATAAGTTACGATCCTGCTTTCCCTAACAAATCGATGGACGTTAAAATCCAGATCATGATAACATTGCGCACTATCAGTACTTACCGTGTTGGGTTCGGGTAGCCGCCGGGCTACCATCCTCCTCTGAAAAATATGGCTCAAGGACAGACACCGGACTTGGACGGTCTGGCACATCAGTAGCTTCCAAATCATCATGCTTCCGTTTTGATGGAGAATCCAATGGAGAACTTTCCTGTAAAAAGAACAATGACATAAGAATACAACATAGTAGCAGAAAAAGCCAGGAGAGCAGTTTGATGGATCAAGCCCAAATTGCATTACATGCTCCAAGGGCTCAGCATCAGCTTTCTCATCTCTAACTTCAGATGAGTCAACGCCATTTTGGTCATTAATGATGACGGAACAGCTACTTGTTTCAGAAAGATTATTGATGACGTTGCCCTCTTCTGGGGCAATAATAATCTCCGAGGCCTCTTCAATCTCCACATATCCTGCAGAGATTTTTCCCACATTAGTATCTCAGAGGCACAGCCCGACGAGTATTACGTATATAAGAGTAAGACAACAAAATACCCTGAGTCATCATCTCATCTTGCATGGAACCAGCAGATTTCTCCACTTCAGCAACATGAACAAGTTCATTGGAGGAACTTGAAGTTTGGTCCGTAGGAGCCTGTGCTTCAATATCAGATGAAGGTGCATCTGAGCTCAGTGATTTTTTACCTAGATGGCTGATATTGCCTTCCCGTCTACCTAATGAGTCAATGTTGGGCAATCTCATTCGTGCTGTAACGAAACTATGTTCCGAATCTCTTCCAGGACTGCCAAAAGGAGAAGAGTTGTACTCTGGAAATGACAAGATCCTCCCTAGCGGTTTGGAGAATTGTCTGCTTGGGAAGTCTACATCCCCAGTCCCAGTTATCAGCATCTCTGAAAGATGTTTCTTAGCCTCTAAATATATATCAGATACACTCTGTTTAATAGGTTTGCCATCCTCATCTTGCATACTTTGTTCAGGTTCTTTCGACTTCTTGGGACTAGTGGGAGGGAGTCTCGCGACCTTTTCTATAAAGAAGTGCTCTTTACCAGGAGTACTTTTTCCAGTGTTCTCTTTGAACCTTCTTCTATCACCATCTCCTGCGGCCCACGCCTCATTGGTGTATCTCTTAACAGTTGAGACATTCCTTGACTCTTTCGCCATAGCATTTCTCAAGCGCCTTTTCATTTCAGTAAGGGAAAAATGGGAACTTCCCCTTTCATTTGGCAACGTGTCTTTGGCAGTCATTTGAGACTGCCTCAAGGAGCCAGTAGCATCTTTGGTAGGCCCAGGCTTCAATATGACAATCCTATTTGAAGCATGAAATGTATCAATTTCCTCAGAAGAGAACTTTGCAAGGGACTTGCTTCGTCTGAAGAATCTCTTATGCTTTCTGGGTACAGGTTCCTGCTCTTCTTTCATGGTACTACTTCCTAACAATGACTTTGAGTCATCATTTTCTACTTGGGAAATCAATGCTTTCTCCAATTGCTTCATTATCATTGACTTTTGACCCAGTAAGAGTCTTGAAGCCAATTCCTCATCTGAACACAATATGTGAAGAGCATCTGTGAGTTCTTTGGAGCTGGGGATATTCTCCTCTTCAATTAGATGCTTCTGTCTGACAAAAACATTAAGGGCCTCGCTCAATCTCTCTTCAAAATTTATGTTACTCTGTTTCGGATGATGGAATTCACAATCCTCGCCATGCTTTATGCAATTACTACCTTTCTGATGGAGCTGATGGCAGAACTCCTCTATTATTTCACCTACATAAAGACTGTCACTAGATTGCTTCGCTAACTTCTGAGCACAAGGCTGTTCATGTTCCCTAATGTCTGCAGCATTCAGATCTTCAACATGTATTTCACAACTTTTTGAACGACCCCTCTTTATTCTCTTGCTGCTCCTCTTTCGTTGTCGATCCTCCTGTTCTAATTTGGGCTGTATCTGATTGTCATTTATCTCACTCTTCAAAGTTTGCTCATTTAGCAAATCTTCTTCTATGAGTTTCTTGACACTTGGCTTGCGGAATTCAGTATTCAAAACAAGATTGCCTTTACCATCCTGTAGTAACGAACGAACTTAAATATCGAGTAACGTAAAAAAGGGAAAATAGCTTCGTTTAAGTAGAAGACCCACACTTGCAGATGTCTTTTCATCAGAATTCGGTGACAAGTCATGCTTAATAGTATCATATCCATGCCCTATAACAAAAAAAAAAAGGAAAGGGGATATTTTGAGAACCACAGATAAGCATGATATTGATGATGACAAGCATATGGAAAACAGCCATAATTATAGAAATACATTGAAACCGCTAAACCATTACGTGCTATGATTCATGTAATGTGGATCTAGCGTGAGATAGTACATACCAGGAACATGCCTGCTCTCGAATCTCTTATCTGGGAGCAGCTTCTGAGTAACTCGCCCATGGCGGAAATCCAACATGTTAATTAGACCCCACATGCAGCCTGGCTTTGCATTTCCAGCTGGACGTCTTTGAGATTTCTTTGCCATAATGGTTATCTTATGTGTAATCACTATGTTATACTTAATCAACTTGGGACATTCACCACATGTTTACACTCCAAACCTACTACAGGATGAAAATTCGATCATCAATCTAAAAATTGCTACACAAACTGCAAAGAAAGTACACATAGCACATCTACATTAAGCTAAACAGGAACGATCATAATCTGTATGTTCTACTGGCAGGAACAAGGTAAACAATGCAGGTGGTTGAACCAGCAAGCATTACTTGAGTACAGTAGTAAGAACCGCCAGGTGGTGACGTGGTGCAATCAATCAAAAAGCCAGATAAACTACCTGAGTGGGGAGTAGAGATCATGTCATTCAATGGCCTACTCTTCCACAATGCAGATACAGCCTCACAGTTCACCAAAGAGTAAAAGATCACATAACGAAACATCTGAACCCTCTCTCAACATGCATCCTTTCCCCAAAATCCACGGCCATTTCATAACCATGATAAATGCATCTACCCAAACTTCCTACTGATTTCCAACAACAAGATCTGAGGGCCATTGATCTGACTTTCCAGCCACATTATCCCCCAAACCCAATCAAGCATTGTGACACAGGGTCAAGTTGTGACCTTGTGAAATGGATAAATGCATGAAAGGCCGGGATGAAGGGAGTAACCATGATAAATGCATCTACCCAACTTCCTACCGATTTACAACAACAAGATCTACGGGCCATCGATCCTAACTTTCCAGCCACATTATCCCCCAAACCCAATCAAGCATTGTGACTCAGAGCCAAGTTGTTACCTTGTGAACTGGATAAATGCATGAAAGGCCGGGATTAAGGGAGTGAGCAAGCACTTTAAGCAGATTTGCAAAATGCCACTGAAGCCACAACCCCAACAAGACTAGAGAACCCAGTTCCAGTTTGTCTCGTAAGGGGAAAAACCTCAAACGCCTGGCGGAGTATCCCAAGCCAAAAGAAGAAATTAGAAGAGCGGCAAAAAGGATGAAGAAAAGACAAGCAATTCATGAGTAGACTTAATTCTATCTCTTACCTCAAAACAAAAAACGTGAAGATCAAAGAATGCAGGATGGAGGGAATCGAAAGATATAAACTTTCCCACCTGGTGAGGATCGCTAAAACCTAAAACAACAAACCCAGGTAGGAGACAGCTCAAACAAAATAATTTGATCCGAAACTGACCATGCAAGCGACCAGACCAAACAAAAAAAAAAATTCACCAGTCTGCCGTTTTGGGTTTTTTGTTATAATCTACAAACTGAAATTGTCCCTCTCAAACGTTAACGAAAAAGGTTCTCTACCGACGCAAAAAACGGTCGACCAAAAATGGGGTGGGGAAACAGGCAGAGAACGTAATTCCCAGTAAGCCCAGAAGTAAGGGAAGGGAAAAGAAAGAGAACAGGGGAGCTTCCGGTTGCTTGGTGGGGTGGGGGAAAAGTGGGTATCTTTTTTACAACGAAAAAGATGAGAAAATGGAGGCAGAGAGGGCCAAATTTCTTATCTCCAGCACCGGCCCACGAACCCAATTTTCACGCACTTTCTTTAGCCTTCGCCTTGCTTTCTGGCTGGCGGATGAATCAAAGTCGCGGAGAGGGAGAAAAGGAACAGTAGCAGAGTAGGAGAAGCGTATGGGAAGTTTTAGGAATCCAAATGTTCATCATGGTCCCCCGATTAGTAAAGTGGAAGAAGCTTTACAATGAAGGAAAACACGAAAGAAACAACAAACGGCAACAATGGCTACCCCCTCCCACGAGTTGCTTCTCCTCCGAAAGCCAACAACATCCATCATCAAAGTCGCAATCTCTCTCTCCAAATTTCAGTCATTTTCTTTCTCGCTGTAACCACTTTTCAGGGAGAGCAGAGTGAGGGCTGTTATTCCACTTTTTCCATTGTGGGATGAGAGAGAAAAATGGTTTGTTGAGGTTTAATTATCGGCAGCATGATGACTAATAAACTAATGACTTGTAAAACAATGGTCCGCCTGCTAATCCCAAACGGTCAATTACATTAACAAATCACTAAACTTTGAGCTCACGAAAGTTTTGGTTTTTAATAGCAGACTTGTCAGGAGGGCAAACAGTTTGGGTGGCGAAAAAAAAAAAAAAATGGTACCCTAGCTTTAATGTGGTAATTTCACCAATAGCATGAAGAGTGGATTAGTTTATCAGTGGATCGTGTTGTCCTGGACAGTGGCGTAGCCACAATTTGTTATAAGGGGTGCCAAAAAAATTTAAATAAATATATTTTATATGAGAAACTATTAATTTTTGCAATGACTCGCAACTTTTTTCTACTCTAATAAAACTTGTGAATTATATATATTTTTCATCTAAACTATCAAAGACCTTATTGTCAATATATCCTACCGACTAGTGCTTCATAATTTTGTTAATCATTCCAATCCATGGGGGGTTACGGTAAATACTATCTAGTACTCATGGATAGCCGATGAAAGTCACTTGAATGGAAAGGTAGAGTTTAGTGACTTAGCGTTCATATTGGAGATGAAATTTTTTGAATGGAATTGAACAGGGAAACATAGTTAAATACTACCACAATAAGTTCACCTAGTAATATTGTGACAATAAAAATGTGGTTCCAATTTCCATGTACAAGGTTTTATTATAAACATTTCAATATACTATTTTAACTTTGTTCTCCCATTGGCACCCCCTCCTAATAAGTTGTCTCCGCCCCTGCACGTGCGATGGGGCTACTAAGTGTGGGGGGATGATTATTGAGAACCAAGACAGAATGATCCTTCTGGCAAAAGGGGTGCAGTTTGCTGATATTGACGACCCTATGGTAGTTGAGCTCCTCGTTCTCCGGGAGGCTATCCTCTGATGTTTGGAGAATGGGTTTGCAGAGACAAGTTTGGAAGGGGATGCTAAAGTGATCATTGATAAAGTTAGTCAGGCAGATACCCGGGATAATCGAGTAGGGGTCATCCTTGAGGAAGTCGTTACGAGGTATATCGAAAGATGAAACATGATATATGAAGCAAGAGTTGGTCCCTTAGCCAAAGTGACTTAAAAGTATGATCCTAGCACTAGTATATTATTTCCATGTAAAAAGTGGACAAGTACTAGATACAAACACAAGAATTGTTCCTTTTATCCGGATAACATATAGTATTATAGTCCAATAGTGAGTCGGTCGTATTTATGTACTTGTTTTGAGAATAAGTTTGGACTTTAGTAATTACTTTGTTTCCTTTTATAATTTAGTGAATATCTTGTCATTTTCACTAAAAAGTTAAGTGAGCATTTCATCTTTTAATCCCATTAATTTGATTATTTTTTGCAAGAAGTTAGACATATTTGTGTTTGCAAATTTTCATTAAAAAATCATCAATTTTTGTAATAGGGTTCACAACACTTTGATTTATAGTTCAAACATGTTGCACCCTTATAATTAAGCTCGATCAATATATGAATAGTGAAAAGAAGTATAAATGTGTGTATATTCAAAAGAATTGCATTAAATATCTAGAAGACCTACACTTTAAAATGAAATAGCAAAGCAGCCTGTAAACAACCATAAAGCCCAACATCACCCAAAAAAAAAAAAAAAATTGGTCCATTTTCGGGAGGCCACAAGTCCTTGCTGCATCAACAGTAGGGGTGAACAAACACACCCGCAAACCGACCCACCCGTCCAACCCGACCCAACCCACCCGTATTTATCGCTAAAACGAAGGTTTTGGGTTGGGTGAAGGTTTTCTTTTGTACAACCCGCCTCTTTTGGGTTGGGTTTGGATTTTGGATTACACAACCCGTAGAACCCGACCCAACACGTGTTCCAACTATTAGTATGAGTTCGTATCTAAAAAATATTTGTGTCGTATATAGCAATACTTATGAGAAAATTAAGATATTTCGCCATGTTTTTCTATCATGGTCTCCCTAATCTAATGCATTCTTCGACTTAAAGTTTAGACATAAATTGAGTATAGTTATGATTCACGTAATCCTTTTTCTTGTGTACAATTTTAATAGAATAACATATTATGGATGCGTTTGTTTATAACCTTTTTAGCCTATTTCAACAAATATCGTGAAAAAAACTAGACATATGTTGAAGTAAATCACATTTTATTAAAATTCAAACAACATTTTTGAATTTTGATAGCTTTCACCTCGGTTTATTCGTTTGAAATTTTAATTAGTTATAAAATATTTTTATGGTGTATAATAATTATATATTTTTATGTTGGGTTGGGTTTTTACTTAAAAATATCGCCAACCCGACCCAACCCAATTAGAAACAAACCGTAGGGTTTTAATTTTTTTGGGTGGGTTTGGGTTTGATAATTTCCAAACCGTAGTGCATGGGTCGGGTGATTAAAATGGTTAAACCCGAACCACCCGACCCATGTACACCCTTAATCAACAGTCAACAACCCACTCCCATCCAATTGACAATTTTGCCCTTTCCTTGTTCCCCTCCATACTCATTGATCAAGAAACACTCAAATGGGTACTTGAACAAGCTCAAGTAATGCATGAACTTCCAATACACAGGGATGTCATCTTTGGCTATAAAGTAGCTAGAGAAGAGGAAGAAGGAAACCATGAGCCCTGAGATCACCGATGTCCCCATGATGAAGTTTGGGACGAGGGCACTGAAACAAACCATGAATGAGTTCGATGTTGAGATGACCGTCTAGGTTACGAGTGAGAAGTAGAGGAATCTATCGACCTCTCTTCTCAGACAGACTAGCCAGTACACCGAAGTGGCTTACAATAGGGTTGCCATTGCAAAGAAGGGGAGGAAGATGAACGTGTTTGATAAGACATAACAGAAGACTTTACAAGCACAACTCAAAATTTATATCACTATCCATATAAGCAATATGTCTTTTTTTATGCAGTTGCTTCGAAATCAAAAGTCAATAATTTTTGTTTTATTATTTTGAAAATTTATACTTATGAAAACTTTGTGGAATTAAGTTTTTTTTACCTAAATAAAATTGTTCACTAGTCGGAGAAAAAGCATGCTATGATTATTTGCATGTTTATGCAACCAAAAAAACATATTTCTGAAGGTGAGAATTAACTTGATGGGATGTGTATCATGTCGATAGATTGATTTTGTATTCGATCCATTTACATTTAGAGTTGATCGAGCTTAATAAGACTGGACTTACCACGTGTCATAGATCTAGCAACTATGATCAAGTTAGGAGGTATTTAACTTATGTTATCATGTGTAGTAATAATTGGTTGTATCAATTTTTCAAATCTTTTGAATTTTCCCTTCATTGTTCAAAAATAGATTAAAAGGGATTAAGATCTCAATCTTTAATGGTGTTACCAAGTACACAAGTTTTTCACTCACAATTCTTTGTAATGCTTGTTGGTGTTCCATCTATTCGTCTTGAATTCTTCGAATTTTACAATGTGTCAATTCTCTAGGTGAGCACGTAAGCTCCATTAGCAATAATCCTTGTGCAACTACAAAATATTATAGATCATGAAATATTTTGCAGTTTTCTTAGATAATATTTTGAACATCTAATTTATAGAGTTCTAATAATGTTGACGAATTACCTCTATCAGGATTATTAGCAATGTACACCAATATATCATTGTTGCATCAATGACCCGAGATGTTAAAGATTTGAATCCGACTTTTTGGACAATGTTGATTAAAACAACAAAATCAAGCAAAAAAATCAAACACTAGAATATGGTAAGGGCAGAAGAATGCTATTTGATGATAATCGATTATTAGATCGATGAGAAACACCAATAAATTCTTAGTAACTGAATGGAACTGGAACACAATTACATTAAACAAATTAAGAAATTATAAGGATTCTAATAAAATAGTTCTTAGTTCAAGGGACTGCAAAATGAAACATGAAAATTTTAGTGTCTAAATTCGGCTAGCGGAAAAATTAGAATCAAGTAAAATATTCTAAGTGTTCCACACACGGAGAAAAGAAAAATTGGGAATTAAGGGGAAAATAAAACAGGGGCGATCCCTTTTGTAGCTCTGTCTCACATGCCTTCTCTCTGCAACGACGACGACGAGGAGGCCTCCATTTCAGCGACAGAGGAGCGCTGAACATATATATATATTTTGCGGCTGAAAGGATCCGAATTACGCCCGTCCTCTTTCGCCTTCGCCCTTCTCGTCGATTCAGTCATTAGCAGGTAACACGAATTCTCGTTCCCATCACGATGCACATTTGCCTCAACATTTTCCAATTGAATTGGTGGCGGGGAACAGGAACGAACGCTAGTCTGTAGCCACCGGTGGTGGCGGTTGTAGTTTCGTTGTCATTTACTGAGAAATCTGTCGCACATCGCCCGCCATAAGCTTTCATTGTTGTGTTGTGCCATCACTTTACGGTTACCTCACACTCTCATTTCACCTAACGGCGAGCGCGGGGAGAGGGACGGGGAGGGCATGATGATGTCGAATTTCTCCTGTCCGCGTCGCTGGCTTTGGGGTTTTTGCTTCTAATGTGGAATAGCGTTGTTGCATTGTGTGGAAATGACAGAGAGACTTTTTTTGGCAGTCCCCCCTTTGTGTTTGTGTTTCTTGTTTTAAACGGATTTTCTCTAGATCTTTTCTGGGGTTAACTGAATTGTCTAAAATTCTTTTTTGCCCAGAGTTCTGTACTTTGAGGGGTGCAATATGAATTGATGGAGATCCTTTCATGGGTCATGAGTTTGATTCGATAAAACTGGAGAATGGGCGTATCTTGGAGATATTCCGCTTGACATTGTGCCATCAGTGGTGGTAGGGTGTGGAGGAAGAGGCGCGTTTGTTGCTTTTGATTCGTAAGCCATGACAGATGCAGCAGGGTTAATGGAGGCGGCTGGAACTAGGTTTAGTTCCTTGGAGATGATTGGCAGAGGGTCATTTGGAGATGTTTATAAAGCGTAAGTTACGTGCAAATCTTGTGCCTTGTTCTATAATGTGGTGCACATTTTCTACCATGTTCTTTAATTAAGTAGTTGAGTTGTTCTCGTGCATTTTTAGAGCTTGCATCTGCAGATGATTGCCTGGTCATTTTTATTAGCGATCTACAACAGCACACAGAAGTTAATGTAGCTTGTTATTTGTTAAGTGTTTGGAAAGAAGAACTCTTCTGTTTGGGATGATAATTCCATGTCGAGCTTATTGTGAGATGTTTCATAAAAACAAGAGTAGAAACATCAATGATGATGGGATGTCCAGCATCAATGATGATGGGATGTCCAGCATCAATGATGATGGGATGTCCAGCACCGTTGGTTCAGATTTGTGGATTAAGAGTGCAGATATTAAGGTTTTCGTTTTGCAAGTTGCGGCCTTTCTCTGTGAAGAAACTGCTCTCTACCCTGATTATGCTGTCGTATACCAGAATTTGAAACTTGTCCTTATTTACTTCGTGGTAATATATGAGGTTGAATCTGCAATTCCCTTCATTCTTTTCTGTTTCTTCATCTATAATCAGGAAGTGAGTGTAGAGTTAAGTTATTTAAGTTATTTGTATATTTGAAAATTTACTTTTTGTATTCCTCTATCCCTATGTATTTAATTGCTGGTTGTATAGTTTTGAATGTTCTTTTTATATCAGATCTCTTTTTAATGCTCAACATCAGTAGCCATTCTTTATTGGTTGAAATCAATTTGAGCTTATCTTTTTAGTGCTCATAATTTTTATGGAGAAAGAGGCTTCTAGAAAAAAAGGAAAACTTATTGAAGGATTGTCGTTTTCTCAATTCATCCAAATCCATAATGGCAGATCATTGAAATCAATTTCAGCTTATCTTTTTAGTGCGTTCATATTTTTTATGAAGACTAGAAAGAGACTTCCAGACATTGAAGGAAAAATTATTGAAAGAGTATCATGTTTTCAATTCATAACCATAATGGTTAATCTTATGCTTGAGGATCTTTTTATTTTACCTCCTCTTTTGTCCTGTAATTTGATCTTACTTAAGATCTTTATCTTGACACAACTTTGTGATTTTCCAACTTGTAGGTTTGATAAGGAGCTCAACAAAGAAGTAGCCATCAAAGTTATTGATTTGGAAGAATCGTAAGTTACACAAATATGTTCACCAATTCTGCTACTTCTCTTTGCGCACTGTCTGTAGTTTCCTCTTCATTTGGAATTTAACGGCACATAGTTGCCAATGAAAGAAATTCTCCTTGGTTATCTGCTTTCTTAATTTTGAAACAAATGAATTCTTGATGCTGAAAAGACTTACATAAATCCTATGACGTTAGCCATATTTTCTAGCCATAGAAGGTTTTACAAGTGCATGCTGACTAATCAGCAAATTTTATTACCGTCATTTCTGTTTCCCTACCGAAATTAGTTTTGGTAGATTAAATGGGGTAACAAGTAAATGAAACATAAATTATTTTTAGGGAAAGTTTGGAATCCGTGATGGTTTGCTTGTCCATACTAGTTTTCTGTCACTGACAAATGCTTATGTGAACCTCTTTTTTCTAATATTTCTAAGCTGTTTTCTTTATATTTAATCTATTGCAGCGAAGATGACATTGAGGACATTCAGAAGGTAGTTGAATTTCTCTTTGTTTTTCTTTTAGTTAGTGTCATGCCTGTTATACTAGTCGAGCCTTCTACTTCGTTATATGCAGTCAAATAAGTGGTTGACTTGTCGTAATATCAAAATTTGACAGGAAATTGCTGTTTTGTCACAATGCCGGTGTCCATATATCACAGAGTATTACGGTTCCTATCTTCAGCAGACTAAATTATGGATAATTATGGAATACATGGCTGGTGGCTCTGTTGCAGACCTTGTAGGTTACTCTAATCACTTACTTCTGTTGTTACCTTGACTATAACATTACATCTTCTATCCAGGATTGCAGAATCTATCTCTGTCTGATTACTTTCCAGTACTTATAAAGATTACACTTTTACAGCTTCAATCGGGTCCTCCACTAGATGAAACTTCAATTGCTTGTATTTTGCGTGATTTGCTTCATGCTGTTGAATATTTGCACAATGAAGGGAAGATTCACAGGGATATTAAAGGTTCATTCCCTTTTCCCTTTCATTAATCGACTGCTGCAACTTGAATGTGTGGTTTAGAGCAAGAGTGTCAAAATCACTAGAATTAGTATGATTCTCACCCAAACCCGGATCTCAAAGCAAGAGTGTTAGCATCACTAGATTGGGTTTTAGACATCAAATTTTGGTTACTTCTCAGCAAACTTTTGGGACAATAAATATTTTCTGTCTCTACTAGATTGAGTTTAAGAAATCTTCTTGAGGTTCTATTCCCTTTTTTGGCAGCACTGTCCTGCTAATTTATACTGGTTCGTTCTCTTTTTCCCTTAATTTTTCGTTTTCATGACAACTTATCTGAATTTGAACAGCGGCGAACATTTTGTTGAGCGAGAATGGTGATGTCAAGGTATATCATCCTTTGCTTATGTAGCACGGCAAGATCATTAAATTCAAAACATATCTTTAGATTGCTATAATATGCATTGCCATATGCATATATTTCAGTATTTAATGCCTACTTTTGTGACCATGTGACAGGTTGCTGATTTTGGTGTTTCTGCACAACTTACAAGAACAATCTCCCGAAGAAAGGTGCTCCATTTTACACTTTAAGTATTCAAGAGTTTATTCATAGTAATAAGGATTGTGATACTTACGTGTTTGAACTTCGGGTGTCCTCTTACTACCCATTTTATGAAATTTTCACTGCAACCTTATTCATTTACTTATTTCTGTAGTTAATAATTTTTATTAGTCCGTGAACTGATTGCTCGATATTTGCAGACTTTTGTTGGCACCCCCTTCTGGATGGCTCCAGAGGTTATTCAGAATTCAGAAGGTTACAACGAAAAGGTACTAAATAGCAGTTTAAGATTCTTGGGAGAAAAAGAATTTGGAGAAATGGGTTCATCTAATAATTGTGAGAGATTATTGAAAAGATCTACCTTAGAGTTGAACTTTGGATCATTCGTTCAGTTAGAGAGAGAGAGAGAGAGAGAGAGAGAGAACAAGAAAAGCAAAAAGCAGGGAGGAGATAAACAAATAGTTTCAGATATGCCTTCTTCATATTATTATTTTATTTCATATGAAAGGTATCTTCCTGAACCATCGACTTTCTGCAGGCTGATATCTGGTCTCTCGGGATAACTGCTATTGAGATGGCGAAGGGGGAACCTCCTCTTGCTGATCTGCACCCAATGAGGGTCCTTTTTATCATACCGCGAGAAAATCCACCACAGGTTATTTATTTTGCCCATCTAGTATTCCCGCAGTTCTTCTGTTACTGTAATTGTAATAATGAACATGAGCAATTACTTGGTACAGCTGGATGAACATTTTTCTCGTCCTATGAAAGAGCTTGTTTCTATGTGCCTAAAGAAAGCTCCTGCTGAGGCAAGTATTTGATTTCAGTTCTATTAAGTTCTTTTCGGTTTCCCTGCAGTGGTTGTAATTGTTTGTAATGGAACGTTTCTAGATTAATTTTAACCGACTCTCTAGATTTTTTTCCCGCCGTGACGATATACATTGTTTTTATTTCAGAGGCCAAGTGCTAAGGAACTCTTAAAGCACAGATTTGTTAGAAATGTGAGAAAGAGCCCAAGGCTTGTTGAGAGAATAAGGTGTGATGTATTTCCTGCATGTCATTGTATTGGTCATCAGCACGTGTTTTCTAGGCCCTTATTTTTTATTTAATTGTTTTTGCTGTCTCATTTTAGCGTCTCGGTCAAGGAGTGTCAAGGCACAGAACTAAAACATTGTGGCCTGTGTTTCGTCCCGTATCGCTGTATGATTTAGGTTTCTCCATTCACATTCTAACTTAAAGGATCCTTTAGTAACAAATATGCTTCAAGGTCAACATTTACGCGCAAGAAGCTTATCCGGCCTAATGTTAATAAAGTTTATGTCATTTGGCATGCCCAAGCATGAATTATAAACTATGGGGTGTTGGGGTAGCAGCTTAACCCTATAAAAGTTTGACATGTCAGGTGGGACAAAGAAATGGAAACAAGATTTTTGGGTCATGCAGCATTATTCTACAACATACGCATGGCATTGATGCTACTCTTGTAATCTTGATAGGGAGCGTCCAAAGCATCCAATTAAAGATGGGGACAGCCCAAGAAATGGTACCCAAGCAAGAGGCGAAGCATCTGATACTGTCAAAGTGACTAGGGATGTAAGGGCAGATGGAACTGTTCAAGCCAGGTCGGTTTAGTCTATATGTTCCCATCTGAATGATTAAGTTTTGTTGTTTTCAGTGCATGATACTCCTAATATTGCAGTGGTTCAAGAAAACCCCTGAAAAATGCCGGGTGGGATTTCAGCATTGGTGGATCACAGAGTACGGGAACTGTTAGGAGTGCTTTAAGACCACCTCAGGTTAAAGAAAAGAAAGTTGATGCGTCATTTGATAAGGTCAGCCAAAGAGGGACTTTGGAGCATGGTAACCACTTGCTATCTTCGTCTGGGAATGCACTTCAGGAATCAACTCAACCTTCACGCATAAAGGATTCCCGGGAGCCATATTATACTGATGAACAACCAGATGATGATGTAAGTTTTTCATTTCTGCATCTTCGAAATATTCTATGAGATGAAATTTAGACTACAAAACCAGGCTATGTTAAATTGGTGTCATCTGCAGCTATATCATTTCGAAACTATCCTTTACTAATAAACAACTTAATTGCATTCTATTATATCCTCTTATATATTTGTTCAACTCATACATTTTGCACCTCATTTTCCCGGACAATAGATTCTGCGTTTATCTTTTCATGACTACAACAGGGTTTGATGAAAATACACCGCGAAAGGTTTAAAAGACTGATATGCTGTTTCAATCCAAAAAGAAACAAACTAGGGGTGGGAAAACGGTTGCGGTTTTGCGGTTAAACCGCAACCGCACCGAATAAGAGCGGTTTGTGGTTAACCGCAAACCGTTTAAAAGGGTCTTTATTCGGTAACAGTTAGTGAAATTGGCTCTTTTGCGGTTTGTGGACTAACCGCACACCGCACCGAATAAGTAACTCCACCGAATAACTAACCGCGTAAGAGTATACCCAACCCAAGCCCAACCCATCCAACAACCCAAAATGAATTTTCCAAGTGCATTTTCCGTATTAGAACTTAATGTGGATGGTTTCTTTTGGATGTTTAGAACTTAATTCTGTTTCTGACTTTTTAAGGTGCATTTTCCTTGTTTTATTGTTAATTTATCAAGTGCATGTTGCTGGATTTTACAAGTTAATTCGGTTTTTGTTGCGGTTTTATTTCATTTCGCGGTTTTTTACACCGTTTAACTCTTAATCGCGGTGTGCGGTTTAAAGTGCAGTTAACCGCTAACCGTGATTTCGGTTAGTGGTTAACCGCAAACCGTTTGCATTGCGGTAACGGTGGGTGGTTTTCCCCTTGTGCGGTGGCGGTTAACCGCGCTTATTCGGTGCAGTTAACCGCAACCGCACCGTTTCCCACCCCTAAAACAAACTATGCTATTAACTTTATTGCTCCACTTTAAGCAGTCCTTCTAAATATTTGTTTACTGTCACTTATGTTTCTGTTTCTCCAAAACTGGTTACTTCTGAAGTTCTCTATCTTGAATACCCTGTACAGTTTTATTTTGCTAAAGAAGCTATTTACAATTCAATCCCAGGATGACTTGGCTGTGAGTGGTTCTGGAACTGTAGTTATACGAACTCCTAAAGGATCTCAGTCACCATCTTCTTTTCAAGATCAGAGTACTCTGGTATGACATCTATTCAATATTAGAGTAACGATGAAACTGTGGAACTGTTCATTTTAAACACCTGGCTGCGACTATGTTAACATGTTTGTTATTTGTGCAGTCTAGCACCACATTAGCTTCATTTGATGATGCATCTACTAGTGGAACTGTTGTGTTCCGTGGCCAACATGATGATTCTGATTCTCCCCGGACCCCTAGATCCCGATTGGGGATACAAGAGAGAAGCTCAAGTGCTTCTCAGGAAGACAGTGCTTCAAATTTGGCTGAGGTTTCATCTCTCTTTATGCTTTTATCCAATGATGCCATGTTTCCATGGCTACTGAATCACAATAATCACCAAGACTGTCAAGCTTAACAAGATTGTGTTAAAAAGTTTTAGTGTATAATATGCAGGCAAAAGCTGCATTGCAAGGAGGAGCAAGGAAAGGGAATGCTAGAGAAAGGTCCGGTTTCAGCAAGGCCAACAATGATGGCCATGAAAGTAGGAGAAAACAGCAAATAACAAATAGCTCTGATTCTGCCAGGTATATGCAACATTCTAACAACGCTTTTCTCCCAAAACGAGTAGGTTTTCTTTCTAACATACATCACTTTTTCCTGTGAAGTTCTCAAGACTACCTCGATGCACAAAAAGCATTCGCAAAATCACGCCAGTCAAGTATTGATGAAGAAAGTGCGAGAGTAATCTCATCATCAGCGCCTCTATCAGTTTTACTTGTCCCTTCTTTGAAAGAGGTAATGACTCCTTTGACTTCCATGCTTTCTTGCTATTGGGTTCTTCCGGTTTTACTGTCTGTATTGGACCTGTTTTCAAATTTCAAGAATAACAAATTTGCCATTGAGAGGGAACTGCAGATTACCTTGTGGATCCCTGTTCTGGAAAAAAGCTTGGCTGTATGTCCCCAGCAGAATGAAAACATAAGTATGAAAAAAGAACGATAGAGAAAATGGCTCAGAAGCGGCTTTCAATGGGATCTAGATTTTTTTCCAACCTTTTTGATCAAGGGTTGGATATGAGATGCTCCCTTCATCACTAAGGTTTGAAAGAATCTAGATCCCATTGAAAGTAATTGAGATGCAGCAGTTATTGTAAAAGGAAGATATGAGATGCTGCAGTGAATTATTTGATACTACAAAATTTGGTACTTCTTAAATGGACATGTTTCTCCCCAAAAATTGTTGGTGTAAGAAGCTTAGTAAGGTTCGTTGGGTGGTGGAGTGTGAGAAAACCTGATTGTAATTGGAGGTGAATGTCTAGATGGATTGAGAAGTTAAAAGGTTTCACGCACCAGAGGTTTTTGAACTGAATTTACTGCTCGTGCCAGAACTGAGTTGTCCACTTTTCAATTCCGAGTGTTTAGCACGTCATTTATCCTTATTTCTTGTACCTGACACTTGTACTGTAGGCAGCTGCAAATGGTTTAGAAGGATCATCAGTCCATGCTGCTATAAACTCCCTTGCGAATATGGAGCGCATAAAGCCAGGGTCTTCAGAAATCATCGTCAGAAGTTTACTTCAGAGATTGGCGAGGTTTGTAATGTTACCCCTTTCCTTGTGGACGGCTAGTTAGTTTCCCCCATTCATACTGAACTCTTGTCACTGGATATGCAGCTCAAAGGAATCTTCTATGAAGGATCTTCAGGAACTGGCGGCTGCTTTGTTGTCCAAGGGCAAGACCACCGATGCTGAAGAAGCTCAAAATGCAAAGAGACAACAGCCCAAAGATTTCAACTCAAATGCCAATTTAAGCCCTCTTGCGAGGTTTCTCCTCTCAAGGTACTACTTCTAGTCCTTAGTCCTCCCCTCAAAGTAATTAAAAGTTAAAAAAGTGTTTTCATACCTATATCATAGTTAGTTGAAACTCGTCTAATACTCATATGGTACTCGCATAGTATGATGTCATAACTTACACGTACGTGTTTTAATAACCGTTCTCTCCCGCCAGTGTGAGCTGATCCCTGTTAAATGATGTGCAGATGGCAAGGTCGGGAGGTGTAAATCTGTAACGAATGGAGAAAAAAGGGACAGGACAGGAGGGAAAACTCAATTCTGCTTCGGAGAGAGCCTTGAAATAGAGAAAGGCGCATGCTGCTCTTTGATTATTAGTTTGTTCATTTGTTGTTGTAGCTTTTTTGTCAAGCAACCTACCTACCTCTGTCTAGCCATTCTTTGTTCTGGATTTCCCATGTACATAGACATATCATTATTACTACTATAACTATACATATACCATTGTATTGGGGGGAAAGGAAAATTCGTTGTTCATTCGTTGATTGTTAAGCTCAGTTTTTTCTAGGCTCCTTTGTTTGGGACTTAATAAGATTGTCGAGCTGCTAACCTTGTTGTGCAACGTAAGTATTCTGTAATTTTACACGCAATAGAAGTTATTTGTAGAAACTTCAATTGTTCGACTCGGATCTGACATGTGTATAGAAAGAACAGATTACAATCTCTGATATAAAATTGAATGCACCATTTGTACACTACGGATTTTGGATGCACAAGAACTCGTGTTTGTTGTATACTTCCAGTGAATACATACACTCAAATGTGCCTAATGAATTAAGTATCAAGTTTCCATCTACATAGCTGTTCCTCGCCTTTCTTCCGCATTCCATTCTTGGAAACCTGTACTACCTTTTCTTGGGAGGCTGCCTTGAGGTCGGAGTCGATTTATCGTAACAGTATTAAGTTCCTAAAAAGGCAACGCAAATCACAGGATAAAGCTGCGAAGAGGATCACCAAGGTATATTGATAACGATGTAATTGCACATATTTGTGCCCCTAGTTCTTATCCGTTTGAGGGGCATAGTCGTGTACTTTTGGCCTATTTTACGCTGGGTTGTGCTATTTTGTCATGTTTCAGGTCCCAGGTGTCAAAGGGAAGGCTAAGCGCGAGTTTCGGGGCATTCGGATGTCATTTCGTCAAGCTGGAGCCAAAACACGGGCACACCTAAATCATTACACGGCCGTGTTCTGGTGGCCGTGCTTTTTATGACGAGAGCTAATTGATTTGGCAAATTCAGCTGCAAACACGGGCTGAAAGCACGGCCGTGTTCAAGCAAAGCACGGCCGTGCCCACCGCGAAACACGGCCGTGTTTCTCCCAATACATGGCCGTGTAATTAACACTAGCCAAAGCACGGGCGGGCTGAGGCATTACACGGCCGTGCCCTCGACCGTGCTTTGGCCACTGATGCCCTTTTAAGCAGATTTTCAGCCAAACAGAAGGGGATTCGAGTTTTGGAGAGAGAGAACGATTCCTAGAGAGAGAAAGCGACGAACAAGAGTCTCCAAGTGCCCTAGATTGATCTTCAACACCATTGGAGGCCAGCTTGAGCTTGGAGAAGTGCCGATCAACGTCCAGGAGCAGGAATCCATCCTTCACAGTATGAATTCCGCGTCTGATTATGCTTTTGCTTCTTTCTCCATGGAGTAGTTCTCTCATTCATCTGGGTATGGAGAACCATAGATTTGTATGTTAGGTTTGATTGTATGAACCCAAGTACTGATTCTATGATTGATTATATTCGATTGAGGTTTGAATGATTGAATGACTTGAATCCTGATCAAATTCCTGTTGTTTCTGCTTTAACCTAGAATGAGAATATCTGCCTAGGTTGATAGAGCATCCTTGATTGAAGGTAGGGAGTTGGTGACTTTAGTCGAGGAGCCAACTCACTATTCTGTACCGGATTTACTCCGGTAGTGGAGGTTTTGTTCTTATGGCCTCAATCTGTCTACTCCGGTGGAGGTTAGTCGCCCGCTAGAGAGTCAGATTGAGAGGGTCTGAAGACCTTTAGTCGAGACTTCAGGCTGTTTAAGAACCTTCCGCAGTATAACTTTTATAGAAACTGAACTTGGTAATTACAATCCGGCTTAACTGCAGTCTAGGGGGAACCATATCCGGGTGACCTCTCTTAACCTGAATACAACAGTTTACTTGCTTTGTTAGTTTGATAGTTTAGACTTGCATTCCAGTTTCATTGCTAGATAACAAGAATTCACTGAGTAATCATCAAATCTAGGGCCCGGGTTGATAATTAAACCCAAACCCGCTATACTACGCTTTAGGAAGCGGTTTCACTTGGTCAATTCCTGGAGTGACAATAGAAGTGAGTCATATATATATAGTTAGATGCTGGGAAGGTAGGAGGCAGAAACATAATTAACCTGCGTAGCTGACCGCAATAGCACAAAGGAGAGCCTTTTGAACATTCAGGATTATCAAAACAACTGCAGTTGCTGCAACAATATAACAGAGAATAGCAGAACGATAATGTTGCCGAGAAAAATGATTCATTCACTCTTTGTCAGGAACATTTCCCAGAACCAGATAGAAGAAAACAAAGATAAGAAACGTAGAAGAGGCAAATTCGAGCTGGGAAAAAGGGGGGTGAAAAAGAAATCCAGTTTTGTATATCGCAGCATCCAAATACAGTTTTAGGCAGATAAGTGATAACACAAGCAATGAGAAGTAATGTGTCTTGTCAATGTACAAAGTATACAGCTGAGTCTGTCCTCTTTAACTTTATTGGTTCAGTTTCTTGAAGAACACTGCTTTCAGATTACTGAAGCCGATTTCCACATTCTAAGAAGAACTAACAACAATATAAACTGAATTGTCCTATCCTTTCTATGATGTTAAGAAACTGGTGTAAGCCAAGGAAATGTTTTGTTCATGAAACTAAAAGTGGATATGCTCCAGTAGCCAAGTGGTATACAACACTGATTCAGCAAAGAAAACGACACATAACATCACTTATATATATACAACAAAAATGTCACAGGAGGACTGATTGCAGAAGATAAACTCGACAATGAATATTGGCAGTGGCACTCACCACATTGTGCAGCGCGAACCAAGACTTGTCGAAGTACAGGGTACCTATCCCATTCCCATCTTTCATTAGAAAACTTAAACATGTCCCAAACAGCCAAACACGAAATCAATCCGATGAGAGCCAGTGGCATTTGATACCTAGATCACAAAATCACAGAACATGCAAAGAAAGTTCAGTTCTTGACCAGACAATGTACAAGAATTCTTAACACATTAGATGAATCATCTACCCATTACCCACTGGTAAGAAATCCATTAATCAACGACATAAAAGCAACCAAAATCTAGTCTCTCATCTTAGCTGCAGCCTGCAGGTAGATCCTATAGCTCTCCCCATACTTGCCCACAAAATGGAGCAACCAATGGACTACGGGTTCAAAGTTTAATGTATCTTAAGCTATGGACAAATCCCGTGACCCTTCCTTCCTTCCCTTGCAACCATGGTTTCTAATTCTCATGTTTATTGAAGAAGCAAACACAGTAACCAACATGGTAGATAGTGCCATAGCGGGAAGGGAGAACTTACAGAGAACAGGCGAAGAAGACAATGAAGAGAGTTGCGTAATTCCTGGCATAACGCTTTACATTCTCCGTAACCCGGATCCTGGCCTGATGCGATCCGGATGGAAACGAGTAGGACCCGCAATCCCCGATGAAGGCCCCGGTCCAGGAAGGAGTCGGAGCGGAGAAATCAGCGGCGGTGAGCTTCGAGAAAGGGTTGGTTGAGAAGACGGAGAGAAGGACGGAGATGGCGGGAAACAAGGAATCGAAAAAGAATCCACTGGTTAGCGATGCGTGGTCGAAATCGTTGGCTGCTGTAGCGCTGACGGTGGTGGCGGCCGTGGAGGAGGAGTGTTGGTCGATGAGTTCGAGGTAGCCGGAATCCCGGAGCCAGGACTCGAATGCTTCGTCGGGAACGCTTACGGACAAAGGATTCGCCGCGAAAGCCATTTCCCCCTTTTGCTTGCGATTCTCTTACCGGCGAGCAAAGATTAGGTCAAAGTGCGCACCCGCCATTTTTGCTCTATTGATATCCGCCAAAACGAAGCCGTAGAAGAAAACGACTGGGGAGAGAAATAAAACGAGAGAAGTTAGCAGCAGATTAAGACCAGTACCCGATGTTTAAGAGTCATTTCATCAAACACCTTTCGTTCAATCTGAACAGGGCTCTCATTCGCCGCCCTTCTCCTCTCTCCCTGCTCTCACCAAGCCCCGATTACCCCTTCTCTAGACGGTCATCCTCGCCTCCAACATTTTCTGTTCTTCTTCGCGTACGACATTCTCATCTGCTTCGACAGCAAGCCCGACCACTTCAACCGACTGGAATTACCAGAGCTATGTTTCCGTTCGGATTCGATGCCCGCGGCATGGTTACCTAAGTACCATTTGACACTTAGACTCCTAATTGGGGTCGTTTTCTTGCTCTCCTTCTTCCTGCTATAATATGAGCTATTGTTATCGAAATCAGGAATCGTTTTCAGATGCCCTGCTATGTTTTGGAGCAAGCTCAAGCAGCGTGGATGGTGATGGTGACAATGAAGAGGAAGGAGAAGGAGATGGTGACAGTTGCTTGATATGTATCTGTTTTTTGCCCCACTACAGTATATTCATGCGACTAATATGATCCTCAATCCTGGTCTTGCTTTTGGAACTGGAGAGCATTCTAATACAAAGTTGTGTCTATATTTCTCAAAAGTTTGATAACAGGAGGAGAATGTTTCTTGGACTATGGAACTGGTTCTGGGATATTTGCAATTGCAGCACTTAAGGTATAATTCATACCAATATTTCAGCTAAGTAATGCTATTATTTCGCTATCAGTCTATCGTTAGCTCACTATATGTGCTTGTAGTTTGGTGCAGCTACGTCATTTGGAATCAATGTCGATGAGCAAGCAATCAAATCAGCGCGCCGCAATGCTGTTCTGAACAACATAGAACCTGAGAAACTGAAACATGTGATGTTGTTGTCGCTAACGTACTTCTTAATCCTCTCCTGGAACTTGCAGATGAGATTGTCTCTTCTGCCAAACCTGGAGCCGTTGTTGGGTTATATGGGATTCTGTCTGAGGCTCTGAGCAGGTATGCCTGAAACGCATGATTTTTCATTAGCAGTCAGTATCTAACTTGCCGTTGCATGCCATGCATTTGAAAGAGTGACTTTCACCTTTCTTTACACAGTGGTTGCCTCTTCAATCTTCCAATTACCATTTTCTTGCTCAAATTCTGGCAATGCATAACTTGGAAAGAACTCTTCTTCCTGTCAGGGACTCGGAGAATTAGTTGTGACAAACTGTTTGTCCAAGTAACGAAACTTCTTTTTGAGAGGTCCAATGAGGGATCTTACATCATTCCTTTCTTGCACTTTAAACGAAAAACTAACTCTTTTGGGTTTGAAGTTTGCCCTAAACCTGACAAATACCTTATCCTGTATCAATTGTCAATATTTGGGGGTTTATCAAACGTCAAACACACTATCTGGTACAATATAAAGAACCAATATTTTGTTCCTCAGATGGCTCTTTTATCTAACTTGATTATTGCTCAGATTTCTACGGTTTATGTGCTTGCTCTGATAAAGTTGTTCTTTTTCGGCCTTCTCCCTTTTACCCCTTTCCCCTCTTTTTTGCAGTTGCAGGTGCCACTTATTATCGACAAGCACTACCAGTTTTGGGAAGATCAGTCGCGCGCGGTTGTAGAAATGGATGGCTGGGCTTGTGTGAGTGGAAGAAAGAGAGCTCTGTCAAACCTACGAGAAGGTGAGAGGATCCCTTTCTAATCACTGTGGAAACAATACTATAGGTCAGGCACAAAGCTTAAAGCTTTCTCCCTTAATCATCTGTACAATGCGTTTACTCTTTTACACAATATAAGTTGGAATTTCCAGATAAATTAATATTGTTAATTACACACATGGAATGGAATTAAGAATAGAAATACACAGAAATTAGTCAGGTAATTAGTTAATTAATTACACTGTACATCAACAGGAAAGATAAAAACAAGATTATGCAGTAGGTTTCTGTAATTATGCCCCCTTTTAACGACACAGTAACTACACCAAACAGCCAAACACACAGCAGCACGACAATGATGTGGCCGCTCGTCTCTCCATGTAAAATGAACTTGTTTGGTTTCTTCTAGTTGGTATTTCTGGTTTGGGGTTATTGACATTAGAATATAACAATGACTAAGCTCTCTGTGACCAAGGAGCTTGCTTGATCGATTTAATATATAAGATGATGATCAATTATGTGATTGATAATTAATCAATCAATTAATTATTTGATATATTACTGTTCTATGTTTTAAAAGGCGGGAACCATGGCTGGCCTTGTTGTTGTTGCCGCCGGTGGTGGCGGTGGTGGAGCTTCCCCAGTAACGTTGTTTGCTGCTGCGGCCGCTTCTGCTTCCTCATCTTCCGACACCCACATGAAATGTGCGTAGGATCCTAACACCATACTGCCCCAAAACACAACACCAGAAACAAATCAGGAACACCATATCCAAGAACCTCAGGGTTGGATCGCGGCGGAGCGATTCACCATCGGCCATATTCCTCCGCTCAACTCTCAAAATCATAGTTGAATCTCAACGTACCAATCGTTAGGGGAGGCAGAAGCAGCCTGATGGAAGTAAGTAAAAGCTCTTTGTTGATCTTTGTAATTCTCCCATATCAGCCTGGCGTACAGAGACAACACCTCCCCGTCCCCTGGACTCTCCAGCAACGCTCTCCCGTAGTATTCCTCCGCTCGTTTTACGTCCCCTTCGACCTTAGTACGTAAAGTTTACGCGATGGTTACAGAATGTACGTACGATGCATAAATCTTAGTACGTAAAATTTACGTGTTAAGATCTATGTATTTTGAACGCGTTACGGTAAGTCTTACGTAATGGATGATGGTTACGTATTTGTTTACCTCGTATAGAAATTTGCCGTAATTGCGCAAGAGGAGGGCATCGTGAGGATTGGATCGAATGATCTGCTCGTAATACTCAGCCATCCTTCTCTTATTATCATTGTCACCGCCGTTCCCTTCTCCCCTTCCTCCGAACCCGCCGCCGTTGTTGTTCCCGCCATTGCAATTCCCGCCGTCCAACCTCTTCCCTGCCTCGCCGGATTCCTCCACCGGGATCCCGACCTCCGACGCCCACGACCCGGCGGCGGCGATCCCCACCCCGTACACGTCCTTCCTCATGAACTTCCGCCCGGATCCGGCCGCCGCGATCGCCTCCTCCTCCACGGCGGAGAGGGAGCACCGGGATGCGGACTGCGGGAGTTTCTTATTGTTCATTCCTCCGCCGCCGACAGCGGAGGAGAAGTCGCTGAAGGATCGGGCCATGTCGCTCTCTGACATGGACCTGGTGATGGTGGCGCCGCCGCGCCGCGGGCTGCTGGCGATCTCGAGGTGGAGCGATTTCTTGTTGTGGGCGTTTGGGTCCCAGGCGAACATTCCGGTGAGCGAGTCATTGCGGGGGAGGGAGACCTTGGGGGAAACTGCCGGCGAACCGGCCGGGCAGACCGGCGGGTGGACCTTGTTCGAGCTCGTCCTCAACAGAACGGCTTTCATGGCTAATTGATCTACGAGAGATTAAAAGAAGATGAAACAAAAGAAAGTTTCGGAACCTGAAATTTTTTGGGTTTCCGATTTCTGTATATAGACGGAGAAGGAAGAATTTGGGCCGTCGGATTGGCCTACGGGAGGGACGGGAGATGGACACGTGTAGCGGATCCCACGAGATGCCTGTGCAAGAAAAAAGGCGGGAAAGGGGCGCGGGATAGTCGGGGGAGATTGTTTCATTATTTCTGGGGAATGCTATGTTTACACAGTCCGTTGAAGGACATAATTTTTGTATGACGTGGCATGGAAGAAAATGGTTTTTTTTTTAATATAAAAGAAACCTGTGGATGCTATTAATTCATGATAAATCTAGATATTCGACCGTAGCTTATCAACCAGAAAAATAGAGGAGATATCTCTACAAATTTCTTGGTAGTTTGATGCTTTTGAGTTATGGATGAAAAAATTGAACCGAAGAATTCATTCATAGTTCACAATTCCTCCTTAATTTTCTTTGTGAGGAACGTGAATGAAATCTCAAGTACGATAAGATAAGTGATACGACCGATATATTGTGAATGGTATATTTTATTAGTCTTCAAATAGTTTGGATTGAAAGACAATAGATATTATGTCTTTCTCCTTATTATTATATTACAACAAGACATTACATTATTATTGCATGGAAGTGACCAACCAAGGCCAACGATCAGAAGTATTTGCCGGCGAGTTGGAGGAGATATTCTGACAGGAGACCAGGTTGGGAGAACATGACCATGTGGTCGGAGCCAGGAATGACGATGTACTCATTTGGAGGGTTGTTCTTGATCTGCCACATCTGGAATGTCCCATCTCGCTCTTTGTCGCACACCACGAACGCCCGTGCGACGGTGCCGTACTTCTCCTTGGTCACCACCGTGTCCTTTGCAGCTTGCTCTGGCTCCCATATCGGACTTGGCCTCACCAGCGTTATTCCCAGCTCCAGATCCTGCATTCATTCATGCAAAAATGCGTAAAGGAGAGCGCGCATAGGGGAAAATGTTCGTTACAAATACGAATTCGAATTTCTCATAGCTATCGTGATTATAATTAGTTTTCGTATTTTCTAATTATAAGTGAATAATTTGAAAGCTTTGGTCGGAAATGTTTTCATCAATCCAAAATGAAAATTAGACGCTCAAATAACAAATATGGATCAAATTAAATATCGTCGACCTAGTAGTCTCGAGCATGAGATTTCAGTAAGAATTGGGTCATTATGGTGTATGAGTATTGTTTTGGAGTCACCAAAACAGTGTCATTGTTTTATTAATAGCTTATTTTTCACTTATATTAAAAGGTATCTGTTTTTTAACGATTTTATAGTAGTCAACAAATAAATAAAATACCAATCACTTACTACGCTGCTGGTTCATACTCCGATTTGGTTCTAACAACAAATTAGGATCCATTCATGTGTTGAAAGTCACCAAAATATACAGTGGGAATGAATGAATTACCTCGCGGGGAGAACAGCGGTAGGTCTTCGTCTCCATGTACTTGGGGCCAAGCAACACCGCTGTCGGAGGCTTACCGATGCCGTTCCCAAATATGACTTGAGAATCCATGAAGTCCGCCCCTGACGACATTTCTTCGTACTGCACCAAACGTGCGTAATTAATTAACATGCACGTTGGACGGTGAGGGAAGGTAGCTAACTTAAAATTTGATAATTATTATTATTAGTTCCATTCCATATACCTTCTCGGCCACGAGTGCGTAGTCGAAATCGGGACCCAGCATGGTGGCGCCAACGAACACAGCAACGGCGATCTTCTCAGGGAACCTCTCCATGGCAATACCCAAGCTGAAACCGTTCATGCTGTGACCAACCAGCACCACCTTCTCGTCGTCGGCCGGCTGGAGACAAGCCAGGAAGTCGAGCAAAGGCTCGGAGTAGTCGACCAGGTCGCGGACCTGGTCGACCTGCCTTGGGTTTATGCCGCAGGCGGCGAGGTCGAGGGCGGTGACCTTGTGGCCGGCTTGTTTGAGCTCGGCGATCACCTTGTACCAGCACCACGCTCCGTGGCACGCGCCGTGGACCAGCACGAAATGCCTCATCTTTCTTTCTGAATTTTTTTGTTTTCGTTCACGGTGTAGGTTGATTGAAGCAAAAGATATGATAAGTCGTAGTTTATATAGAGATGATATTCCTTGGGTCGGGTCGAAACTTAGTACATTGGAGTGTGCGAGAGAATATCTGAGTGGTGGAGGCGTTATTTCGATATGTGACATCCACTAGTGTGCACATACAAAGCAAATGTGTAACTCAATGTTCAAGGGTTTTCCTTCTTCACCTAGGTTTGTCTTTTGCATTATTAAACAACCCATGAAAACCAAATGAAATGGTCCTAAGATGGTGAATAGAGAGATTTCATTTCAGCCTAAAATGACATTGTTGGACCGCTACGGGTAAAGTCAGACAGCCTTATATTATATGTGGCATATATCTTCTAGTGATTTTTAGGGGATTATCCTTCTTTCATTTGCATTATTGAATATCCTACAAAAAGGAAATGAAATGGTCCAGAAGGATAACGATGAGTTTATATGGGTTCATTTATCTTTCTGTACAATCTCTGAATCACACAAATTCCAAAGGACTTGTGAAAAACCTGCTTGCACCATCCTAGATATTGTATGCTTCTATATTGACAATGCCAATTTTTTTGTTAGGATTGTGATGTTAGGTGAATTTTTTTTAAAAAAATATCGCATGTCGCCTCGTCCCGAACCACCGACTACTGAGGTTCTTCTTCTCCAGTCAAGACGAGTGGCTACGGGAGAACCTTCTTTGCGATGAGGCCACAGACACCGCGGTTCCTTGGTAATCCTTTTTCAGTATGGCTTCTTGGCTGCTCTGGAAGAATCGATCAACAACAGTCTTTAAAGGGATAGCGGCAGCACTATCTCCCCCTTCTTTGGCGCACTCTATTAAGGTGAAGACTCAAATCTGGCACAACTCTTGGAATGCTCCTTCCCTTATGCTTGACAACAGGAGACAGCCAGTGGAGATAGGGGTGGGCATTCGGTCGGTTCGGTTTCGACCGAACCAAAATTATGAATACCGGATCTCCGAATTCTCCCAAACCTCAAACCGAATTCGAACAGAATTATAATTCGGTTTGATCGGTTTAACCGAATTATAATTCGGTTCGGTTTTTAACACAAAACCGAATTAATGAGGCTACTTGTATCTTCTCAGTTTTAAATTATTTTTCACCCCTAATATAAACAATAAATATGCAATTATATGCATCATCAATGATAAAATCAAACATTTCAACACATAAGTCATAAAATATTTCAAATATTTAAGTATAAAAACAACTACAAACATAAAAATCCACCATTTGGAGGTTGCAATTATAGTATTTCGCTTTTTTCAGTCGGAATTTCGGTTTGGTTGAAAGAACCCTGGTTTTCGAAATATCCATATTTTCCTTCCGAATTCCGAACCGAATAGCATTATTTCAGTTTCAGTTCGGTTTAATTCAGTTTTGGTTCGGTTCGGCTCGGATTTACCGAACCGTTTGCCCACCCCTAAGTGGAGAGGACTATGGCAAGTATTGGTTGGACTCCTCCTCAGGAGGGATGGGTTACTCTAAACATTGATGAGGCCTCTAATGGCAATCCGGAGCAAGCTGGGGCAGGAGGCATCATTCGAGACTCAACTGGGAAATGGCAAGGGGGATTCGTGGCAAATATTGGAGAAGCTACTGCTGCTTTTGCCGAGCTATGGGCTTTTAACTATGGGCTTGAGCTGGCATGGAAGTCAGGACAACGGATTCTCACTATTGAGTCAGACTCCCTGTTAGGCAGCCATCCAGTTGATTCAGAGCAGGTTGGATCCGATTCATCCTTATGCTACTCTCCTCTCTGTCATTCGCAGGAAGTTGAACTATGATTGGATGATACGCATTGTTCACGCACTGAGAAGGGAACAGAGCCGCGGACTGCTCTCGAAGTACAGTCTCGTCTATCCCTACGGTATACATGAACTTGCAGACCCTCCCACCGGACTACGACCGATTCTTAGGGATGATATCATGGGAACAACCTTTAAGCGTCGAGTCGTTACTCGACCTTCTTCTTCCTTGTAACCCCCTGTAATCTCCCCCTCTGTTTCTTGGCTTCGGCCTCCCCTCAATGCGAAAAAAAAATATAATCAAGTGGTTTCGATATAGATACTTAATATACCAAACTCGTATCAAAATTATTACATCTGTTGTGGAGTTTATGAGAAAACCTACACATTTTCCCAAATAAAATGGCTTCTGAGTTCTATGGGTACCGCATTTCCCCAGTAAAATCAACTGCGGTTTCGATCACCATGCGTAATATCTACAGGAACTACAACGCTACAACCATTAACCTTGTACATGCACAGAGTCGATCGAGGCAACTCGCTTTCTGCCTGCAATTAGAGCTCCAAACTGCAACCGGGAATGCCAGTTCATAGCTGAAGCTGCAAGGCAGCACTTTTTCTTACTGCTACTTCCCTATGCTGAAGCCAAACACTCAGAAAACCATTGCCGTTGAGATGGTACTACAAGCCAGAGTGATATGAAATGGCATGCATTCAACAGTCCGATGAAAATTCTAGCAGTTTCTCAATGGCGTGGGTTTTGAATCAAGTCCATGAAGAATCATGGAAATCTAAAAACGTAATTGAAGTACCAGTCTATGGCTTCTTTAGCTTGGTTCTGTTTGATTTGGGAGCCGGATCAGATGTTCTAATAATGAAAAGGAGTGTTTCCAAAAGCATCGCGCCCACCAATCCCAGAATTCCGCCAGCAGCGCTCTGCAATTATGAATTCAGTAGACAAGCACCAAAACTCAGACTCTCTGCATAAGCGCATATATAGCAGCAGATGGACAAAGAAACAATACAAACAGTTGATTTTCCTTTTACGACAACATATGGTATTTACCATGGCAGGACTGTGGCCAAACAATGCTCTGAATGCTGCATACCCAACTAAATATCCAGTGAACATGGTGAGACCAACATGCAGACCTGTAGAGAGTTGGTTCAAGAATGATGGTAAATATTTCTATAATTGCACAAATCCTCCCGAGAGAGTTATCCTACTTTTGCATAACTCATAATTTGTGCAGTCAACATAATGAACATGATTCAATTATGTATTCAGATAATATAAGTATATTAAGGGAACAGACTAAGATCAAGTTCATTTGTTACTTAACATAAGCATCCTATATCTCTACGAATCAAATTGTGTTGCGCGATAAGCCACATTGATCAATGTTCTTTCTAAATTTGGATTTGCGCCAAGACATCAATAACGGAAGAACGAATGTGAACTCTTTAAGTACACTATACCAAAGCCGAGCTGATCCTTGTAAGAAGAGAAGGGTTCAGTTGTTTCCTTGCTCGGAGTGATATCCTTGACTAGCTCCTGATAGGCATTTCTCTCAGCCAGTTCCTCAAGTTTTCTCAATCTCGCCTTTAGTTCTTTTCCCTAGATGCAGATAAAATATAAATTGAATTCCAATAAATTGGCAAGCAGAAGTTAAAACCATGATGAATGAGGAAATCTTGAACATGGAAGATATTACCTTTTCTCTTGGTTTGGGGGTGGGGAAGACGAATTCAGCTCCTGATAAGAGAAGCATCAACTCTGGACGGCTAGAGGGCTGAGATCCCGTCCATATACTTCGGAGAGATGCATAGTGCACATTGTCCTGTGACAACAACCTGGATGCAGCATCTTTTAGCTCCGGAGGAAGGTGCCTCTCATTGGACGCAGAACGGAGAAACAATCGAATTGAATCAGTGTTCTTGATAATCAATCCAGGGGAATTCGTTGTTCGAACCTCAGTAGCAGAGTCCATCTGCATCGAAGGACTGCTACCTACAATGCACCAAGACTACCATAAGTTTTTTTGGCGGGTAACATGCCAAGCTTCACTGATATAAGATCATTCCAGATCATATACATTTGTTTAGAATCCCGATCTGGAATTTTCTTAGCTTTGAGGATTGGACATGAATAGACATGAAGCAAACCAAACAACAGAACCCAAAACCCTAATCAGCTAAATTCACTTCATTCATCAATCAAACAGAGATACAGCTTCAGCATCAAAACACGGATGCTTTGACGGCGGCCAAAGTACCTGAGATTAGAGTAACGGAGAATTTTGGAGACGGAGAAATTTATCGAGACCCAGCAAGGAATTAAGCGGCCACCTCCACGAAAGACTACGAACAGAGTAAACTGAAGCAACGACAGTGGCAGCACCGGCCGGAAGAGAGCAATCGCCGCCGGGGCAAAAGTAGCAGCAAAATTTATTATGGGTAGAAGTTAGGACCCGAGTTGGATCTAGCGATCTTCTGTTCTCCTTACCACGGCTGCTTGGTCACTAATTGTGACTTCTGGTTATGTCCAAACCGATGGACCGAGTCGTACAATAAAAGACTTAAAATCAGATTAAAAAAAGTGTATTCAATCCAATTTAGTCCAATCCAATCTGGTCCAACTTTTTCAGTCCTGATTCACACTAAAATGGTTTAAATTAGTGTAGATACGTAAAATATGACCTGATTCGGTTTCGAGAGTTCAAATGGTTCAATGTCACAAAAATAAAATCTTTACTCGGATGAAACTAGCTCAAACGTGAAGTTAATTGATTTTAATATTATTTCAAAAGTTTAGAGTGCAATAAGACATCTCTACACCAATATACAATTCCCTCCCAAAAAGAAAAAGAAAGGTATCAAAAGTTGTCTCTATTTTTCTTCACTAGGCATCCCAATGACACTTGCTTGATTGCTAATTAGGCTTTTCCATCGCCACAAAATTTGAGCGAACTCTCTTCACTGGCCAAAGGTTTGTGCTACATTGCAGCCTCAAAATTTATCAGAAGGTTAAAAAAGAGTACTGATCCCTCACCCTCCCTTCATTGGTTCTTCACTCCAAGTTCGGCAAACGCTTTCTCGAGCATGTCCACGTATGCAGGTAAGGAGTTCTTAAGCATCGGCGAACAGCTCTTGCATCGGCGAACAGGGAAAAGAAACAGTACTTAAACCAATTGGTTATCAAAAGAAGAAACTCCGTAGTCAGTTCTTGGATGCTCAAAGAATAACATGGGTACATATCATACCTGGTAAAATCTTTCTCCAGAATTTTCAATTCGTCTTGAATTCTTTTGGCCCACTTCTTCTCAGTCTGGCAGAAGAAAAGAGGAATTGATCATACTAACTTCAAAAGTTATTAAATAGCAAGGCCAGGTTTTCATAGAATTGGAAACTAGACTCGGAACGAAGATTAATGGCTTTTGGTCCCTCCCCCTTTTGGCAGATCATAATTGTGTTGGATCCAGGTTCACTCATTTTTGCCAGAAAACAATCAATTTGAACTGTTCTCAAAGAACCAAAGAAGTAAAAATTTACATACAGACACCTGTTTTGATGAAGAAGACTTGTAGTGATGGTCTGAATGGTCTTCAACGATATCGAAATGCTTGAAGAGATTCAACTTGCTTAAAATTTCACTAATCGAAGCACTTGGAGCTCCATGTTGCTCTTCTGCACGAGGCATATGTAGAGCATGAAAATTGATAATCCAGATGTAGTTCACTTCCTATCTTACTGTGCACATTCTGAGATGAGATAAAGGATGGTTGCACATAACAGAAAAATATGTTCAAATGTACCCATAGCTGCAGAACTTGGAATCACTGGTCCCTTACTACCCGCTTGTTTGCTTGTGATTAAATGTATCTTATAGAAAGAGTTTCTTCAACCAAATACGAAAGGCATTTTACCTGAGATTATTGTATCTTATAGAAAATAATTAATTGTGAAATCGGAACTCAAGTAATATTGATTGAAACATTAAACATTAAATTGTATGTATGATTCTGTTTAGACAAATACATACGTGTAGCTAAAACATGGACCCTTGTGACAAATATAGTAAGTTTTTGTGACAATCTAACATAATATAAAGATAAATTGGGCGCAATGACGAAAAAAGCTTCCTAGGATCACTCTAAGGCCACAAAATTTGAAATGAGACTCTTATTTTCCAATTTTGTCATTATATTATGTGTATATTTGACTTAAAAAATGAAAATACTCGTCATAAAGGCCCATGTATTGGTTACACTTCTGTGATTTATCTAAACTAAACTACACATACAATTTAATATTATTGTTTGAATCAATGTTACTTGAGTTCCGATTTCAGAACTAATATCGTTCTACAAAATATAAATAACTTAAGATAAAATATAAATATAGAAGCATAATCACCAAACATATTTCTAGAGTTTAATCAAAGAAGGGTAAATACAATATATTAGCCACAACTATTATGAAGAGGAGAATTATAGCCACAACTATGGAAATTCAAATTATTAGCCAAACGTTAAATATCTGTTAATAATTTCGTTAGTAATACTAACTAAACTTTTATGTTTTAAAGTTATAAATTAAAAGTAGTCCGACGTGGTTGCTGCCGTAGCCGATGATGTGGCCTTCTCCGTTAAAAATTCAATAACAGTAACGGACAGTTAGCCATATCTTGAACCGCAACAATAGTTATGGCTAATCATTTGAACTTTCATAGTTGTTGCTTTAATTCCTCGCTTCATAATAGTAGTGGCTTATATATTGTATTTACCCATAAAACAAATAACAATAAGACAATGTAGCATAGTTGGTTATAATGCTCTTTCTCATTTAAGTGACCAAGGTTCAAACCCTAATAAAGACATTTTTTCTATACATAGATGAACTGTGTGCAATGACAAAAATGACCTTCCTAAAATCACTCTCAGGCCACGAAATTTGAAATGGGAGAATTTCAACCCATGTTTTGCCTTTATATATATTGTAGAAGATAAGAAACTTGTGGATACCATCAATACATCTACTATGAAAGCATGGCTATATTATAGCGGGATGACTAGCTTTGGTGCACTCATTTTTTTTATTAAATGTATCCAACTTTGTTAATATATATCAAATTTTGAACTTGGAGCATTAATCTATTATATTATGTTGATATAAAATAGAATCACAACTAATCAATCCATTATTCTAACCCTTTAAATTTCAATTTTGAACCCCAATCCTAAAACATATATCATTCAAATTAAAGTAAATCATGTAATGATTTTTGGACAAATTCATGTGTTTTCTTGTCCACCATACTATAAGTGATGATTGATATCGTTTTCACATAAATCGCCTCCTTAAAATGACGATTATGAGGTGAGTGTATTGAATGCACCCAAAAAAATTAGTGCAGTACTGAAGATATACCAAGGATTGTGTATGTCTGGCGTACTCTATATGCGTGTGTTCACCCTTGCAAAAATGTAAGGTTTTATACGGGAACCTATTCCATATTATACTATATTTACAACTAGGCCTACCGGGTCGGGTCGGTTAACTGAACCTGAAACCCTTGCAAACCGAAAACCCAATAACAACTGCTTCCTCTAACCAAATCAAAACCCTCTAAGGGACGGGTTCAGTTAGGCCAAAATCATAAAACGTTCCATTGCTCCAATTCTTCCAATAAAGAGTCGCCGCTGCCGCAGGGAACTAACGACGTCGCGAGGGATGAGTTAGATTGACTACCTTCTAAGAAGTCAAGAAAATGACACCCTCTATTAATTATATTTATTTTGGATATTAAATATGTGTTGTATTTAATAATCTTTGGGAAGTAAAAACTCATATTAATTACATTCCTTTTTTAATTACCATTGCACGTGTACACTAGTATCATTGCCCTGATACGTACAACTACCATTGCACCGATACAACTATTATTACACTTATACTTGTTTTTTAATTCTCACATATTATTAAATACAACACAAATTTATTACCTTAATTAAAAGCCTATAATTAATAGGGGTGTCATTTTCTATGCTATCTCATCCCACGTCGCTATAATAGTTAGATGGAATGGTTTTTTATTGGAATATATTCCATATTATACTATGTTTACAAGTTACTAGTGGTTGGTTTAGTTTTTAGATCCGTATATGCTTTGTTCGGTAGCTTAAATCGGCCCCACTCTATTGGAATCAAAACAAACGGAGTCAAAGTCCGGCCTGCAGAGCGGCAAAAGATCCAGATTTGGACGGGCTTTGGGGAGAATCTTTTTTGATTCTTTGGAATCGCTGCTCAAAGGTCAACTAAGGGAAAAAACATAAAATAAAAATTAATTGGGAAGGAAAGAGAGAGTACACCAACTAATTAAAAGTAGGCAAAATACTATTCCATAGCCATAATTTTACACATTGTAACAAATATAGTCAGATTTTGAAAAATACACAGAAATAGTCATTTCATTTATTAATTTAATGGAACGCTAACGACGGCTGACTAGACAAACAGTCGTTGGTCTACGTGGCATGACAAGTTGTAATTTAAATTTAAAAATATTTATTAAATAAAAACATTAACAAAAAAAAAACTCTCGCCTCTTACCATCATTTCCCCCGATCCCTATTTCCTAATCTCCTTCCCCTGCATCCAAGATCTCTCTTCTTCTCCTTTACCTCTCTGTCTACCCTTCCGCTCCCATGAAACCCACCAGCCCTCTACTTTTTCTTTTTATTTGTCTTGTCTAAAAGCAGCAAGGGATACGAGGCTAGATCCACCCAATATCTTTCCCCTTCGCCTCTTTGATGAGATTGGGATTGTGATTGTTCGATTGTGGGTTCTAGATTTGAGCATACGTCGTCGCCGGCTGAGGTGTTGTTTTGGGATTTTGTAATTGGTGTTGACGGGAGGTAGAGGCTAAAGATGGAGGCGACAATCTGGCGGGTGGAAAACAGATATGGAGATTTGGGTCGACGACTCCAACAAGCTGGGTCGACGATTCCGACGAGCTGGGTCTTCGAGTGCTGGTTCTGGGCTTGGGATCCTGGAAACGTCGACAAAGCCCCACAGGCTATCCTCCGCCACTGCGGTGGTTTTGTGAGAGCTTGAAATGGCTAAGACCCCTAACCCAGACCCTCCTTCTCTCTTCCAATCGAAACGGCGACGAACCCTTTCATCTCTGCCGCATGAGAGGAAGACGATGATGATGGCGACGACGACTTGATTAAGTCGAAGTCGTCGCTGGTGAAGCAATCTTCATATCTAAAGGAGGACAGGGCGGCAGCGGCGGCGGGGAAAGCCATCAACTCCAATCCGGCGGGTGACAAAACCAGAGCTGGTGAATCGATTGTAAAGGGATTTTTTACTAACAAACCCTAATATGTGAAGCTCTAATGTGGTTAGTGATTTTGTAAATTAAAACCGCTTGCTCGCGGGAGTAGGGATTGACACTGGCGACCAGTGCTAGGGAGATAGAAGCTTGCAAGAGGAAGACAAAGATGAAAAGGATGGGTGTATTGAGTTTGTGGTGTCTTCAGATCTCTCTCGAACCCACGAAAGTTTTTTTTTTTTTTTACAGAACGAACCCAGGAAAGATGAAGAAGAAAAATATGTTATGTTGGCATTTTTTGGAAATAATATTTAAATTAATAATATAATTTAATTTGACATGGCGCACACGTGGCTACTGGGAAGTGACATGGAAGCTGAGGAGGCGCCACATAAGCTTGTTGTTCATAGGTGTTAACGGAATCTCTAACACCGTTAAAATTTCTAACGAAAATGGCTAAATTTGTCAAATATGTTTTAAAATTTGGCTATTGCTGTGCATTTTTCAAAATTTGGCTATACTTGTCACTAAGCGTAAGTTATGGCTATAAAAGTGTATTTTGCCTTGAAAGTGTATAGTCGCTAAGAGCATCTCCATCAATACAATTGCAAAAGAAATTGCATTTGTGTTTTTTATTGTCAACTCAAATTTTTTGCAATCCATATCACATTCATTTCATTCACCTACATCAATGCAATTAACTTGCAATTGCAAATGTAATTAAATATTATGTTTAAATTATAGAAAATTAAGTAAAAGAGAAAAGAAAATTAAATAAAATACAAAATCCCCATTTTTTTAGGCTTTTTTGACTTGCATATGAAATTGCATTTGTTGCAAGCTTGCAAATATGCAATTGGTAGCCACATCAATGCAATTGGTTTTGCAATTGAGAATGCAATACCAATGTGGATGCTCTAAGATTATCTTTTCCACTTATTTTTATTTTATTTTATTGTGCGAAAGCTTTGTTGAAATAATAATAAAATATAGTGATTACGAAAGATGAACAATAGTCTCCTGAAGGCTATAGCTAGAGAGGACATAATTAACCATATGTCTAAAAAAAAAATATATCCATTATGATTTTACCGGCAACAAAACAAGCCGGTAAATCTTGAGGCTGGCTTGGTGGGATCGTTAAGCAGGTTGTATTTTTTTAGTGACGATCGGTTTGATGCTTCTGCGGTTCCGGCAGGCTGTAATTTTGATTCGGTTTTTTTTTTGACAAAAGGTAATCATATATTGATAATCAAGAAGAGATCATTACATCACCTGCCTTAATCAGGCCACAAAATCAAAAGAACGATTCGCTATCGGGTACAAAGAGAGGGCCTTCCTAGCCACCAAATGGCTACCCTATTACTACGCCGACCAACGAACTGAACACTAAATCCTTTATTCTCAGCCATGTAGAGCAACACTTCACTGAAAATAGCACCCGCCATACTATCTCTCCCCTGTGCCCAAAGAAGCCTATCCACCACCACTTTTGCATCCCCCTCAAAGCGAACCAAGAGACAGCCTCTGCTTCGACACCATAGTATAGCCTCCCGGAGGGCCAAAACCTCAACCAGCAGTGGATCATCAACCTCAGGAAAACACACCCCCCTCGCCCCAACAATCATACCATCCGGGCCGAGCAACACCATCCCTCCAGCTTAGTGGGACCCTAACCGCACTGCTCCATCCCAACGACAAACGAAGGAATCCTGGCGGCTTGAGGGCCCCTCCGATGAGGAGACCGGAGCAGGGGTATTCCCCACAACTTTGCTGGGGAGCGACTCCCACTCCCGCACTTGCTGATGATATTGCCGAAGAAGGACTGGTATCCCAAATTGTTTGCCCTCAAAGACTACCCAATTTCGGGACTTCCAGATCCGCCAGAGCACTGCGACAATTGCCATGACTTGGGAAGGAGCCCGTACGATGGCCAAAAGGTTCTTGAGGAATAGAGGAAAAGTACGACGAGGCAAACCCTGGCCCACATGCTCTAACCCAGCTAGATCCCACAACGCCCGAGCCACACAGCAATCAAAGAAAAGATGTTCCATGGTTTCAGGCGCTGCCCAGCGCACCGAGCAACGAGGATGAACATCCACCTTCCTCTCAATTAAAGCCTCTGTAGTGGGGAGGAACCTATTCAGAATTTGCCATAGGAACACCTTCATCTTAGGCGGGATCGCCAAGTTCCAGACCCGCTTCCAACTCCCCCGATCCATCCAACTTACTACCGGACGCCAACCCCCAGATTGCTGATCCAGGCGAACTGCCAGATGATAAGCTGATTTCACAGTGAAAATCCCATCACCCGTTTCATGCCAGACAAGCCTATCAGCAATCTCTCGTCGCGGCAAAGGAATCCTACGTATGACCCGACAAACCTCCGGGGGGAACCACTCGCCAAGTTTATCCAGTAACCAACATCTGTCAGTCGGGCAAATGAACTCAGCCACCTTCAGCTCAACACCCTTCGCAAGAACCCGCGGGTTAAACATAGGAGGAACTGGGTGGAGCGAGGGAATCCAATTTTCTGTCAAAGCCGCCACCCCGCGCCCATCCTCAATCTGCCAACGAATCCCCTGGATCAACAACTGCCTCGCATACAGAATACTCTGCCAACCCCAGGACGGGCGAGAGCGGGGAGTCGCTGAGAGAAACTCTCCACGTGGAAAATACTTCCCTTTATAAACCTGAGCAATGAGCGACTGGGGGTTCATCAGGATCTGCCAGCCAATCTTCGCAAGAAGCGCTTGATTGAAGAACTCGAACCTGCGAAACCCCATTCCACCCTCATGCTTACTTTGGCACATCCTACGCCACGACATCCACCGAATGCGGGAATGCCCGTCCTCCACACCCCACCAAAAACGCGCAACCAACCTATCCAGCGTACGACAAAGAGAGAGGGGAAGCTTAAAACAAGACATCACATGTAACGGCAGCGCAGAAGCAACAGATTTTATCAGAGTTTCTCTAGCCGCCGTTGATAAGGATCTCTGAGCCCATCCCTGCAGCCGGGAGATTAACCGTTCCTCCACAAATCGAAACGTAGCCATCTTCGACCGAGAGACGAGGGATGGTAAACCCAGATACTTATCCTGGACGCCCACAGCCCCCAACACT